TTAGCTTTGGACCGGCTGGACGCATGGTCTTTAGGAAGTCGAGGTCGTGTGAGAAGAGCCAGTTTTCCCAGATTGGCGGGTCGTGTCTGTTCAGTCTGTCAATAAGCAAGACACGTAGGAGACGGTACTGAATGCCCTTTTTGACGTACGGCAGAGGTTCGCTGATGTTGACGTCGGCGTCATTTTCGTACATGAATGTCGGGCGACCTAAGAACAGGCTGAACATTCTGTGAAAGGCAAGACGTTAGACGAAGCAGCTTGAACATCATACATGTGTCTCACTTGTCCGTTAGGAAAGAGCCCCAGTAGATCCGGCGTCTGAATTCGTTGTTGAATGGGAACGGATTGGCCTGGTTTGGCTTCTCTTCTGGTCCCCAGTGCGCAGGATCTCTCTGCAAGCCAAGGTCCTGGCCCATTCTGAAGGCAATACCTGGTGATACTCCATCAGACCACAGTCCCAGCATTTCGGTATTACCTAGGACGCTCTTACCTGTATACAACCATGACTTGGACATGTTACTCACCCCAGTCTCATAATACGCAAGACACAGCCACGCCTGCACCGATGTAGGCCGCGAAACGCCCAACTCGTCCGTGGTCAAGATCGTCTGCGCCGTGTCCGCGAACCCCTGCGCCTTCGTCCGGATCTCCGGGTCTTTGGACATAAGGGCGCCCAAGGAAGCGCAGGCGTAGATCAACGGCGGGGAGCAAAAGCTGCCGTCGACGGGGTTGTCTTCGAATTCTTGGATGAAGGCTTCCCGGTCGATGAACATGAAGAGCGGGTACTGCCAGAAGAAGAAGAGGCCGATACAGAGGCGTATGGTCTGGTCGGTGAGGTTGGCCTTGTCCTCGTGAAAGGGCGAGGGTTTTGAGGCTGTGGAGGAGCTGATTGGGTACATTGAGGTGCTGACTTCATGTTGGAAGATGCTTGTTGGGCCGCGGTAGATCATTGAGCCTGGGGGACAATCAGCTGCAAGTCCAAAATGATGACCGCCAAGAAACAAAGAGAATGTAGAAAGAAAGAGGAAGTCTAGGTTTACCGTCAGTCATCTCCTGAAACGAAGCCTTGGTCATAGCCTCGCTCAGTGCAATCTCATCCGCCAAAGGCAGACTGGAAAAGGAGGGCATATAGTCCTGGACCTCGAGGTCATCAAGGATCTGGTTGGGCTCATCGTCGTCGGCGGCCTTGAGGTTGCCCAGCAGGTTTTCGAGCGAGACGATGCGGGACTCGAGGGCCGCGACGTACTCGCGGGACACGGGCGGCCGCTTGAAGTCGCTCTCGCGGAACTCGCACTTGGTGGATGCTGTGGAACAGTTTGTGCATGGATAGGTGCGGGAGCAGCGAATCTATTTGCATTTCGTGGATCAGTCAAGTCTCGGCGCGGGGACCGGGTAGCGGGGTACAAGGCTCGGTCGGACGGCTTTCCTCGACTGGACACTGAGCTGAGGGGCGGCGCGGATACGGACACTACCCGGGCAAAGGCCGGGAGGCGGGGAAAGTAGACCGGGGGAGAGGGCGGACTCGGGGGAGTGAAAGGGCTGGGGAGGACGAACACGGAGAGCAAAAGTACCTTTCTCTGTTGGCACCGCTTGCACCTTGCATAAGGTACTCGTTCAGCTGACGGTGGTCTTACATCATAACTTTCTTTTTCAGATTTCCAAACTCTCGGGCGACTCACGAAATTCGTTTCTGATTGTTCTTCTCCATCTTTGCATTTCTGGGCGGTCGAGTCGGTTGCACCAACCCCTCTCTCTTCTCTTCAACGCGATCGAGAAAAGAGCGTCAATAGCGCGCTTTGAGAAGAATCGAGCATATCCATTTGCGGGACGATGAACGCCGTAGTCACATGACACGGATGCCAGGCCATTGCAAACCCCTGGCGTTCTTCAGCGCTGATTGCTGAAGAAAGACAGGGTGCGGCATGTCACACAGGCACCGCGAATAGGTGATACTACCTCATAGTTAGGCAGACATTTAATTCACCATTTGCGAGGTGAAGTAGGTGGTTCCTGATTAGTCAATGGACGCTAAGTTCTATAGATAGAATATCAATCAAATCCTTCGCGATCCTGGCGGGGTCTCGCACTTGGTGTTGGCTGGGGCCTCTGCCGTGGAAATCAGCATTACTGGGGAAACGAGATCCGTTAGTGATCGGAGCCGAACATTCGCTGGCTCCGGACTCCCAGATCGCTTTGAGACGAAAGGGTCGAGGTCCAGACTTGGCCGATGGATATAAGCCCTGAGAGTTTATCCCAACTGCTTACACTTTGTTGACTACAAGAGTCTTCGAGACTATGTTGTCTTTGCCGCCAATCCCTAGTCAGGAGCGAATATTGATTGCCGAATCGCGCCTCACGCAGAGGGTTTGGTATTAGACTCCGAATAATGACGAGCCAAGCGCTATCCTCCATCCGGGTCAAGAGAAATTAGGTTTGAGAATGAGCACCAAACCGAACAGCAAGTTTTCAGTCTTCAACTTGCCGAAATTCGATATAGACTGAGGCTTTGCAAGGTTCAAAGACGTGAGAGTTTGTAAATGGTTCCTAGATCGCATCCGGGCTTTGATGACATGAGATGGCATTGAGTTGCATTTGTGACACTGCCGCCCTATTCACTACTCTATGTTGGAACGCCGGTTAGCCTCTACTAGAGTCTCCCGATCTTCTAAAAGCTCTCTGCCAAGACGAGTGAATCTTCTCAAGACGAGTGAATCTTCTCAGGCCGATCACGGAGGAACCGCGTCCTTTCTTGACAGCACAAATCACCTCTCCACCCATATAGTTGCAACGCCGAGGGCCCGGCCGAGGAGCGTCGGAAATCAGAACGATTCAAACCCCGCAATGCCACCCCGCCACCAAGCCCGTATCTAAGCTATCAGTGCTATCACGAGGATGATGCAACCACATCACCCCTCCTCACGATCTTGGCCACGTATTGCATGCCCTATTCGCTGGGACAACTTGGAGATTGAGGGGTTGACTAAAGTCGCTGAAAGTTACACAGCGCCGTACATAGACTCCCGTCTAGCGTTGTGTTACCTACTTTACCTACATGTACTGCAAGGGTCAATAACTCTCACAACCTTTCAGCATGACGACTTCAACACACGTCGTCTTCCAGAACGGAAAGATCTTTAGGTCAAACAAAGCGCCTGCAGGTCAACGTTCAGAGGCCAACTTTGCAGAAACACTGGTAATCAAGGATGGCATCATCACTTTCGTCGGAGATGCCTCTGCACCCGAGGTGAAGACCGCCATCGACGCCGGCGCAGAGGTCCGCGATGTAGGCGGTCACACTCTCCTCCCCGGCCTCGTCGACGGACACATCCACTTGACGCAACTCGGCCAGGCGCTCCTCAAGCTGAGCCTCTCCCACTGCAAGACCCTCGAGGACATCCGCACCACAATTAGGGACCACGCCGCTGCCCACCCGGACGCTGAACGCATCTTTTGCAGCGGATGGATGCACTTCATGACGCCCGAGGGGCCACTTGCCTCCCTCCTCGACGACCTCGACCCCCGACCCATCCTCATCACCGCAAAGGACTTGCACTCGACATGGTGCAACACCGCCGCCCTCAAGGACCTGGACCTCGAGAACGAGCCCGACCCGCCGGGCGGCGAGATCGTGCGCGACCCGAAGACAGGCAAGCCTAGCGGCCTGCTCTCCGAGGCGGCGAGCATGAAGTTCATCCCCCTCTACATGGCCCGCACCTCGACCCGACAAGACCACATAGCTGCCATCGAGACGGCCATCAACGACTACACCGCCGCAGGCTTCACCGGCCTCATCGACATGGCCATGGAAGAGGACGGCTGGACGGCGCTACAGGAGTACCGCAAGCAGGAGAAGGCAGCGGGCCGCCCGTTCCCTATCCGCTTCGCCGCCTACTGGATGATCCTTCCCAAGGACGATGACGAGGAGAACATCAAGCAGGTAGAGCGCGCCGCCGAGCTGGCGCGCGAATTCAACCTCGAGACGGACCCGGACTGCCGCCTCGTCGGCATTAAGCTCGTCTGCGACGGCATCATTGACGGATGCACGGCGAGCTTGAAGGAGCCGTACAGTCACAACGGCGACAACTGCGACCCCGTCTGGTCGCAGCGGTACATGGCGCCCGTGGTGCAAGCCGCCACCAAACACGGCCTGCAAGTCGCCCTCCACGCCATCGGCGACCGCACCGTCGCGGACGCGATCGACGTGTTGGAAGCGCACGTCGGACCGGAACACCGCCCGCGCATCGAGCACCTCGAAGTCACGACCGCCGAGGACGCAAAGCGCCTAGGCAAACTCGGCATCACGGCCTCCGTGCAGCCCGTTCACTCGGACCCGGCAATCCTCCGCGCCTGGCCGACGCTGATCGGGGAGCACCGGTGCGGGCGGGCGTTTGCGTACAGCGATTTCGCGGATGGAGGCGCGCACGTGGCGATTGGGTCGGATGCGCCGACGGCGCCTCATCATGTGATTGATAACTTGTACATTGCCACGACGCGGCGGTCCGCGCGGGAGCCCGAGCTGGAAACGGTTGTGAATCCGCAGTTTGCGCTGTCGTTGTGTGATGTGTTGGCGGGTGCGACGGAGGGGGCGGCGAGGAGTTGTTTCTTGGAGGATCGGGTTGGTTCACTGGAGGTTGGGAAGAAGGCTGATTTGACTATTTTTGATCTTGATTGGGATCCGACAAAGGCCTTGCAGGCGAAGACGCTGGAGACTTGGTTTGAGGGGAAGCAAGTGTTTTCTGGGAAGAAGTAGCACGCGTCTGTGATGACATAGATTCCTTGTTATATAGATGCCGTTGATAGTTGAATTTCATACTGAAGCATACTGTAGACCTGGTAAACAGCAATGATTTCAAGAACATCTTCCAGACCCATCGAATTTCAGTGTAGAGTTTCCGCGGTGATGTTGAGACGAAAAGACAAGCAGAATTTAGCAAGACTAGCAAGCCCGAATATGCACAATGAACACAGCCTTTTATTTACCTCTCGAGACTCTTTCTTCTCTACGCCCAGATCATACCCGCGACGACAATACCCATCAAAGTAGCCAAAGAGACGCTGCACGAAAATGACGTTGCAACACTCTTTGGCTGGTTTCCAGGACTTCGCCCAGCATCGGGCATAGACTGGTGAAAGGCTGCGTACGTCCTCTCCATGTCGCTCTGGAGTCGTCTAATGGAAGCTTTCCCGCGGTAACCATCCCAGTTGTGGTCCAGAATAGCTATCATGGTGAGATTAGCAATGATCAAAATCTTCTTGAAGAGGAGAGTAGACTCACCCCAAGGCTCATCCTTATCCTGCACACCCTCGCGCGTGTAGTAACTTCCACCCATGACCCAAACCATCCAGCTAACTTGCCGATCAACCATGAAGTCCATTAGACATCTCCGGAACTTGTCCTTGAATGCGCCGCTTTCATCGGTCTGATCATGCCCCCACTCCGTCATCACCAACGGCGCCCGATTACTCGTCCCATTCTTTATCGTACCGTTCGTCATGGTCCCGTTCCCAGTTGTCCCATTATTCCCAATAGTCATAACGTCAGAGCCGAACGCCGTTAGGATATCCCGATAACTCGTACACGCGTCATCAACAAGGCCCTGATCATACTGGTGCTGCTCAAACACAAACTTGTTCTTGAAAGAAAACTCGGCAATGGAGAAGTTGAAGCCCGGTTCGCTGGCAAACGTCCCCTGCACCGGGGCCGAAATGTCAAAGTCAAAGATGCGCCCGCCAAAAAAGATGAGAACATCCGGATTGGCAGCGTGGATCGCGTTCGCGCCTTGTACCATGCGTGTCTTCCATGTCGTCCAGGTCGTGTTCTCTAGACTCTGGGGAGGGGTTGCGGAAAAGGGGTCGCGAAGCTCGTTGCGGAGACCCATGCTTGTGAAGGTTGTCCAGTTTGAAGCTTTTCCCTGCGCAAAGATTAGCCAATGGGAAGTTTGATCAGGATGAGATGCGGGAGTATGTTGAAACTTACATGCTCTGCCATGTAGGATAGTCCGCGAACCCAGTTAGACGTGTTGAAGTTTGTGTCGCCGAACCATCCATTCCCATCATACGGCGTACAGCACCACCCTGCCTTGGAAACATGATTATCAAGATGCACGTAAATCTTCTGCCTCCCCAGCTCCGCCGCAACAGCATCCCACACATCAAGCCTCTTCGAGCTCTCGTTGAAAGACGGGTTATTCTTAAGAACCTGCTTCAAGACAGCCGTACCGTTCTCCGGCCCTAGCGCATTCTGCAGCGTCGTCTTGAGGTCCACGTCGCCGCCCCGGTCGACGATGTCGTCCACCATTTCGGTGGCGAACGTCAGCCGGACGGAGTTGAAGCCTGTCTCGGCGATGCGCTTGACGATGTGCGCGACGGATTGGTATTGTAGGCCCTCGGACAGCATGGTCCGCTCGTGGCCTGCCCAGTTCACGCCTACGAGGGCGACTGTTGCGTTGCGGGCATCGACGATGTCGCGGTCGCGGACGGAGAGCGGGAGAGGTTGGAGATCGCGGCGGGTGAGCTCGGCGGAGGTGGAGAGGGGGATTGCTAGGGCTGCTAGCAGCGCCGATAGACTTGAGAGTCGGCGCATTGTGTGTGATTTTCGTGTGTTGTTAAGCGTTAGTAATGTTCATGAAGTGGTTGAAGGTTTCTTGATTTAAATGTTGAAAATGTTTGTTCTCGTGAGCCGCTTCTGGTATAGGGACCCTCGAGAGTGACAAAGGAACTTCTGAGACAATAATGAAGTAATCCGGGGTATGAGCACAACGGTGGAAAGGACATGACGGCACAAAGAGAAAATAAGGTAGGAAGATCCTTGGCTCGGGCCTTCTTCCCACCTCTGTCCAGGAACGCCTAGGTACCCACGCGACGTCGGCGGAGAACTTGTGCTTGGCTACCTTTACTTGCACATGCAGCCGAGAAGTCGTCTGAAGTTTGATGGTTCAATGGCACCGAGGACGTATCGGCGTGCCGACGGGCCGTGCTTGGACAGATGCCTCAATGTTTAATAGGCTTTGGCTTGCAGGAAACGAAACACATGCTGGACTTGCGAGGGGCCACCCGGGCTCACGGTTGCAATGAGAGGTTGGTTGATCACTGTTTATTTGTTCATGTTCTGAAGGAATATCTACAGAATGGGATGGTTAAACTAAATACATGAAAGGGGTTACCGCCAGACTCATTCTCGTAAAAGGAAAATCGTCCGAAAGCCATCACCGTCCGAATACCATTTACTTCATGTTCTGGAGCAGGTAGCGGACACCAGCGTAAGTCTCCTCGCTGGTGGGCACGATCTGAGCAGCGGGCAAGACGAAGCCGTAGTTACCCGTGTCACGAAGTTCCTGAGTGAAGGTGTAATCGGCCTTGACGACATCATTGACGTAGTCGACACTGCTTCCGGTAGCCTTGTAAATGGTGGTGCAGATGGGACCGTACTGGTACGAGGTACCGTGAACAGCCTTGATGGCGGCGACGGCGCCCTTGGCAAGGGACTGAAGCTCCGTGTTCTTGGCGGAGACAGCGGTGCAGGAGTAGCCATAGGGGGTCATGAAGAGCTGGGAGTAGGCGTGGAAATCGATGAAGAGCTTGAGGCCCTGGGCGGCCTTGATCTTTGCGAGCCAGGCGGAAAGAGCGGCGGTCTCGGGGGCGTCACCCTGGGAGAGACCCTTGAAATCCTCGGCGCAGGGGTCGGTGGAGGCACCGCCGGTGACGGACCATTGGAAGGGCCAGTTGCGGTTGATGTCGTGGCCGATGCAAGTGCTGCCAGAGGTGCTCTGACGGTTCTTGCGCCAGAGGCGGTTGGTGGTTTGGGTGTAGATGAAGCCTTGAAGAGAAATCAGAAAGAAGGTTCATGGTTAGGAGGGGGAGGGGCAGAAAGAAACTTACCGTCAGGGTTGACGACGGGGAAGATGTAAAAGTCGTACTTGTCGACGAAGCTCTTGATCTCCGTGTCGGAGGAGTACTTGCTCAGGAGGTTCCAGGCAATGTACTCATTGGACATGGTGCTGATCCACTCTCTGGCGTGGACGGTGCTGTGGAACACAACCGCGGGCTTGGTGCCCTTTGAGGTTCCGTAGATGTGGATGCCCGTGATGGCGTTGCCCTGGAGGGACGAGCCCGAGGTGACGATCTCGGCGTTGCTGGGGTACGAGGCGACCATGTCCTTGAGGAACTGAAGGTGGTCGGCGTACGCGTGGTACGAGTTGAACCAGGTCGCGTTGGCGGAGCCGACTGAGAGAAAAGTTAGTTGGCATATTGGGAAATCACATCCGCGTGGGATAGTTTTGCAAAGGTGGAGAGACATCAAACAGTGCAAAGGGGTTGGGACTTACCAGCGTAGACAGAGAAGCCAGACTCGTCCGCAATCGAGGCGCCGAGGTCCTCGTGCATGGTGGTGAGGTTCATGCCGGCAACCTCAGCCTTGAAAGAGTCGACCTCGGCGGCGGGGACGACAATGTCGGCAAAGGCACCAGCTCTCGGGGCACCTTTCCAGGTCGTCAACTGGAGCTTGTCGACGACGCCATTGACTCTGTCGACCTCGTCACCGACGGAGAGGCGGAAGACCTTTGTGCCGTCGTAGCTCACGCGCTTGGAGCTCGCGCCCGCGACCGATGCGGCGGAGGCAGCGGCGACGAGGGTGGAGAGGGCGGCGAGGGACTTCATCGTTGCGGTGGTGAGTTACGTTTGACGATGAAGAAGAGATCTCTTGAGAGTTAGAGGAGGTTGGTCGGAAGTGAGTGTATGGCGACCGCGCGTGTTGGTTCAGCGAGGGTGCACGAGGGAAGGCATCATCAAGGTTGAGAGCCGCACGGGTGTGCTCTCCTTTATGTACGATTTACGAGTGCGAAGAGAGTTCAGAGTCGTATTTGGCTATTACCAAGGGTTGAGGATAAGAGGGGAAAGCAGAAAAAACATAGTTTCCTTGCCTAGAGATGGACACTTTTCGCTGGCAGGACCAACGGGAAACAGGAACAGGATGAATGACGAGGATCGGACCGTCGGGGATCGCCTGGGCAGCTCTTACAACCTTCCCGTTTTGGTCATTGCGGCCCGCCTTGAGAAGGGAAAGTATCTTGGTATGATGTATCCCAGTCCAAGTTTGCCCCATCTGTGCCCTTTGGCTTTCCGCTGTTTTTGTTTTGACTTTTTCGACATTGACAATTTGACTATGTTGGACCGTGGACCTGCCTGATCAACACAAGAAAGACACATGTGGGAAAACGCGCTGCAGACAAAAGTCCCCGCCTCTACTACCTTATGTGAGAAGGGATAGGACATGCAGCTGTGATGGTATCTTCAAAGTTGAGGTGGTGCTACTGTGCTACCCCAAGCTCGCTTCCCCGCGCTGGGTTGGCTTAGGGGGGAAGGTAAAACGGGACTGGAGACTCACGGCTACCGACACGACTGGCTGGTGATTCTGCGTTTAATAGCGCACAGATCCTGGGCTTGGGGGAGGGTGGAGGGGAGCCGAGGGGAACTGGGACCTGGGACCTGGAGAAGGAAGGTTGGAAGCTCGGAGAGAAGCATTGGATTGCGGCTGGGCATGTCTATCTCAGTCAGGGGGGGGTTTTTGGCATCATCAGACGAGCGCGCAACCCTTCGAACGGTCGGTCTGGTAGGCGGCAGCGTACACGACAGGTTCTACGAATACACGCTGTACAGGCTGACGGGACGAGCGGCATGGCGAATCCGAATGACATACCATGAAGAAGGGCGCTTGACGGACCTTTTGCATCGTCTGGTCGGCTTTGGAGACTTGATTAAGCAAGTCGAACAAAAGCCTAGATAGATTGGGCTGGTAGGACTGGTGGTGGAGCCTGATGCGACCCAAGGCTCAAGCAAACAACACCGCATTGCCAGACTGCCAATGGCACCCCCGCGAGCTTCCTTAGAGTCTTGGACAGATCCAGAAGGTTAAGTGCCGGATTGCGGGCAACCGACCTGCCGGAACCGGGGTAGCGCGGCGGTAAGGATTCAAGGGGACTTTGGCGATCGTGCGGGTTGGTTGGGGGGTTGGGCAAAGCACGCAAAGCTGGACTTTGAGGCCTGCTGGGTTGCATGAGCCCGTTTCCTGCAACAAGAGCTTGATTGAGATAGGCTACGGGCTAGTTGCGTCGTGTGTCTTGGAGGAAGAATCGTCCGTGTTCTAGACCGGAATGGGAGGTATGTAAGAATATCTCTCCAGCTGGCATCTTTGGGTTGGGGGGACGGCACAGCACGGCATTTTTGAATCCTTATCAGCACATCATTCAGGAGTGCCGATTTAAGTTTAAAACGCTTATTTGGTGGATGGGGCGCTAATACGATCCCCCGCCTGCTTATCCCAGCGTCAATACGAGTTCTGCCGGAGCACTCTAGCAGCATTCCCATCGGCAGCGGAGGTGTCCGCATAGTTCACAGAGCAAACTGCGTAATAACAGTAAAATTGACAAGAGATGGCGTACTTAATTAAATCTTGAGTATATTATCACGAGCTTGGACATTGCTGAAGGAAACCATGGCCGCTTTTAGTATATTTTGCCACCCACAAGTTCTGTAGAAAGACGCCTGGAAACGTTGGTTCGGGCTGAAAAGAACAAAAGCTAGTCGTTCATAGACCACCTCATTCTGCTCATCAATTGACTTTGATGGATATTGCGAAGGCTAGAACTCCCAAGTCCGTCAGACAGGCAAAGTGACTTCAGCAACTGCTTCTTGGCGGATGAAAGGAAGCCGTACCACGTCAAAGAGTGCCTTTTTCTAAGCTACCATTTCATCCAGTGCCACATCTTCATCTTCGATCCCATTTGACATGCATGCCATTTTACGGTGGGATGTCCAACGACGATAGCTATCAATGAGGACTACCTTACGCACATGGATATTCCCCCACCAATCCGACTCTCTATCACTTGAGGACTGAAGCAGGATGATTTGGGATACAGATTGAAAAAAATGGCCCCACAGAGGAGCCATAAGCAAAAGAATTGGACGATCTGGGAATCGAACCCAGGACCTACCGCATGCTAAGCGGTCATTATACCACTAAACCAATCGCCCGCTCTCTGCAGATTCACGCACTGGAATCATTGATGCAGCCAGCCGCCCGGGTAGCCCCTCCCGGAGACTCCAGCGCTGTTTATCCTCTGTTCCTCTCTTCCATCACAAAATTCGACGCTTTCCCACTGTCTGTCCCCGTATAGTCGAAAGACGACCCAAGTTGGTGTTGAGTCGGCCAATGCACCGCATCATAATGTTCGTCCAAAGATTTGCGGGCGAGCCCCTTAAACCCATGGCCTCAGCAGCTCCCAGAGTCGACGTCGCGGTGTTACCCGCTGATGGCTGCCGCCCATCAAGCTCATCAAGCGGTCCGCATGCGCACTCCCGCCCAGATCGTTGAACCTACGCCACCAACCCAGATCCTCCCTGCCCTCACGCTTGCTTCAACTTTTGTATCGTGACATCAAACTCCTCCGGATCTCGCCCGATAACATCCCTCAACGTCTCCGACACAACAGAAGTCTCCCCCGCTCGGATCGCCTCCCACGCAGTCGCCCACGTCCTCGCCTTCTCCACCGACCCGAACCTCGCCAAAACCTGCGGCAGCTTCACGTACTCATCCACGCCCACTTCGCGGATCCTCAAGTCCCTCCCAGAAAACCGCCCAAGAACCCTGACCGTCTCTTCAAGAGACCAGACCCGTGCGCCCGACAGTAGCACCTTTTTATTCACGTGGGCGAATTGTTCCGGGTCCCAGGAATACTGCGCGATAAGTTTCGCCGTCGCCTCCCCCAGCTCGCTGCGCTTCACCCACGCCACGCCCGGGTGGGAGCCGTCGTGGGGGATGAGGATCTCGTTTGACGAGGAAGGAGAGTTGACGTCGAAGAAGGAGGTGTAGATTGGGTACGATTCTGAGTAGAGGCCCTCGCGGATCGAGGTGTACGTGAAGTTCGGGTCGGAGGCCGCGGCGGAGGCGAGGTGCCGCTCCGTAGAGAGGTGGGCTTGCATTACCTCCGCTACCGACTCGTCTTGCAGGTCGCCGCCGAAGGCTAGGGAGCTATAAAATATGTGTTTCACGCCTGCGCGGCGGGCTGCGTCGACGACGGGTAGTTGGACCTGTGGATTTTGTCAGGCCACCCGTCTGGTGATGAACAAGTCTGGTAATATGACGAGCATGGCTGGCTCCAAACTTCCATCTCTCACGTACCTGTTTGCGGTAGTCGTGTACATGACTTGGGTAGGAGATGAGGAATAGCACCTCGATGCCCGCAAACACGGCCTCAAGATCGGAGGGGCTCGACTCGTATGATGCCTTGCGCGCCCGGACGCCGTTCTTGATGTGTTCTTGGGGTACGCGATCCGGGTGACGGTTGATGAGGATGATATGATCGCTAGGGAGAAGCTTCAAGAGGTAATCGTAGGTGCTGCCGCCTAAGCCTCCTGAAGCGGGGAAGATACCGATTGACTTCATAATGTGACGTTTCCTCGACGATAAGAGAGATGCCTGGATCAGACGAATGGAAGGTTTGGTGATGCAGTTGCAATAGGCTCTTGATCTTGTCAATCCAACCTGTCGGTAATCTGCTTCAAATGGATCAAGAGTGCGTTAGTAGGGTAGAGAGTTTAAGGTGCAGATAAGCTAAGGTGAGATCTTGACATGACGCGCATGATCACATCACCTCACACATCACACATCACGGCAGCCGGAGACTTTGCTTGGCAGGGGAGTGCCCAGCTTGACGTGCTTACTACGTCACGCCCACCCGTATGTTCAGAGTCGTATCAAGCATCTTCCCTTCCCTTGTATTTTCTGTGGCACCTGGGTGAGATCCCACGTTCAAGAATCAAGCTCGCATCCCACTTTCTTTCATCAGGGCCCTGTTTTTTCCTTTTTTTAGTGCCGATTCCGGAGCGGAGAGCAACGTTTTCTCATTTGTCGCCCGTGGTCCGCCCCGTGGTCTCGGCCCCGCCCCACGGCCGACGTGTCGGCTCAACAGTGCTTGGTGTGGAGTTAGTAGCGGAGATGTGTGCCACACCTGGCGGATGGTCTGAGGTCTGGCGCAAGATGAAGCCAAGTTGTGAGGCTTTCTAGCCTGGCACTTGGCCACTAGTAAGAAATCGAACATCTAACAAGAGGTCTTGATCACACTGACACATTCTGGGGCTGGCTGGTATGTTTTTATTCTAGTATACATGAAGGTTTCCTAACCCATCGACTACTGGATGGCCTCAGTACATTGTGGTACCGCGCTGTGCATCGCTACTTCCAGTACTCACGAATCACGTATAAATCATGATTGACCGCAATGATGCCGTCCATTCTCTCCCGGTGCACCCATTTAAAAGAGAAGAGAATCAAACAAGATTAGCCGTGAAGAGAATCAGAGAGGTATCTGCTGACGCTAATCCGCCATTGATGGGAAAACAGTGGACTAGCGACTGAGGGTGGTGGGATGCTTGAAACGAACCGAAAAATTACCGCCCAAAACCAAGTCGACCTATACTTGTTCTCTCACTACACACCTACGCGCGTGTATGGCTCTTACAGTTTGGGATCGTATCTTTCAGCCACATGGCTTTACAGTTGACAAGTCACGAAAGGGAGACGGGAGTTTCTGGACCCGCTCGGTCTATGAACTGGCCATCACAAGAACGCCCACCAGTCCATCGAGGTTGCAAAAATTGGAAAGGCTTGATATTTGGGTTCCCATCTACGAAAGCCACCGTATCCTTTAGACAGACATCGTCCTCCAGAGAGAAATGCCCATAGAAACAAGCTCTGCTTATTTCCAGTTGGTCGTAGCACCCATCTTGGCACCATTGGCAAGCACCAAAAAGTCGCTCGGCACAATCTTGCCATTCTTGCCGCGCGCACCAGAAACAAGGCCAATATCAACGCTCTTGAAGCTCGCGTTCGTCAGCGCAGCGCCAGCGACATCCCACGAGTTGCCGATAGACGTCTGGCGCTCGCGCAGCGTGGCCTGGCCAAAGTAGGTAGCGTTGGCGAGAGCTTCGGGGTTGTTGAGGGCCGCGACGTTGCGCTTGAGGACGCCCGTGGCGTTGACGCTGCGGAAGCCGGTCTTGCCGTTCATCCACGAGGTGTTGTCCTCGATGGCGAAGGCGCCCGTCTGGGAGTTGTCGGTGAAGCCGTTGGCCTTGTTGCCGAAGGCGATGCAGTTGATGACATCGCGGGCGGCGGGGAGGATGTCGCCTGCGCTGCCGCCGCCTAGCTTGAAGCCGTTGCCGTTGCCGGTGAAGTCGGGGATGTTCTAGGTGGGCTGTTAGAAAGTTGCAGTGTGAATGGGATAGGAGATTGATGTTGACTTACCCAGCGGTTGAAGCCGTTGCCCCACGCGATGCTGTCCTTGATGGTCAACTTGGAGTGGAACTCCCTGAGATACTGTCAGCTTGTGCACCACGGCAACATAAACGACCATGAAAATACTCACCAGAAGTCGACACCATCGTCAGAGTTATCCCAGAATCTGCTGCCAACAACAATATTGCCTTCACCCTTGCCCTCCTTGATAGCCAGACCATCGGCATTCTCGCCATTGTTTCTCGGGTCGCGGTTACCATATGAGTCAAGGTAGGAGATAACGTTGTTAGACAGGGCACCCTGCATGTGGAAACCGCTCTCGTAGTTCTCACGAGTGACGATCTGGTTGAAGCGCAAGTTGCTTGAATCCTTCACATACACGCCATACGCTCCGTGAGTGAAGGTAAGACGAGCAAAGTTCCAGTACTGCACGCGCTCGACGTGGAGCACGCCGCGGTTCCGGCCGAGTACGGAGGCGCCGACGGCTGCGGGCGTATCCGGCAGACCCTCGCCGTCGATAATGACCTCCTCATCCTTGGCAGCGTGAAGGGTAATGGGGGCGGCGGCGGTGCCGTTGACGGTGATGTTGATGTTCTTGAGCAGGTCATAGGTGCCGCCGCGGAGAATGATGACGTCGCCCGGCTGGGAGATGTTGACGGCGGCTTGGATGTCGGAGAAGGGCTTGGCTTGGGTACCGTCCGGGGTCGCGACGCCCTTGGGAGACACGAAAATGTTGGCCGCCTGGGCCAGGGAGAGGCAGGAGAGTAATGCTGGGATGAGCAACATTGTGAAAAAGAATGTGTTTTGTATGTACTTTGAAAAAGAGTGTAAAAGTTGGGTTTGCAAATCACACAAAAGAATGTGGGTGAGAGAGAACGGTATGGTCAACTACTTCTAACATATTGTAGGCAGCGAGAGAGCATGGCGCTGGTGATGATTTATAGACTGCTGCGTGGGCATGGCTTCATCGTCGCAACCGGCTCCGGTTCAGGCAGACAGTGATACCACGGAGATGGATCTATCTTGGCACTTTAGGCCAGCAGGAACAACACATTAAGAAAGTCTTGGTACTCTCTAAGAAACTTTTTTCCAACTTCGCTCAGTCTGCTCACACAGCGTGGGTTTAGAAGTCGTTGACTCGCAAAATAGGGATGGCACCAGAAATTTCCTGCCCACGTAGAGGCCTAGCTTGTTTTGGTGGTGCTGGAGCACAATTAACTATAATGTCGGGTCACCCCTACTCAAGGTATAAAATTGGTGCGAGATGGCGCTATTACGCCAAGATGGGCCACACACCAGCAGAACATTTGCATTCTCTTGGTGTGGTCCAGTAGGTTAGGTAGTGGTCCCGGATACCCGGTGGGAGTTCGTCAGCCCCAATAGACTCCGCCTCCGCTGTCGTGAAATTATTTTGAGTTCATGATGGAGTCAAAGGCTGATTCAAGAGTCTAGATCTGGGCCCAAATGATTTGGTTGGGAAAGCGAGTGCATCCGGCAGTGAGATGACCCAGGTTATTTTCGAGATACCTTACCTTGTTCAAGATTACTGGCGCTCCGTCAATAATCTTACAATAAGCTTGCGAATACTTGACACACAGCTTCCTGGACCCTCAGCCATGATACTCAAGGTACATTGCAGCATGAGGCTCATCCACCGCATTTATCGGATTGCGGAAGGTGTTTCTAGAATAGTGATCTCGCCGACTCCAAAAGCGATGAAAACGACGGACAGCTGCTGCAATATATTCTAAACAGCCCTAAGTTTAAGCTTTCTGTCGCTGGGTAAGGCCCATTGGCATGCGCTCTTGGCTCATGACTCGGATGAACCTCGTCCGCCCACCGACCCGGGAAATTGGACGCTTGGAGGCTTGGTACGGAGTAGTCAGCGGCATCGTCGGTGGTTCTTGCAGTTGACGAGTTACCATGGCTTCGGATCCGACTCTCCCGCCTTGGTTCAGCTTCGGTCCGAGCCTATTAGTTCCTTGTAACTCGCAACATACTACAATCTCAGTCGTAGTGTCCACTTTTCAGAGCTTGCGACAATAACACATCAAGACAACGTAATTTTAGAGCCGGGATAATCAAGTGTTGTTTTGGGCGTACTCTTACCTTGAACTTGGATAGTCTCAGAAGCTTTCCTACGTCACAATTAGGGTACTTATAGTTCCCATGTTCCTATCACACCACGGACTGTGAGCTGACCCCTTTCCGCTATGGAATGGCTCTCAGTGTTGTAAGTTTTACCAATGGGAAGCTCGGACTCGGCATAGCAGCCATCTCTCGATACCCACATATCCCACGCAGAGCCATATTATATGTACAAACTCATCCTTGTTGTAAGAGAAGGCCATTTAGATATTACTCTAGCCACCAACCTTAGGCAGACAACTTATGACCACTCCAACCACTCATGAAGTGAAATATTCAATACTACTAGCGGTACCATGTTTGCTTTTGGGTAAAAGTACACGTGAAAGAGGCTTTGGCTCTTGTCTGACTTATAAACTATATAGATGGGCCGTCGCAAACACAGCTGCATCCAAGAAGCTGCCTCGAACAGCAGTTCTTATGCCATCATTTTTCATGATTATAGCCATTAAGACATATGGAAGAGCTCATACGTATCGTCGATATCATTTAGGTGAGCCATTGCAAAATCAATTGCACCCCGTGGCTCTTGAGGAAGACGATAGATCAGCATTCCCGCCACACATGGAGGAACGCGGCCCACAACGTTGCCAGCACTCGCTTCGACTGCTACCGATACAGATGAAGCAACTTATTGATACTGCGCAGTCCATTTGAACTGGCCTTTGCAAACCCATATGGATCTAGAGACCACACAGGGATATGGTGAATGTGGTGGCCTCTATGGTAGTGCCACCACCATCACCAGCCATAAAATTCGACGAGAACCTCGCCGAGAGAGCATTTTTCAGAGACCAGCAAAGCTCAACATTTTATCTTCCAAAGCGACTAATTACAAGATCAGACTCAACCGCTTCTGTCAGGCGGTGTGACCCCGGATATGTGCATTCAGCACGGCGCATACGTAGGGTGCACAATAGTGATTTGCGGCAAATGCTACTTAGGAGGTGTGACTATCTATGACTGTGAACACTAATTCATGGCAGATGGATGCCACATCTGCAGTGTTCTGTAAGCATTCACAGTCAAAACAAAACCCGCTCAGTGTTTGATTTTGCCCTTGGAAGGGCTGCAGTGTCTAGTCTTTGTTCAAGGTTGCAGCCAGGCACCACCATCAAGATGATTTCATATCCTACATAATTTGAGTGCCATCTAGAAAAAGAGATATGTCAACCAGGTCCTATTGTTCGTATTTCACCGGAAAGACCTTCCGCCTGCTGCCTGATACGTCTCAATGTACATGTACCCAGGTATCTACGTACACCCTCCTTAGGATTCCCTGACTACATGAGGCAAGAGCCTGGACCATTGCATCCAGAACTTTCCGTGACTGCGGGTTCTTGAAAAAGTAAAGGAGCAAAGGTATTTTTCCTGAAAAGAGAAGAATTCAGCTGGTTCTCCACAGCCCCAACTACACTCCTCCATCATCTTTAAGTTCTCTATCATCATCAAGCTACCATCAAACAGAATCATTGCTAAACCTGCCGGCCACTGAATCGAAACCTCGAGTGCGGTCCATAATTTAGCACCACGGGCAGAAACCAATTTGGAGCCAACATGGGTCACGATGCTACAGACCAAGAGTTCAGGGAGATCTGGGATTTCCTAATGGACCTCGGCGGAGCGGTTCTCATCATCGTCCTCATCCGGGAGATCTTCAAGTGGTGCAGAGGTACTCTCCTCGAGCGCTCGAGAAGGCTAGAAAGGAGGTGGAGAAGATGAAGGCCGACGTTGACAAGGGTCTGGATGAGCTCCAGAAGCTATGTGCTAAGATCAACGAGAAGATAGCTGGAGAGGCCGACTCTGGCGACAAGGTCGTAGATACGGACAGCAAGAACACTGAGCTGCAGCACTAGATGATGCTTGATAGAAAGTGTTGATAATATTTCGTCGTCAGGGGCGGGATTAGGAGGTTAGGAAAGGAAAGCGTCGAGAAACCAGCCAACATATTATTAAAACAGCACAGAAGCAATACCATGATGTACCCATGCCTCATTGATATTTCCAAAGCTAGACGAAATTGATGCTTGCGTCACGGGCCCTTTAAGTATCCGTATTATCTTTTCTCGGTACAAAGAATCAAGACCCATCCATTGTTTACCACATGCAAGAAACAGTGGAAAGAGAGACGAGACTTCACCAACCCCTTACTAGCTGATGGAGATCTTCTACAGCAGTCAAACCTCCTAAATGGCAGTTCTCAAGGCGGGATTTGGTCTGTCTTCACAGCCTTTCTCCGACACTTTTTGTTTCTTCCCTGTAGTTTCTACGGGATCGGCACATCCAAAAGATGCCACTCCATCAGAATCTCCTAGAGCCATTTATTCTATCACAGGCACACATATACTCCATCGTCGTCTCGAAGCTTCTGGCCGAGCGTCGTTAATGCCGATTGTTGCCTGCCTGCCCGTTGTTCCACATCACCAAACCCTGGAAGAGCTCTACTCTTCCCGCTTGAAAACCACAACAGAGAACTGCGTGAGGCCTCGTGCTGTCTTCCGGATGCTTCCACAGTCAACAGAGGCCCATCAGATAGTAGCACCCGCCTTTGGAAAACATGAAATCACATGCTACCTTTGGCATCTAGCCCTACCTCTCCCACGATCTTTTAGGAAGGGGCAAAAAGGAAAGGGCTTGAGGACCCAACACCACTTTTCTGCTGAATTTATTTTCCTCCAAACGTACACCACCGTCTTGCTTAGACAGCCCATAATCACCTCAAGCGTCACGGAAGCCCAGACACAAACACATTTCAACCCGACAAGGAGACCAAGCAATCGAGATGGACTATCATAATTTCTTCCAGGTTCTCCAAATGGTCATGACGATGGTTTTGGTCCTGTCAGGCAGCCTAGTTGTCGTGGAAAAGCTTCCCATCGTCATCGGCAATAAAGCCGCGCGTCAAGCTGGTCAGTTGATGCCTCTTCTGAATTCTTCCAATGTTCAACCTAAAAGCCGTCCCTAACCCGATGGAAATTCAGCCAAGGAACTCCAGGAACTCCAGGGCCGCAAGCAGAAACTCGCCGATCTTATGGACGACATCACGGCCGCTCACAACTTCGCTATCAACTTGACGGGCACAATCCTCGACCATAACCAAGAGGCCCGTGAGATGACCGGGAACCTAATGAACATCTTGACCAAGAGAATTGTCCTTCTCCAGAAGGTTGCAAACATCAGCAAGAGCACCATGAAGCAGCACCTCGATCATATCCGCAAATTCAACAGAGTCGACATCGGTACTTGGAACGATAGCTCGAAGGCCATTCAGGAATGCATCAAGCTGAACTACGGAAAGATCAAGGCCATGGATGCGGCGATTGATCTGAAGGGCATTATGGAGGAATCCCTGTACGCGATGAGCAAGGTCGCAAAGCAGAACCCTTCCCCCTTCGCTACCGCGTCTGCGACCGCTGCTTAGCTTTTCAATGGCGCGTTGGCAGACAAATTATACGAGAGGTGAATTTCCTGGCTGCTCATGCTTGGAGGACCGGTCGTATCATGAGCTATGCCGATGCGAAAGCTTGCGCTATAAGTCCTAGCAGAGGCAGGGAGGGAGTTGACACCACGCCAGCATATGGGGGCGTCTGCAGTCATCTTGCGTCTGCGGTTCTACTTCTGGTTCTATCGAGACGAGACTTTGCTATGGGCTTTGAAATGGAAGGTTGAGAGGTTGTTTGGCAGGATCCCCGAAGTTGATCCTTCGTGGATGTTGGCTGCTGCTTGAGGTGTCAGATCAGGTACTTTAACTCTTCCAAGAATTGAAAATCACATCCAAAGCAATTGGAAATGCCGATACTTCAAATGTGCGACTTTCCCCTGTGGAATTGGCAGTAAAAATCCACATCCTGTCTGCGTCTGTGACAAATCGTTTACCAACAGCTTAGACTTCATAATCTGGTCTCGCGCGTCTCTCCTCTGACTGAGATGAACCTGACCCGTGAGACATCTTGTTGCCTTCAGTACCGCAACATAGCTCGTGCGATCCAGAGCAGGCCAGTCTTTTCAAGATTCTTGCAGCTCTCACCGGCAATGGTTTCCTGGACCCAAAGAGCCATCAATTTGAAAGGTGGTTGAGCGTCAAGATCACGTGTGTGGCTTGGCATTGAGGCACAGCATTGAACGCAAAGTCACACCAGGTATTCCCAATGGCTCGTTGCAGCGGCTTTTTCGATTAAATTCCCGGTTGTTACCCTTCCTTCATTACTTACCTATCGTGTGTACTGGAGACTGACATGCTTCTACATTCTGTGTCAGGTCCTGATCTCAAGAAGCATCTGGCAAGTTATTTAATGGCTGCGCCAGACAGCTTTCTTCTGCTATCCAGCCCAGAAAGGTACGAGTCAGTCATCCCGCAGGCAAGACCCATGGGCAAGAAGTAATTGAGGTAAGCAGCGATCGTTGGCGCTAATGTCCTTTTCTTGGCGCTAGCACCTTTTCGTGATCGAAGCCCGACAGCATCCCCCCCTGAAGTCTCGATTCAGAATTCAGCTGACAAGCCACTTTGCCTGGAATAGCAGGTCGATCCAAAATGAAAGGCTCGTCGCTTCGAGTACGAGCTGATCGATGAGTTTCGAACCAAATGAGATGGGCAGAAGCGATTGCTCAACTGGCATGAGGTGCCCTGAGCTACCTTACGAATGAGCTCAACGCCTGGCGAAAAGCGTTGAAGCTGAACTCCAGCCCTGTCGCAGTGACGCTTCACGTCCGACAGCTATTATCAGCCACCAACCGTTAAGCTGTTCGAGAAGGTGTAGGGGAGATAACGATCAAGACGAGTGTGAAACCCAAAGGCTCAGAACGCCGTCACGGATGTACGGCAGATAAATGTGAGGTTAGCGGCCGGCTGATATATCTGACATGCCATTCCATCATTGATCTCACAAGAGACGAAAGAAAAAAAGGGGTTCGAAGCCCCTCGGAATGCGGGGGGGGTTGATTCGTGGCCTGGACCCTGTGGGCTTTGGACGTGGGCCCATGCTATATCCAAGACGCGTGTTCGTCCCGGTAGCTTGGGGTCCAGGGGCGTCCCTGAACTTTCCCCCTCCAAGGCTCCAAGCCCTCCACGCTGGAAAGCCTAGCCCTATCCGTAGAGGGATTCGCAATGAGACGACGAGTCGAGTTCCAATGGCTGAGACCTGCTGGCGTGGCCCTGCGTGTCCTGCCCACCAGTCGTCGGTCCTAACGACAATGGGGGATGGGCTATGCTTGTTGGTTTGGCCGCCGCTGGCATCATTTTGCCTGTGACTGGCGGATTGGCCGCAGACATCTCTGATCTCGGAACAGGCGAGCCGGGGTCGAAGCTGCGCAAGTGTCACCAGTCAGATAGATTAGGCTGAGTCTGGGTTGTCGCGGGAGTAAGGAATATCGGCACAATAAGCTTTGGACTAGCACCGGTCTCAACACCCCAAAAATGGAAGCACAGCTTGAAGGTCTTGGCTCTTTAAAAGAGAGCGGCCCCGGGCAGTCAAGTCGCGGGGGAGAATACTTAATCTTCCTTGCGAGCTTTCTTGCTGCAACAGAAATTCGACAATTCCTAATACGACATTGAAAGAAAAGAAGGAGGGAATGTGAAAGGAAGCCGAGGATGGTTCGTCTCCTAGTGTCGCCGCGATACGGCGGTCAATCGACGCCGATCATTGCCGGCGCGGCCTTCATCACCCTCTGCGTCGTCTACCTGCTCCGATTCCACGGCACGATAACACCCTTCACATCCGCCAACTTCAGCTTCCGCACCTCAAAGACGTCTGGCCTCAACCTCGATGCCATCAACGCAACGGCACAATATTTCGTCGACTATCCCCTCGGCCCGCCATACAAGAAGGTATTTGGAGAGCTTGGTGAGCGCACAAAGGTACTGCGCTCGTGGATCGAGGCGCTTGAGGAGAAGGAGGGTGGCCGCACCGATGGGATGCGGGTTGTGGGGGCCGAGAGACAGTTTCTCGACGCTCAGGTCGAGCGAGTCGCTGCATCCCTGTTCCCTTATTTGCAATCTCCGCCGAGGGACATCCACAGCCTGTCGCCTCTGGCCGACCTCAGGCGAAGCTTTATGGGGGGCGCCGCTGATCGTGCGCCACCGCGGTCCCCAGCACAGCAATTAGGTGTCGGCGGCACCGGCGCCGCCGGGGCTTCCGGCAATGAAAAGCCGGAGTACGTGCCGAGAAATGCCGGTATCGTCATTCCGACGGGACACGGCACGCTGCGGTTCGCGTGTCATTTGGTCGCGTCCCTGACGCGCGTTTTGAAGACTACGCTGCCCATTCAGATTGTTTACGCCGGCGAAGACGACTTATCCGAGGAGGACCGCGACACGCTCGTGCAAGCTGTTGAAGGCGATAGTGGACGCATCGAGTTTTTGGATATTTTAACCGTCTTCAACGACACGACGCTGAAGTTAGCTGAGGGAGGATGGGCGATTAAGCCGTTTGCCGCGCTCGGCAGCCGATTCGAAGAGGTTATTCTCCTGGATGCAGACGTCGTCTTCCTCCAGAAGCCTGAACAACTTTTCCAACAGCGAAATTACCAAGAAAAGGGCGCGCTTCTCTTCCACGACCGATTGCTCTGGAAAGACCAGTTCCCCGAGAGACACGAATGGTTCCACGAGATGATTAAACACCCGAGCGAGGAGCTCCAAAAGTCGCTCGTCTGGACGGAAAAGTATGCCGAGGAAGGCGACTCGGGCATCGTGGTGCTCAACAAGGGCCGGCTCAGCGTGCTCATGGGCCTACTGCACACGGCGTGGCAAAACACGCACGCCGTGCGCAACTCGTGGACATACAGGATCACCTACGGTGACAAGGAGACGTACTGGATCGGCCTCGAGGCCACGGGCTCGACATACAGCTTCTCGCGGCACTACGGCGGGATGGTTGGCTGGCGGAAACCGTTCAGTGGGGTACAGACCGAGATGACGCAGGTTTGCAGCTTCGTGATTGCGCACGTGGACGAGGTGGATAACTTACTGTGGTACAACGGCGGGCTGTTGAAGAATAAGATGGACGACCCGACCGAGTTCGCGGTGCCGACGCACTGGATGATTGACCAGCAATGGGTCAAGGGGGCGAGAAAGAAGGATATGAGCTGCATGGTTGGCATGAACGCGAGGGAGCTCAGTGGACCAGAGACCAGTGTCTTGAAGAGGAGCATTGAGGCTGCGAAGGATGTTGATGATAGACTCGAATTGGTATAGAAAAATCAAAGATTCCCCTTTCTTTATTGTTCAACAGCATACGTATCATTACTCTTCATGTGTGAACGCTATCATCCTAGCACGATTACCTAGAAGTCCGGTTTCGTCAATCGTTAAAGTCATTAGGGCTGTTCCTCTCATAGTCCTGATTCCCAGAAATCACCCTACTGCTGTCTAACAAAGAACATCAAGCCCCGAGCCACGTATCACTCCATGTCGCCATCAAAGCGAACATTTGTCGGCATAGAGTAACCCATGCCCAAACCTGAAAACAGCATCCGCCGTATCATACGGAACATCCTCCATCGCATCCTCCACGGCCTGCTGTGACCGCGGGAGGTCGAAAGGCAATTTGCCTTCGGGGCTGCTTGCCCCAAAGATCACGTCCAAGAAGGCTTCGCTGCCACTCCCGTAGCTGCCCAACACTGCAGAAGCGGCGTCAAACACCTCGGGTATCGCAGCAGGACGATCCAGAATCACGTCGACGATGGTGGGCACGGCCGCATAGATCGCGGCCTGGCGCGCCTTCTCCTCATCCGAGTACTCGAGCGAGCCGGCGTGGTAAGCTGCCTCGAACCCACCTGGGCGAGGCTCGTAGGGCGCATTGATGCGGAGTAAGGCATAGTCTGCCTCTTCTGGGGTCTCTACAACCGTGAGGTTACGTGCCTCGAGGAACGTGGCGTTGAAACCTTCGATGTAGAACTTGGTTCCTGTGCCAACATTATTCAGGGGAAGTAGTTCATCCTTGTTTGTGAGAAGAGTGTAAGCTCTGCGCTGGGCATCATTGCCGAGCCGCAGGAAGTAGTCGTTTCCAACAACTCTCGTCGCGGCCTCGGGGTCGACGAAGGGCTCATCAAAAAGCCCGAGGAGGAACTTTTCGCGAAGGAGACGTCTGACTGAGATGTCAAGGCGGTCTTCGGACACAATGCCTTCCTCTACCAGCTGGACGATGAGCTCAGTACGCTGCTCACCACCAAATTGGTCACAGCCGGCATCGAGGATGCGGGCTGCGCGTTGAAGCTCAGTGGTACTCTCTAGACCCCACGCACGTGCTGGCATGTCTTGACCTCGGATCACTGTATCAGTGATGAGACCCCAGTCGGTGACGACGATGCCTTCGAACCCAAGTTGGTTTCTGAGTAGATCTGTAACGATTTGCTTGTTGAAGGAGAAGCCGACTGGCTCGTAGTCGGTGGAGTTGTCAGACAGACTGATAGGTCGTGAGTAGTACGGCATCATCTGCCGTGCGCCGGCAGCGATCGCCGCTCTGAAGGGGGTGAGGTGGTACTCGAAGTTGTTTCCGGGGTACGTCTGGTTCTTGCCGTATGTGAAGTGAGAGTCTTCACCGTTCTCCATCGGGCCGCCCCCGGGGAAGTGCTTCGTCACGGTGGTTACGCTGTGCGGACCAATCTCTCTTCCTTGAAAGCCTTTGATGTATTCGACAATGAGCTCGCTGGTCAAGGTTGCGTTCTCGCCCCAAGTGTTGCCCAGGCGTGCCCATCGTGGCTCGGTGGCGAGGTCGACCTGCGGATGTAGGGCAGCTCGAATGCCGACGGCGATGTACTCTTCGCGAGCTACCTCCGCGAACTTTCTAACGAGCTCGGGGTCCCTCAGGGCAGCAAGGCCGAGAGTCTCGGGCCATTGTGAGAAGACACCGGCTTGGAAGCCAGTGCCAATGTTCTCGGTGAAGTGGTGTCGGGGATCAGTGGAGAGAGTCACCGGGATGCCCAATCGCGTATCGAGGGCGCGTTGCTGGACTAGGTTGACAAACTCCGCGACCTGCTTCGCGTCCGTGATATCGCCGACGAGGTTAAAGTGTGTCATGTGCTTCTCGCCAATCATGTTCTCGGTGCTGTTGCGGCGGGCTGTGACGTTTCCCGTGTCGAGGGTATCATTGGGACCCTGTTGGAGTTGGGTTTGGAAAAGCTGGCCGGCTTTCTCTTCGACTGTCATCCGTTGGATCAAGTCTTGAACGCGGGCGTCGACGCAGTATGACGAGTTCTTGTAGATTGGGAGAGACTCTGGGTCATCTTGCCGGGCTACCCATTGGTGTTTTAGGGTACTGGAGGGGGTTATTGAGCAGTTTGCTGCTAGAAGGAGGCTGGCGAAGGCCAGTGGTGTCATTTTGAGCTTCATGATGGCTCTAGACTAGGAGAGAAACCTGCGATGTATGCAGTTGGGACCGAGACTAATGATTCTGAGTCGTCTGGAATCAGTAGGTCGGAAGAGCCCGAGGGTATTTATCACGACACATGGCTGGAGAGTAACGGCAGACGGGCGTCGTCGTGATGGAATCGGCTTGGCAATGGATGCTACCTCGGACAACGAACCGTGAAGATGACTGGGAATAATGCGATATTTGTTCTTGGCACGCTATTACACGGCCTTGTATCGGTCAATAAAACTGGCCTGGGGCTTCATGGTGTGGCCGATGAGGGGCTCTAGCTGCGTGATGTGACGATGTCATAGGTACTTGACTGGGGGGGAGTGAATTCCGCAGCTTGGTCTCCATCCACGGCACTAGAGTGAGATGAGCCAATGACACAGTCTAGTGTAAGATATCAATTCGTGAGGTAGAAGCTAGCGCGCTCGAGTTAGCAAATGTTGCAAGTTGGGGATGACAGTTCCCAGGGTCATGATGGTATCGAACATACATGTATCTATTTCAGTACCTTGAAAACTACTGCGATGACACACTATTCAAATTGACAGTTTCTACTTTTCGGATAGTCAGCTATTCACACTCAGATTGAATAAGGCAGTTAAGCTTATTCAGACAGACTCAAGCTAGAACCCCCAGAAGTTCGTCCCATCGAGCGGCAAGGTGGCAACGTCTAATCTGACCAGGGTCATCTCGAGGTTGAAATCCGGGACATGTTCGGGTCTTAAATCCAATGGAATGAACGCGGAGACCCCGGACATCCCGCAGTATCCACATCGACAGATTGAAAACGTGACTTTTGGGAATAGTGGTATGGGTCGGCGTTGATGAATTCCAAGTCCTGGGACTAAGGCCTGGGGTCTGAGTCGGCCCTACCTCTGTCCTGGCGGGGTCGAACGAATCCTCAAAGCTCCAATAGCTGTATCCTGGACCGTCAATGAACCTCCAGCCATGGCACTGGATCCATAAAGTTGTATGTGAGTCGTTGCTTAGTCCCGATGGTGGTGTCGTGACCGAGTTGGATGATGCGGGGATTGCGGGGAGCAGTCGAGTTTTTGCTGAACCGGGTCGGTGGTCACCTGTCAATCCTACCTTGACGGATCCACGTTCGGCACATGTTTGAGTCTTGGCAACATTTACCGTAGGTTCACCGCTTGTGGGCGTGCTTATTGCTTCCTGTTTAAGGCTGGCTGTCTTCGATGACCACGTTATTGTGCTTCCGGTGGGGGATCCGGCCCCACGCCGGGCTCGGATGCGCTTCATGCCAAGCGGCCGAGATGTAGTCATAGGTGATGTGGGCTGCTTGGTGCTGCTGCATCTAGCAACTAAGGTACTCATGAGACGAAGAGCAAGCTGACTATGGGAAAAGATTATCCTGTTTCCCGAGCAAAACATTATGACCAAATCATACGATGGCCTTGTCTTTCTAATGAAGATTGCTAGCAATTACTCTACGTAACTAGGGTGTGTCGATTAAGCGGTCCCCCGACTTTATGACGACGAGCCATTCTAACATTTAATACACGAGCTCATGGAAATAGGAACATGAACGTTATGCTGGATAGGGGTCATTGGAGTTCACAACGATGTGGTCGATGTTGGCTAACCCTTACTCTATGATTCCCCCCACCTATGTTCAAAGTTCCACGGTTGCAGCCTTTGCCGCATCTTCCTTAGCGACAGTGTCCTCATAGGTGTCATACTTGTACTTGAACCCAGGGTGATCCGACCTCAACCCCTTCTGTCCAAGGCCGTAAATTTGCTCTCTGAAAGTGGGAGCAGGCTCGTCATCCGGAATCGCTTCGGGCAAGAGCCCCCTGCTTCGAAGTTCTGGAACGAGGTACTCGACAGCGTCTTCAAAGCTCCCTGGAGTAACCACATATCCGATGTTGAAGCCATCAACGTCGGCAATATCCACCCACTCCTGGAAGACATCCGCAACCTGCGCGGCGGTGCCTACCGGCATGGCCCCGTTCCCACCGATTGCGGTGACCGTGCCCAGATTTCGCGGCGTCAGCTTTGGCACGTCGTCACCCCGGTAGCGCAAATTGTACAGAGATGAATGAATGCGCTGAAGATGGCTTGCTACATCCTCCTCGGTGAGTTCGTGGTCCAAGTCGAACTGGGAGACATCGATGCCCGTTGTGGCAGAGAACTGAGCAAGACCGCCTTCGATGAGGACGTATTTGAGAGCCTCTTCGTACTTTCTCTTGGCGTCCTCTTCATTTTTGCCGATGATGGGAGTGATCATGGCGAAGACTTTGACGGAGTAAGGGTCTCGGCCTGCAGCGATCGCGCCCTCCCGGATAGCCTTCACTCTCGGTGCTACGACATGAGGGGAGAGGCCGGCTACGAAAATGCCTTCAGCGTGGGTTGAGCCAAATTTTATGCCCGCGCTTTCGGAGGATTGTCAGCCCACAAGTTCTGACACCTGAAACTCACATGTTGACGAAACTTACGGAGATGTCCCGGCCTGGAACAGCACCGGAGTACGCTGGGGGGAAGGATCCGTCAGGAAGGGTGCATCGACGTGAAACTTGCCATGGTGATGAATGGCGCGAATCTGAGAATAGTCGGAATAGATGCCCTTCTCTGCATCTTCTACTAGTGCAGCGTCTGACCAAGAACCCTCCCACAATCTATAAAGATGTTGTTATTACATCAAAATCAAGAATCATACCTAGCGGATTCAAGCCTTACTTGTAAAGAACCCGCAAATACTCGTCGGCATTCGAATAACGGGTGTCGTGTTCGACTAACGGAAGACCAACCTGAAGCCTAGTGTTAGCTATAGAACACTAGAGCATCCAACGAGAGGCTTACAGCCTTGGAAGCTGATTCTTTCCAGCTTGTGACGATATTCCATCCGAAACGTCCCTTCGTCAGGTGGTCGAGGGTACTGAAACGTTTCGCAACCACGTATGCCTGCTCGTACGAAGTTGACGTTGTTATGGCAAACCCAAGATTCTTGGTGACGGCAGCCATTGCGGAAACGGGCTAAGATGATGTTAGCCATGTGCGGTACATGTTGCACGGTGCACGATGATGTTATCGCGACCAGGTCGTACGTACGATGACTGGGTCGGCCATGGGCCACTGGGCGCCGGTCCGAACAGATGGCTCTGCGCTGCCCTTGTATCTAGAATTAGGTACAATTAGCAATGATGAAGCTGGTCGAATTTGAGATGATTCTTACGTGTCGTACGGTCCGAAAGTATCGGCCAAAAACAAGCCAACGAACCCTCCTTTGTCGAGGAGCTTTGCCAGGTCTGTCCAATAAGTGAGATCACGGCGTTTGTCTTTGGCTCTGTCCTTAGGGTTGCGCCATTGACCGAAGGACAAATGTCCTACAGTGAACATATCGAAGGCATTAAGCAGAATCTGCTTTTGCGGCTTGGCACTTGTGCCGCCGTTTGGATCGCTTGAAGAAGCCATGGTAGTAGCTCGTCAAGTGAGGTGGAGTTCGGTGATACCACACGAAGAACTACGAGAGCCGGAAGAAAGTCAATGTTCCTATTTTGATTTCCGCCTAGTTGAAGTTGAAACTTGCGTACTTAAGCCTTGCTGCCTCAGTAGAGTAAATACCTAGTTTGTAACATCCATACCACTTTTCGCGTCATAATACTTGCATGTTGCGTGCGGAAATCCTACGGATATTTTCCGAGGAATGCAACCTTGATACCCTAATATGAAGGCTTCAGACTCCTTTATCGGACTTGGTCAACAACTCTTCGCCAGTCTAGGTCTTTTCCCGACCAACAAAGACGACTGAAGATGTTAGAGATGATTCCGGATATTAGCCGGATTGAACTTGTGAAAGCAACACCGCGGGCTGGCATAGGAGAGTCCGAGAGTCAAACAAATGATGGAAGGGTGGGCCATGATTTCGCCATCATCTCTCGGCGCGCTCCAGCGAATGATAGGCAGATGCAACAACAATTCGACATCGCTCCGCATAGGTCTATCACCCTTAAAGCCTTATATCGCCATCCCAATTTGAAGCACATCATGAACTTGCCCCTGGATCCCCGCCGATAAGGACATCCGCATGGGGGCTACGCATGGCGAACTTTGCCGGCATCGGGTAATACTCGATGTCGTTGTCAATCGACCTTGTTCACTTAAAGCTGATCTCTTTTCAAAGTTAATTTTCAACATAAGAAATGCGTCGATTAGAGGTTGAAAGACAACATGATGAGTGCGCCGATCCAGCCCGACGAAGTCCGGATCGACCACAATGCAACGGCTGCCAGCCGGAAGCAGCAGGCGAATACAGCTGTGGCTCGTGCCAATGTCGACAACCTGCGAGATGATCCAGAAGCGCGAGCTGCGTTTCTTTCGACTTTCTCTGCGGAAGAGGAAAGATCCGTCATCAACAAAGTTGACAAGGCCTTTTTGGTTCTTATCGGCGTGATGTTCATGATCAAGCAGGTAAAGCAATGCTGGCTGGAAAATTAACCGAACCGTGTGGCATAGCATGCTAATGAGTTTCCAGATCGACCAAACCAATGCTGCAAATGTTCGAGTGTTGCAAGCAGGAGAATCTCGAAACATCATGAAAGAGCTCGACATGACGTCTGATCAGTACAACTGGGTTGGATCCATCTACGGTGTGAGCAATTGCCTCGCTTGAAATGCGTCAAAGTCATCATCATGAGAAACTGACAAGCAGTGTTAGATTGCCTACATCATCTTCGAAATGCCCAGCAATCTGCTTTTGAAGCGTATGAGCCCGCATCTTTGGCAGTCTCGTATCTTCCTCACCTGGGGAATCATCACAGCCTGCCAAGCTGCAGCTCAGAATCGGCATCAACTTTATGCCATGCGGTTTCTGCTTGGGTAAGTTCTGGAGCTTCTGCATGCGACTTGGTCTGGTAGCATACTGAACTTTTCCCCAGAGTGTTCGAAGCTGGCATGTTTCCGGGTATCATGGCTCAATTGTCGAGTTGGTATCGTACGGACGAGATCGGCAAGCCAGTGACTTGGTTCTTCGCAATGTCTAATCTGGCCGGTATCATCGGATCTCTGCTTTGTTACGGCATTAGCTATATGAATGGGATTCGTGGTATCAGTGCTTGGAGATGGGTATATCTTCTCGAAGGACTGGCAACCATTCTCTTTTCTGGCGTTGTCTTCTGGCTGCTGCCAGACTACCCAAAGTCTCCACGTAGCAGTCGCTTCCTGACAGAAAGGGAACAAGAGTTTGTGGAGGCTAGGTTGCCAGAGAATGCGCCGCTAACAAACGACCCTGATTTTGCCGGCAAAGAGATTTGGGCAGTGTTGCGGACACCACTGATTTGGTCATTCATGTTGTCGCAAACGCTCATCAACATTGGAGGATATGCGCTAACCTGGTATTTGCCCACGATTGTCACCAATCTTGGATTTGTGGGGTTGCCGAGAAATCAACTGTTGAATATGCCTCCTGCGTTTGCAGCCATCGTAGGCCTAATATTTTCGGCTTGGTTCATGTCGAGAGCGTATATCGTCCGACCAGCCTACATCATGTGAGTTTTGCTGGGAAGTTAAGGTATGGGGTGTTGGTGACTAACGAAAAGTTCAGGATCCTCATGTCCGGCATGGTTGTGTGCTTCGTGCTCTTCTTCACAATCACTAACCGTTATAGCATTTACATAGCCTGCATATTGGGAATCTTGTTCTATCAATCGTACTTCATTCCGTTCTGGGCCTGGAGATCAGCGACTCTCTCTGGGTCAACAGGCACAGCATTCACGCTGGGTCTCCAATCAGGCATTGCTCAGCTAGGCGGTGTCATCGGGCCGCAGCTGTTCCAGTCCAAATTCGCATACAACGGCTACAAGACGAGTTTCGCGATAGCAGCGGCGACTACCATTGCCTCTTTTGTCGCTAACCTCTGGACGTGGTGGTTGACCAGGAACACGGAATACGATGTGATGAGGGTGAGGAGAAAGATTTTGAAGGCGCGAAAGCTTGGCAAGGTGAATTTCGATGATGACATTCGAGTGTTTGAGGAGAGACGTTTTTATGACGGAATCAAGCGCCAAGGGGTTGAGTCTGGCGAGGAAAGCTCACAAGCTTGATGGTACGGCTTGTCTGAAGGGAACTGCTAGCGAATCAAAGATGGGGAGTGACAAAGACCGCGATAAGAGCTCAGCTCTATTGCCGACTACATCGATCATTTCGAAACATTCAACAGCAAGACTATCTTGAGATCTTTGAAAGACTGGAAAACATAAGTCTTCTAAAGATGATCTGCACGCATTTTGGAGGACTGAGTTGTAATGTAGAAATGTGATTAAGTTTGACACAACGACTATGACGGCATCCTCACAGGTGGATCAAGGGAGAACCCGTCGAGAATGTGTGGGGGCCACGCCGTAGCGTAAATTCTCTCAACTTCATTGATCCTAAAATAGCTCACTTGTTCCGACTAAACATTTTCTGAACACCCTCACTCACCAGAGTCCATCACCAGTCATGTCAGCATCACCAGCTCTCGCAAAGCTCTTGGAGAAGGTTATCTCTCAAGGGAACCGCTCCTCTTTGCGAAGTGATGTAATCCCAGCAATCCTCGACGCCATTTCCGGCATCGCCAAGACGTTGCATGCATCCCAGCACGTTTCCCTCGCCGGGACAGCGAATGCCTTTGGCGACGATCAGCTTAACGTCGACGTTCTGTCCGAGAATGTGATGCGCGAAGCTATCGAGAAGTGCCCTTCGATCCAAACCGCGAGCAGCGAGGAAGACCCCGTCGAGAAGCCAGCGAGGCCGCAAGGGAGCGACACAAACGCGACCCCTGCAACCTCGGAGGAATACACCGTCGCCTTTGACCCCCTTGACGGTAGCTCCATCATCGCGCCGAATTGGACGGTCGGAACGATTGTCGGCATTTGGGATGGACGGACCGCAGTGGGCCAGTCACCGGCTGAGAAGCAGATTGCGGCCATCATCGGTGTCATCGGACCCCGGACCACCGCAATCGTGGCGGTGCGGATCCCCGGCGCCGAATCCGCTTGCTTTGAGATTGGGTACGGCCCGAACGGTGTCGCGGACTGCGAGGTCATCCGGCCGGTCGTCAAATTGGCCGACGGGCCCTTTAAGACGCGGTACTTCGCACCCGCGAACCTCCGACACGCGGCGGATGATGAGAGGTACAGCGCTCTCATCACGCGCTTTATCAAGGAGAAGTACACGCTGCGGTACTGCGGCGGGCTTGTCCCTGACATTGTGCATGCGCTTGTCAAGGGTCATGGCGTCTATGTTATGCCTGTCACGCCGGGTGTGCTTCCAAAGCTTAGGTTTCTGTACGAGCTGTACCCAATTGCTCTGATTCTGGAGTGCGCTGGTGGTCAAGCCATTGACCCCACTGACGGCAAGCCGCTTCTTGAAAAGATTCAGAAGGATTGCGATGGTAGAGCAGGTCTCATCTGCGGCACGTCAGAGGAGGTGAAGATTGTAAAGCAGGTTCTTCTTGGATAAGAAATAATCGCGACCATGTTTTAGGCACTACGAGATAAGGTCCCAGCCACGAACAACTTGACATACAGTTGCTCTTAAGAGTTACTGTTATACGTCTCCAACCTATCAAGCAGTTTCAAATTGGATGGACTACCCAAATGCGAGTTCCGTCATCCTTGTGAGACACATACTTATCGCTCTTACCCCACGAAGACCGTTTACCATGCCAAACCTTCGGGCATAGCTTTGTCGTTAACACTCGAGTTTGAACACACGCCTCGGCAGAACGCCTCATCCTCTTCAGCCGAGGACCTCGTTGCCTGCACGGGACTCCTCCGAGCTGGCCACCATTCTGAACCACGCTTCCTCTCCTCGGCGACATGATCATGCAGAAGCCCCTTGACCTTTCCAATAACGTAAACAACCGCTTCCTCTACGTCAGGATGAAATGGCCCAGTCGTGTATGTATCGCTATTGAGATTGGACTGTGAACCGTTGGCCAACCACTTGTCTTCAGACTCAACTTGGCTGAAGAAGTCCAACTTTTCTTTCAACTCCTCAGGCGTTGCTGTCTTTGACCTGTAGACTTCGTACCGCATCAAGCTTGTGGTGGCAGACGTTGGTACGATGGACATCATGTAGAAGAAGACAGGGCTAAAGAGAGGCATTAGCTTAGTCTGTTGAAGCGCGGATGCCGATGATCGCAGCTTACGTGAGGGTGACCGATGCGTTGGGGAACATGTATGTAGGACTGACAGAGCTGGCACGCTGCTCTCCTTTTGCGCCAAGATGTTCAACCCAGTACTTGTTGAGACCATAGTTCATCTGCTTGTTGCCCTTGAAGAACGGTGCGAGGCCAGGGTGCGCTGTTGGGCAATGGTAACACTGCAGCAGGACCAGAAAGTCAGTGGTCCGAGACTGATCAAGTCTAGAATTTCAAGTCGCGCGCACGAACCTCATTGTAATTCTCAATCAGTGTTTTCCAGTTGAACTTCCCTTCCATAGACCAGGTGTGGTCGTACTCGTAGTTGCTCATGTCAAAGTTCTGTAACCGGGGCTGCTTATCGACCCCGCCGAACTGGTCTTCCCAACTTAGAGTCGGCTTTTCAGCTGCATCCAAATTGACCCAGAAGAATCCTAGGCTATCGATATGGCTATGCACTTTGTAGAGCTCATACTCGCTCTTGTCAAAGTCTTCCACCTGGTCGAATCGAGGTGCCTTGGCCAAGTTGCCGTTCATGCTGTAAGACCAACCTGCCATAGTGTGAGTATAGGAACTGTGCGTGAGAGACCGTGTTTGACATTATACCATGGTACTTGCAAGATAGTACGAATGCCTTTCCCTCATTCTCGTGAACAATCGGAAATGCTCTGTGGCGGCAGATGTTGAGGAATGCATTGATGTTCCCGGCACGGTCTTTGATAATGAAAAAGGGATAGCCGGCCATCTCATAACGAGCATATTTGCCTGGCTCGCTGAATTGGTGGACATGAGAGACTAAGATCCATGATTTACTAAAGATAGCGCGCCTCTCTAGTTGATAGAAACCCGGCTCACGATACCACGATGCTGGAAGGGTGCTCTGCATGTTGAGCTTCTTTATTGATTTTGTAAATGGCTTCAGTTGACTTTGCCAGTGAATGCTTGAAGTGAGGGAGAATTTTGGCTGTTATTAAACTCAACTTTGTCAGACAAGGCACTTCCATGAACAGTATCTCGGGGGCCGAGAGGTCCATTGCAACTCCATAAGTCACAAGTCCAGAGTTCTAGACTTCTGATTTCAGCTGTGTTCGGCCGATGCCCCGCTGATACTCATTGAAAATGGTAAGCAAGACTTAAGCAAGATGTGATTGGTGTTCATCGAGCATGGAATGTTTTCGACAGACTAGTAGTGAGATGCCATCCTCCGCTCGGACTGGCGGCCGAAGCAGCCGGGACCACAAGCAAGCAGACATGCGGGGTCGGCACGAGGTTGTCCGCGGACACCGTACGTCGTTTAGAACCTCGACTCGATAACGGAAGTTCGCAATGATTGACCCCGCCTTTGAGATGCCTTGGCTAAATTTAGTCTCGGAAGCATAGTGGTCCATATCGAGCTCCTTATCTCTCATGCGTAGCTGTGATAGCCGATAGGATATCTCATCACACACATTTTCAAGCATCCACCAACAAGCCTGCAATAACCAGTATCATTCGACATAATGCAGGCATACGTGCTTCTGGTGTTACTCGCACTCCTTGTAGGAGCCCAGCTTCTGGCCAAGATCTATCGCGGCTTCGCGGCCCCACTCGCATCCGTCCCCGGCCCTTTCCTTGCGCGATTCACGGACCTCTGGTACGTATGGAGGATTCATCAGGGCCGCTTTGAGGTTGATAACATTAAGCTTCATGAAAAATATGGCAAGTAATCTCCTGAAGATATTGTATTAGAAAGAGGTGCAGTTTTGAGCCGAACATTCCGTCATTTTCAACAGGTCCCGATTAGATTACCCATACGCAGCTAATTCATCAAAGGTCCCATCGTTCGATATGGTCCGAATAGATTCAGTATCAATGATCCACATGCAGCGAAGGTGATCTATGGTAACGGCCACGCGTTCGCAAAGTCCACATGGTATGACACGTGGGGTGATCCGAACCCTTACCAATGGTCTTTGTTCTCGGATCGAGATGAGAAGCGCCACAGCGAGAACCGCCGTCTCTATCAGAGCATGTACAGCATGTCATCCTTGGTGAACTACGAAAGCTACGTCGACGAGTGCGCGGATCTATTTTCCAGAAGGCTCTCGGAGATGAGTGGTAGAGAAAAAGCGGCGCAACCCGTTGACATGGGACACTGGTTCCAGTGTTACGCATTCGATGTAGTGGGTATGATCACCTACTCGAAGAGACTTGGTTTCTTAGATCAAGGACTGGATGTCGGAGCGGTGATCAAAAATCTTGAAAATCATCTTTACTATGCAACAATGGTTGGAGTATACTCATACCTTCACTCATACCTAGCCCCTATCAGGAGTCGGCTAGGTAAACGGGGCACAGGTAGGCAGTTCATCGTCGAGTTCACCAGGGGTTGCTTAGCAGACCACCAGACGAAACCCAAAGCAGTTGACGCTGAGGATACTTCACACCTCTCGGAACAGTCTGGGACAATGGATTTTCTCTCCAAGTTCCTTGGAAAGCACTCTGAGGATTCATCAATATTCTCCCAGTATCATGTCTTGGCAGGGTGTGTGTCAAACATGGTTGCAGGCTCGGACACCACTGCTATCAGTCTCAGCGCCATCTTGTACCAGCTTCTCCGGAATCCGAAAGAGATGAGCAAATTGCAAAAAGAGATTGATGAGTTTTATTCCCGGAGAACCGGTGATCCTCGGCGGCTCAACTTCCAGGAGAGCCTCAAGCTACCATACCTCCAGGCAGTCATCAAAGAAGCATTGAGATTGCACCCTGCGACTGGTCTTCCTCTCGAGAGAGTTGTTCCTGAGGGAGGAGCAACTATTGCCGGGAGATTCTTTCCAGCAGGGGTACGTTGAAGTTCCACTAACATTGAACTATCGTGAGCTTTTGTTGACCATTGTCAGACCATCGTGGGGATCAACACCTGGGTTGAGCACCACCACACAGCCATATTTGGTGAAGATGCAGCCGCTTTCAAACCTGATCGCTGGCTAACTACGGATACCGATCGTTTGTCGGCCATGAATAGACACTGGATGCCGGTAAGCCCCGTGAAAGAAAAGACGTAGAGATGACGTGTTCTGGTGTCGTTACTGACGAGCTGATAGTTCGGCCTGGGATCACGAACTTGCATCGGAAGACACATCTCAATCCTGGAAATATCAAAACTGATGCCTAGATTATTGCACGAGTTCAATTTTGAACTTTGCAGGGACGCTCCCTGGGTGACAAGGAACTGCTGGTTCGTCAAGCCAGTGGGCTTCGACGTTCGAGTCAATGTACGGCGATCGCAGGGTGTCGTGGTAGGGGTTGTTTAGGCTTCTCGCGGCTTGGATGCCCGCTTTAGAGCGCCTACTGCTCGATGTTCTTGACATAGTTACGCCCCAAATCGGAGTGAACGAGTGTGTTGTGGTCTACTAAATCAAAGTACAAGAATTGAAGTCCCAAAATTCCAAATCCTCATGAATATCTTCAAAGCATTGATGTGCCAAACGATTGCAATCCTTCCGAACCCCGAGGCTATGCTGTGATTTTCAACGCCGTCGTGCTTCACCCAAAAAGATTTGAGCAGCAAATGTTACATGTACATTTTCGCTCTGCCGCTGGTTTTCTTCATCCTACATGCGACTTGTACGGAGTCTTTGGATCTCATCCTTCTTCTTATCAGCACTTTTCCCTAAGTCTTGTTTGTAAGGCGCACGTACTGGTGAGAGGTCACGCGGAGCACGAATTACATAGGAGTTTTTTCTTGACTCGAACTCAAATTGTTGGTGATTGAATTCTTCTTTTAGATACCGGGAAAGCCTGTCCGGTGCGATGGAAGAACCGGATATCCTCTGGCATCCTTGCTGCTTATTCCGACGTACATTGAAGCTGCTATCCATTTCGTGATGGTGTTTTCCTTTTATTTTTTTCCAAAAAAAAAAAGACGCAGCCAGCTGAGTGGGAGAAAGAAAGTGAAGGGGGACAAAGTCGATTGCCCGGACGGAAAGTGCCTACACTTAAGAGCCGGAGAGAAGCCTGCAACATCTGCAGCATGCAAGCTTGGATAGGGTATGATTGGTTCATCCGACACCAGCGTGCCACAAAGATGCATCACATCTGCATCTTGCCCAATCGAAGGCGTTCGTTGCTCGGAATGCAGGTTTAAGCGGTCTTTCTGTCGAATGAATGGGCAGACCGAAAAGACACACCACATTTGCCCTCACACCACCAAAGCGGAAATACCGCACCCATGGCAAGGCAGACTGTAACGGCTTAGGGCTTCCCTTGAAGTTCGTACTGATTACCGACTGGAAGACACTCTTATCCTCTGGTCCCTCTCCCCACTTTAAGTGAACTACCTATCAATCGCTCAATTATGCCCCTAGCAGACCGGCAGACCGACACCGCATCATGCAGTATGCAGTAAGCGGTAGAAATCGATGGCATGCCAATAATCAAGGCCTATTGCAGATGACAAGGGTTTCGTTGCCCTTTCGATCATGTTCTGAGCCCCCTCTGTCACCGACTTTCCCATTCATTTGCTGGAACGGAATCTCAGCTGCAAGTAAGCGTCGTTAGTCCACAGCCTGCCGCTGCCCCGGTCAAGTCCCGTCCATTCTCCGTCGCAATCGCCGCTTACACCACTGGAAGGCCACAGATCCTATGGCCGACCATTCCTCTCAGAGGCAACAAATCGTGAGGCTGCGCGGCGTGTGTAGTTAATCCTGTCGTTAAATCCCTCTCTCCCTCTAGTAAAATGAGGCATCGTTTTCCCCTTTGCTTTGATCCCGCGACTCTGCTTCTGCAGGCTGTCTGATGATACAAATCGTGCACATTTGATCTCTCAGTGAGCAACGCCATTGAAGCTCACTAACCCACAATGGCGCCAGAGCTACCTAGCCCCAACCGTCGCCACCTTCGTAATACGTTGAGCGAAGATCTGGCCAAACTGCATCTCGGTAATATTCCAAAAGTCGTTGTTGTTGGTGCACATCTTGAACCTGACTTGACAATGCGAGCTAGCCTGACATGAATTTCAGGGCGACGAATCCAATCCCGCACTCGACGCTATCCATGGTAATCGGGGGCTCGATAGCGTTCCCAAAGAACGTCCAACTGCACCGAGCGAACAAACGAGTGTAGGAAACCGGAACCCACCAATCGGCTCGACAGACCAAGCCCAGATTGTCAGCAGCTCATACACTGGGGTACCACTGGACGAGCTTCTCCGAAGTCATTTTCAGCCACATCCTCACCCAGAAGTGACAGAAGGTTATCTCCCGGCTGGATACTTGAACGAATTGGTCCGTCTCGATGTCGTAAAGCAAGAACTTGAAGATGCTTTCGGCGACGACAGTGATATAGACTGGATCGCACACAAGGTATGCGACAGCTCCCTACAGAGCAAGTCCTATCGACAGGTGTTTGCGATCCTTTGTCTGATCGAGAGAGTAAGCTCTATCGAGAAGTTTTTAGATCCTACCGCGGGAGTCTGTGACTCAGACTTGCCTCTTCAAAAAGTCGAGTTGGGACAAAAAAACAAGGTTGACCTACGGAAACGGGAAGATGTAGACAAGCCCCTGGGGTGTTTCCGAGGGTGGAAGCATAACTCACTGAAGTCGTTCGATGACTGGCAATGGACACTAAGGGTTCCCTTTCTCAAAGGCATTCGCGGAAGCGAGGCTCAGTATCGCAAGTTCGATGATCGAGTCATCCTTCCTCTGACGTACGAATCCGATCCCAATGGGGATGGGGCAAGTGGAGGGTTCAGTGAAGTCTTCAAGGTCAAGTTACATCCCCGACATCATAACTTCAGTCCAAACGGCGCAGACGTAAGCAAACGAGCCGATTTCAACGGATGGCACTATCTTTTAGACGATCAATAGTTGCTGACCGAGACCGACAGTGCTACTTTGCTCTGAAGAGGCTGCGATCAACGGATACAATTGCCTTCCAGCGAGAACTCCAGATGTTGCGGAAATTTGAGAGCGAAAATGCGCACGAGCATCTGATTTCCCTGCTCACAACCTGGAGCCAAAAGGGATTCTTTTACTTCCTCTTTCCGTGGGCTGAGTGCGATTTAGTCAAGTACTGGGAGATCCACAAAAAGCCAGAAATGAATATAGATCTCGTGCGGTGGGTTGCAAGGCAGACAGCAGGCATGGCCGCCGGTCTTGCAAGAATCCATGAATACCCAGGAAAGGTCGATGGCAACATGGAAAACGCTGTAAAGTACGGACGCCATGGAGATATCAAGCCGGAGAATATTCTGTGGTTTCGATGCTCGGAAGAGGATCTAGGAAGGCTCGTGATATCGGACTTCGGACTTGGTGTTTTCAACAGCAAGAGAAGCCGGTCTAATATTCCCAACGACTCTGGCATAGGTCGAACTCCTACATACCGCCCACCAGAGTGCGATATCGAGGGTGCTATGATCTCCCGATCATGGGACATATGGACTCTTGGATGTGTTTACGTCGAGTTTGTTACATGGCTGTTGGGAGGGTGGGAACTTTCCGAACATTTTGCTGAATGGCGAATGACGACATCTTCAATCTGGGGCCAGGACTTCAAGTCCGATATCTACTTTGACATTGTAGAAGTTCGTGTCCCAAAAGACCATGACACCTCATCAAGAAGTATGGGTGCTATGGTGAAACCAGCGGTGACTCGGGTGAGTACATGTATCGTCTGGAATATTCAAAGAAGAAGTTGACTAACAACGGCAGTGGTTTGAAGGACTTCACAATCACCGAGACTGTTCTCAGTACACCCATGATATTTTAAGATTGGTTCAAGACAAGATGTTGATTGTCGAATCCGCAGTGAGCAAAAGAGCGACATGTAAGGAAGTATATGAGGAATTGCGACGAATTCAGAGACGATGTGTGGAGAGTAAAGGCTATTGCGTAAAGGCCGTTCCGTTGCCTCTACCAGCGGCTATTGGAGAGACTCCTGCCGTCAAGATCAGACTCAACGACAATGCGCTGGATACAATCAAGAGAAATCATCCAAGGTTGCGCACTCATCAGGGCCGCACAGAGGAACCGCCAAAAACTAGAGGTGGATATGGTGATAACCTTCTGCCTCCCACAAAAGGAGCATTGTATTGAGAGACTACCGATACTTTGGATCTAGAAAAGGCTGTCAAAATGTGCGACGAAAATATCACACCATTGAACATATCTCTCATAACTATCTATCTATTCATCACCGACCTCAATATCCCAAGGGTATGTTAGGTGCGCGTCTAGTAAAAGTCTCCCTGGGCCCTCACCCAGTCATTGTCTGACGCGACACCTGCCTATTGTTGGTATAGTGACCAGAGGCAGTTTTAAAAAGATTCTTCTCTTCCTTCATACATGAAGCTGTTAGCAAAGTTGGAACTTGCATGTTTTGCTCTAAGGCAGTAGACGCTTACCGGCGTGAGAGGACGCGGCAGGTCGAGGTTCCATTTCCCTCGTGAGAACTAGTGGTTCGACGATCAGCTTAATATGACTAGACAGCAATCAATTGGGCCCTCTTACCCGTATTCCAATGTCATTTCTTGCAGTGTTCGGGAACAATTCTCTCAGTTTCTGATGGAGCATTGTCTCATCGCAATATCGACCACTGACAAACTCCTTCGTCATGATGGCTGATCTTATGGCCCCAAAATGACCAGAAATGTGTATTTAGCAAGTGATGTGCTGCTAATAAGCACTTTTGGAAGGTCTACCTATGAGGACCCTGCTCCTGGGGGTTGTTGATACCGAATCAAGCTATGCCTCGTGGTTGGTGGGAAGGGGAAAGCCTGTGCCGTTAGGCTGCCCAAATGAGGCGAACGAGTCTCCAGTCAATGGCTGTGTCGGGCACTGGCGCATTTGATCTCGCCATTTCCATGTCGGTAGCTACTCTCTTGGAGGGTGGCCTAGGGTGGTCATTGGAGATAGCCTCGAAGTCATTACCATCATCGAACCCTGTTGTCAGCCCGCAGTCACGTCTACTTCTTGGTTGGCAAGATTTCATCCTGGCGGAGCATTTACCCTGGGTCGCAAGCCTGCCTGCATCGTGCTAGCTCAGTTCGTTTCTATGAAGTCGTAATTGGCGATGGGGCATTGGCCTGCAGGAGGGGTGGATACTTGTGAGTTTTAACCCCTCCTTCATAAACCGGAGAGCGCCTTGTGCAGATTTCAGGCTTTTTTGTCGCAGTCGGGCTGCCTCGAGATGCCTCTTTGCATGTAGAAGTGCCAGTTTCTCTGAAAACTGACCTAACCTTTTGGAGACAGGTCGCCAATCTCTGGTGAATCTCGAGAAAGGGAGACTGGTGTCTTAAAGATGTCGTGAAGCCATTGTATAGACGCGAAGTATCAGCTTTCTTCATGTTCTGGATGGTCCAGTGTTTTTCACCTTTGATCAAGTACTTAACCTACTACATAATATTACCGTCTCCTCTTACAATTTACGCTTTGAAGTATGGACTGGCTTCTGGATGGATCATTGCTCAGCCATATTGAGACCGATCTTACCAACGTTTTTGGATATCAGCCAAGATCTGTCAAGGTTGTCCAACTTGACTGTGAGGACGAAGTGAGATACAGCACTGGTTGAAGTTGAAAAGTTCAAAAACAGCTAAGATTATTGCAGGAACCTAAACAATGGATACTGAATGACGAAGATTGGAAGGAATGGTTCCTTGGGGTCTGTGACCGTTTCTACATTACAAGAAAATGTTGGTTCATGGGCTAAAATAAGGGATAAGAACCACCAAGAACTTCACCAGAGCTATAAGCCCAGGGTCAACTTGATGTACGTGAATTTCAGCAGGACTCTCCCATCCCTATTCGGCCAATCATTCTTGAACTATGATGCTCATGACTATTCTAGTTTCGCACGACGTGCTCAGGGCAGCGAGTCAGAATGTCAATCTACAAGCATTCGATACCTTCCATTCACCTTTGAAACTTTCAGATATATTTCACTCAAGTTTCTGATTCATAGCGGTATTTCCCGCGTTATCAGCCGTGCAGACGTGGCAGCATTTTGTGCTGGAGAGGTGAACATGGGCGAGCTGGGAGACTCCACTATAGGTCAGTCGGTGCCAGAGCTTCTCGTTCCTTTGGCGGTTTCAAAGTCTTTGAATCTAAGTCTCCAAAGTATATCACTGCAGAACTTCAAATGCATGGCCTGGTGATTTGGCCCTCACCGTGTCACACATTTTAAAGACAGGGTCCACCAATGCGATATTCTTCGGCACCGATGCTGAGATCGAAGAAGAAATAATCGACAGACTCTACTTTTCCTCTCAAGCTTTACAGCACCCGTTCCTCCTTCAAGGAATATTCACTGAACTGGAGAGAAAAAGACAGCTAAAGCGGCTCGTCGAGGATACTCAAGATGAGCTAGAAAGAGCCATCTCGAACTTGAGCTCCGAGAGCGTCACCCAAAGTACGAAAGCTTCTACGCAACCCACCATTGACCTTTGGCTAGAGACTACAGAGCTACGAAACGGCCTGATGAATTGGAAGACACAGTTGAAAGAGATGCTGCTTCATATCGAAGAGATGGCCGAGACATACCCAGTACCGAGAGTTGCGGGTCGTCCTTCAGCATTTGACATTGTTGATGCTGAGGCAGATATGATGCGGAAGCAGGCAAAATTAAATTCTACGATCAAAAGTCGGCTGAGATCCATAATACATGAGTATGAAGAGACTATCAGAGATTGTACAATGAGACTAGATGGGATGTCGATGGCGACTCAGCTCGTAAGTCTATCAACATGTTGATACACGTATCAGTCACTGCTACATTAGTATCATGCCGCTAACTATTGACAATGTTGAGTCTCATGCGAAAACCAACATGCAAATTGCACTTGAGACCAAACGGGACGGAAAGCGTATACAAAACATTTCAATTTTCTCTATGATATTCTTACCCAGCATGTTCGTTGCAGTAAGTTAATTCCTTGTCGCTGTTGATACATCACTGTGTGATAACAGCACAGCTGGCAGCATAGCAAATGGACATGGAAACTGACGATACACCACCCCCTCTCTAGACAATCTTCTCAACAGACTTCTTCAACTGGTTTCCCACTGAGAAAGACGCAATGATCTCCCCATACATTTGGGTTTTGGTTTCCTTCTGTATTTGTTCCAGCGTTCTGATACTTGGTGGATACTACCTAATGTCCACACGTCTGATGTGCCTTCGTATCGCACACCAGAAGTCACGGAAGTGGTTGTCGATGGTTTAGTATGAGCTACATGAGTCATCGGTGGAACGGAATAATCAAAAAGGATTGACTGTAAAGGTTCTTGACCTGGCCGAGCCCACAGAATATTGAGTGGCAGGCTGCCCTTGCGCGCTCCAGGTGAACTAAAGAAGGTAGCTCGAGTATGATTAAAACACAGTCAGGTTTGAGCAAAATTGACCCTGACATAATTGCGTCTCTCACCAAATGCCTAAAGAATGTCTTGGTACCACCACAAGCACAAGCGTATTCCAACTACCTCAAGATCTGAATGACCCCGGCGCTAAGACTAAACGGCTGAACCATTCTTTGCCTGTGCGATAGGCATGTCGAGGGAAACAGACTGCGCACTTTCGAAAGTGACGTTGGTAGCTGCATCATACGCTTGCAATTGTGTGCGCGCTTCTTGCGCACCACTTCTTACCAAGTCCGCGATCGTCCCAGACCGAGGTAGAAAGCGTACTTTGAAAGGCAGTGGACGATTTACTTGAGACACTGTGTACGCGTCTGGATCCAGAGCAACCTCGTTACCCTGTTATGGGAATATTAGCCGCTTGTGTAGGTATGGACGATGTTCAATAGGGTGCGAGCCTACCTTTTCGTCCAGACCAGGACGAATCTCGAAGGCCCAGAGGAGAGAGACGATGGTGAAGTACAAGCTTTGTTGAGCCAAAGCTTCGCCACTGCAGACTCGACGTCCCCACCCGAAGGTATTGTGCCCACGCTTGTTAGGATAAGCTGGCCCATCGAAACCTTCCATAAAGCGTTCAGGCCAGAATCTATGCGGCTCAGGAAATTCACGCGGGTTTCGGTGCATGGCGTAAAGGTTTCCGATGATTGACGTCCCTCTTGGGAAGAAGAAGCCGTTGTAGATATCATCCTCGATTGGGGCATGGGGAGGCCCGCCGAGAGCAAATGCGGGCCTCCACCTGAGCGTTTCGTTAATGACTGCCGCCAGATATGGGAGGCTATCTTCATCGGACCATTCAGGGTAGCGGTCACGGCCGATGATGCGATCGATTTCCTCATGCGCCTTGCTTTGAACTTCCTGATTCAGGCACATAGCCAGAACGAAGGTCAGCATGGTGCTAGTAGTGGTGTCCACCCCGGCACCGATGAAGTTGCCTGTAAGGTTGGAAATTTCGACTTTGCTAAGACCATGTTCCTCCTTCTCTTTGAGTAGTCTCTTGGCAAAATTGTCTTGAGCTGCGTTGGATCCCTCGTCTGATAGTGCGTAGAAATACTTGTTCGACGTCTGAGCCAGCTTTCTGAGTTGGTTCGGCAGCGGGTTCAGCCATGACGGCATATCAGCGAGAGCTGGTATGGCCTCAGTGTAAGTCTTGCCTGGGAACCCGAGGTTGGCACTGCCGACATATGCCTGGGCTACCTTCAAGACTGTGTCTGATTCAGTACCGATGCGTCTGCCCCAGGCAATGACGGATACAATCGATACGGTAAAGCGCAAAGCGCTGTCAACGAATCGATCAGGTTTAGTAAGGCAGTCTTCGATCAACAACTTCGCTTCGTTGGCTTGGGAAGGTCGGTATGCCTGGACCACTTGAGCGTTGGCAGCAGAGTGCTGTGTATCACATAGTTTGCAATGTCAGCAGCGGGACTCTCAGGCAAAAATGATTAATTGAGCCACTTAGAATGGAAAATGTCTTACAGTCAGACGGCGGTGTACACGCCACTGTTCGCCATATGCAAGGCCCGCCTGGTTGAACTTGTTGAGACCGAAGATCTTCCCAGTGAGGGTCTTCACAGGTCTGGATGAGAAGACGTTGGCCCGCTTATCGCAGAGGTCAGACATCGACCAAGCATCATTACAAATGACGACCGGGGTATGTCCATCCCAGATTGTGATGATGGAAGATTGGTGTTTCAGCGACCATTCCTCAAATTTCTTCCACTGCCTGCTGCTCGGGATGTGGAATATGTTGCCGAAGAGAGGAAGCGGCAAAGGCCCCGGTGCCATTCGTTGTCGGAGCCGCAAGATACGGACGTAGTCTACGAGTACATCGATAACACCAAAAACTAGGGTGATCACGGCAAAAATGACTGGTAAAGCGACCAGGATCATGATGCCTGCCAGGTTGGTGAGAATTTTGTATGAAAGAGTTGGAATAAAATAGATGGTGGTGAGATTTGTAGGAATTACGTAGCGGTAGACTTCGACATGTCAAGTTCATAACAGAGTAAAATATGAGGTATGGTATGAAGGCGTCGTCACGCTAGAACCAGACGTGAGTCGGGGACATCATTATAAGCGAGAAGACTTATCCAAAAACAACACTTCCGTTATCATCGCTTTAGCAAGCTTCGGCTCCAATTGCCTAGTGCATCTTGTTAATATCGATGATATCTTAGGTCCATGTCCATATCGCAGCTTTGGACTCATGATGACACCCCCGGGGTATGATGTGAGCTCGGTAAATGCAGGGACCATGAGTGGACCGGAAAACAGACCCGGCCACCGGCTTCGTACTGCGCGCCGGCCGACGTGTTATGCTCACCCCGCTCAACCCCTCTTGGCCGGACTTTCGAGATAGGTAGGGCGTGACGACTAATACTGTGGGCAGCGGAATGCTCTCAGTGTGAAATCCGGACATGTTCAGTCACTTCAAAACCCCAGAAGTCTGCACAGAACGTGGTCAAAGCGGAGACAGATTCTTCCCCCAACGTAAAGTGGTGTTAATCTTTTCAACTACTTTGACTCGTATTTGATCAGAGCCTGCGACTGTCCAAGTCAAGTTTACTGGCCGTGCCAATTTCCAGCATCATCAATATCAGGACCATGCAAGCAGGACTGTCGACCAGCTATTTCTTCTGCGAGTATTTTTTCGGCACAGGAAGAGTTGCGTAGTTCGACATCGCATCTAAATGCTCTTTCGGCGAGATTGGCTTGCCCTCTTGCACATATGTTCCCAACAGCTTGAAGTAGTTGATGTAATATGCCGGGGTATATGTGTTGAAGAACTTGGCCTCCTGATCAGTCGGGTTGCTGAAGGTATGCGGCGCCCGAACAGGGACCGTAACATAGTCGCCCTCTTTCGCATCGATGGTGTCCTCGGTGCCATCGGGCTTCGGGATGTGATATCGAATCGTACCTTTAGTCGTCAAAAATGTCTCGTCGTGCATCTCGTGCCAATGGGCTGGAGGCCCTTTTAGTCCAGGAGGGAGAGTAAACTCGGCGGCTCCAATTCGATTGTCTATGAGCGCAGATTATACGGTCAGCTCTTGCTTGATAGAGCCGATCTTACACGCTAGGTAAGATTGCTACAGAGGGTGTTTTGATGTAGTTGACTACCTGTACGAGATCCATCTTCTAAGACGCGGCATGTGATCAGTCCTAGCTTGATAACATCCCCGGCCTTAGCAGGGACAAAGTTGACCGGTATTCCGTCAGTTGGGATATCGCGACCGGGACCGAGTTCAACATCGTCGTCCACCTCCATGACGAGAAAGTATGATAAAGGACTTGAATTCAAGAGGAAAGTGTGATGGTCCGTGAGTGGTTGTAGTTAATTTGCAACGCCTTAGACCGCGATGTTGATGTTTGAACAAAGAAATGGGAGGTGTCGTGACGTTATATGCATTCTTCAAATCACCTAGGTAACTCAACTACCAAAAGCGAACATGTGCAAATCACGCACAAGGATCTAACTCATCGTTCTTTTTTCTCGACAGCCGGGGGAAAACCCGAGCTCCGTAGTCACGGAAACAAAGTTTAATCTCATCGGCCGGGTTTCCCACTTGTCTGGCTCGTGTTCAGTCTGGTCCGGCGCGGTGGACATGGGCCCGAAGCGACCCCCGACATCCCTGCCTGGTTCGTCAAGGAATTAATACAGAGAATCTCGTGTCAAGGCATTGTTGCCGTTAAGTACGACCGTTTCGCGGCAGGAAATAAATGTAGACATAAGATCCGTAGGGACGCCATTAATGCACTTTGGTCTAAGCTATCTTATAATACCTTACTCTTGCCGCTGAAGCAATCGAGATCACGTCCAAACATCCACAAATTAAGATTGATAAGCACATTATCTCTTCCGAATTCCACCACCATGTACTTCGAGCCGGGAAGCCAACCGGGTAAAATACCACACAATCTTCCCCATGATCCTTTCAAGGCCTGCGTTGTTCCTCGACCAATTGGCTGGATATCGACAATATCGGCAACGGATCCAGAGACACACAACTTGGCGCCTTATTCTCAGTTCAATAACCTCACATTCGATCCGCCGTATGTGATGTTCTCGGCCAACCAGAAACCGGACCAGCAAAGAAAGGATACGGTTCTCAATGCGGAGCTGACCGGCAAGTTCTGCTGGAACCTAGCTACTTGGCCCTTGCGCGAAGCTGTCAACATCTCGGCTGAGCAAGTCGAATACGGAGTGGACGAGTTTCAGCGTGCAGGTCTGGAAAAGGAGTATAACCGTGCGCTGCCCGGAGATCCTGTCCCCATGGTGAAGGATAGTCCGGTCAAGTTCGAGTGTGTCTATCATACCACTATCAGACTGCCGGCCAACCCTCCCATGGGAACTGTCGACGTTGTAATTGGGAGAGTTATAGGGGTGCATATCCGAGATGATGTCTTGACTGATGGCAAGCTCGACGTCAGCAAGACACAGCCTATTGCTCGTTGTGGGTACTTCCAGTATACCGTGGTGCGAGAAACCTTTGAGATGATCATTCCTGGGATGGACGAAGCTACACGCGCGGGGCTGGAAGGAAACAGCGCGATTCATAGCAAGGTGAAAATGTTGGAGAACGGCTCGGAACGGCCAGATGGTGCCCGAGCTGTCAATGGTCTTTGAGAGTTCAGCGTTTAGGCGTGAGATAGACACTTGATTCAAAAATAGCAGAGTAAGATATTCACTTAATGACAATTGAGCCTTGGTAAACTGAATCAAGAAGCGATCCAAGCCTCGTGTATCACATGTAGAAGTAGTACTTTTCATCAAGTTGTCAAGGTGGGAAGCGCGATGCAATTCAAAGCCAATGTGTCGGAATAATTCTGATTTTGTATTAATCTAGAGAATAATCTTCCATAAAAGAGAAGTCCTGAAGGTCTTGGAATTCTTCAGCCGAAAACGTATCATCGATCATCATGAGGCCGGGATGCGGCAACAAATCCGTGATCTCGTCGAACTGATAGCTGTTCATCCTGTTTGTATTCTGCGGATCTCCCTGTCCTGGTGTTCTCGGATTTTGCTGCAGGGAGATGTCCGTAGTGGTGGTTGGGGGTGTCAAAGGACCTGGTGGCTTTTTTGGACAAACATCTGGAGCCTGCTCCCGATTTTGATGCCGGGAGCTACTTGATGACAGGGAACTGTATGGACCGGCAGGCTGTGCGAAGGAAGTTCTCGAAGAAGATGGAGCATGACACGTCGTCGAGGCCAGTGAAGATGCCGAGGCTTGCCCATTTCTTTCCGAAGCCGTATGGGAGCCCCTTCTGCCTCTCTTGTCCACAGCTTCTTGTCGAGCAGACCTTGCCTTTCCCAACTGTCTGAGAACAGACCGCCATTGTTGCGGCTTTTGCCCACTCAGTAGTGAGGGAGGATGCTCCCATCTGAGCACAATGGTCTTCTCGATTGCTTGCCATGCCCGGCGGGACCCCTTACACAAAGGATCTGTTCGAAGCCAGTGTAAAACTAGCGAGAATGCATGCCACTGAGTATATGAACTAAACAGCCAAAGCCATGGACGGGTTCTGGGATCGGTCCGGAGCTTGCAATTAAGCTCGATGACTTCAACGGCGACAGCGAATAGTCGCTTTCGGGTTGCCTCGGTTAAGGCCCCCGACTCGTCATGTGGATTGCATCCATGGAGTCTAACCTTGTGAAATAGCATCCTCGTGAGGACAATGGTTACCTGCGATGGTATAGTTAGTATTGTTGCTCGAGTCTCTCCTACAAATTCCAGTGACACACGTGAAATAATCTAAACTCACCCAATGCAAAGCATTCGTCGAAGAGTAGTCTTGAAAGAATCTTTGAGAAAATTCGTGTTCACAGGAATCGATCCAGTCTGATCGCTCCTGACGAGATAGTTCCGCGTAGCTTTTCCTCATGTTTCCACAGTGTTTTCTTGAATCTGCCATGCAACGGTACATGTTCGTGATTTGGCATCGGGCTAGTGTAAACGTCATCTCAGTAATGCCTCTCGTCTCTGGTGGATACTCGAGCATTGCCGGATACAGCTGTGCATCGTTGAGATTCCGCGGTGGTTGGCTGTCGAAACTACTCATCTCAAGTCTATGACGGTGTTAATTTATGACTCGAACATGCATGTACCTCTCTTCTCGGGAAAGCTTACAGGTTGTATTCACCCGAGTAGTCCTCCGCAGAAGGTGCGTCGAGTACTGCAATTTGCCACCAAAGTCGGCGCCGCATTTCAATATCGAATGTCGAGAGTCCGAACAGGCTGCCCTCTCTATGGATGCCAAAATTTTGAGCGAGTCTAACAGCTAACCCAGAAAAGTTCCAGGAGAGTCGGGGCTCATGATGTCGCAGGAAGATGAGGTACAAGACCAGTGCCTGCAATGGTTGGATATCCCCGGTATGGATAAGCATGGCCTTTGAAAGCATTGCTTCCACCTCGTCTCGCAAGACTGCCAAGACTCGAGTTTGGCCGCTTTGAAACAGTTGTCCGCATTCTTCTTCGCCTAGGCTTGTCACGGCACCGTAGTAGACTGATAACATGATGCATCGGGTTCCGTCTTCGAAGTCCAATAAACGATGCCCGGTCACTGCTTGCTCGAGCGACGGCAGATGAAGCAACTTGGTCAGTGGCTCAACTCTCTCTTTGTAAATACCCCACAAGTGTAACTTTTGAGCGCCGAGGATAGAAAGAATTCTTCTCTTTGCAAGCGGAGTTTCATCGTCGGACCCAAAACCTCCCGGCTTCTTTGCGCACAAATTAGCGAAAGTATTGGACACGGGATCTTCAAAGTCATCGTCGTCTGATCGATCTTCGTCTGTTGCAGAGCCGCTGCTGATCTACTTGTTATTAGCCGAGGAGGTTATGTGGTGTTGTGCATAATCTCACTTCACTATTGCAATCCTCCCAAAACCATCTTCTCACATAAGTGTCTTTCCCGGCATCACGAATAATCCTGCCGTCACTGCCTCTGTGGTTTGGTAATACTACACTTGATCCTTCAGTATTGGACAAGTCCGAGGGACCATTTTGGACATCCGTGACCATGGCAGGGTCGAAGGAACCCAATTCCGTCGCGTCGATATCTTCCACCATGGGGGATGGGAGCGGGTACTGAAGACGTTCTTGATCACCGTCATCGTTGTGGCTGTTGGTTTGCTCAGGTGGTACAGGCTCTTGTCTGTCTCCGTCTTTCGGCTCCAGCGTTTGAACTACCTTCTCTAGTCTTTGAATCATTTCCACGAGCTCGGGGGTCATTACCATCTGCGTATGGTTTGCCTTGGCGGCCGGAAATGAGCATTCGCCTCCGTACTTGACGCAATTCCGACATGGCTTCTGCTTGTCGCACTTGACCTTTCGTTTGCTACACAAAAGACAGGAACGCCGTTTTCTCCCCGCGTTACTTGGTTGTTTAGGAGTTGGCGCGGGGGCAGTTGTCGACTGACCATCGGTTCTCGACGGTTGTTTCGGAGATGTGGTGATGTTGTCTGGCATGTTGTTGGGCGAGGGCAGCAAGCATTCGTATGTCGATAGGAAGAAAAGAGCTCTAAGCTGTGAGTGAGATTGGTGTGGATGCCACGTTGGAATAGAGGATTTAGGGTCCGGCAAGCCGGCCGAGAATACTTGAAGGCATGTGATTGGGTATCTGGGTAGCCTTAGAGAAGGTCTTGTCGGAATAGCAGGAGGTCGGCCGAAGTCGCCGGGGAGACCATTTGCTTTAGGCCCCACTTGAAGTCAAAATCCTCATTCAGACTGTTAATATGCAGAGATAACAAATAGGCGACTCTCAAAATCAGTCACAGGCTTCAAGCAAGTCGTCTTCCAAAGCGCATTCAACGAATGATCGACCAATCAGTTGCTCAGACCGTGAGTCTGCTTCATTTGAACCTCCATATACCCTCCACATCCTTTTCAATAGTAGACATTGAGGCAGATTGAAATGAAGCTTGGCTGCGAGGAAAGACTGCGATCCTTGACGGAAGGCACGTCAGCGGATCTTCCTGGAGTTGTATTAGCTGCATTGAACAGAAACGGTGAATTGGCCCTAGCAACTAGACTTGGAGAACCCATAACTAATCGATACATGATATAGGAATCTTTTACAGCCAATGCCATGGCATCAAGACAGCGGAATCGAGAGAGCAAATCACTATCCACGATGCCTTTCGCGGATTTTCTTGCACGAAGCTGATTACAACTATATCTGTTTTGCAATGTATCGAAAAGAAGATGATCGGTATCGACGATGAGGTGGAAGACATACTGCCCGAGCTTAAAGACCTGCACATCATATCGCCGGACCCTAACGGATCCTTCAACCTCGAAAGAGCTAGGAACAAAATAACGGTTCGGCACTTACTTACCCACACCAGTGGCATATCGTATGACGCCATGCATCCACTGCTCGTAGCATGGCGACAGTCGCGAGGTGAACAGCCCTTGGTGATGAGTGGGAAGACTATCGAAGCCTTTTCACTGCCCCTTCTGTTTGAGCCCGGGACCAGCTGGGTCTACGGTGCTAGTTTGGACTGGGCTGGAGTGCTGGTGGAGAGGTTGAGCAGCATGAAGCTCGCAACTTACATGGAGGAGCACGTGTTCAGCCCCCTTGGACTTAGAGACTCAACCCTTCACATAACCGCAAAGCCGGATATGCGAGGGCTGCTAGCTCAAATGTTCTTGCGAAACAAAGAGGGGAAGCTGGCTCCTATTCCCTCACCATACCCAGAAGATGCACAGGAGAGCTCCGGTGGGATGGGGCTGATCACTACCACCTCAGACTTCCTCAAAGTCTTGACGGACCTACTCAAGGACAATCCAGTGCTCCTCAAGGCCGAATCCGTGACAGAAATGTTCACGCCTCAGTTTCACCAAGGCACCGTTCAATACGAAGGGTTGATCAAACAAGAGGTCTGTCCAGCTCCCCACTCCATGGCGCAGCAGCCAAGCTCAATGCCCAAACTCTAACACGAAGGACCGATAGTCTTTGCATAAACAATTGACGGGAGACGATACGGGATGCCCCGGAGTAGCATTCGGGCTGGGGGGCATGGTCGTCAGACAGGATACGCCTAATCTCCCCGCAAAATGTCTGACTTGGAATGGGCTGCCTAACGTTGGGTGGTTTATTAACCGAGAAAGGGGTCTTGGAGCTATCTATGTGAGCCAATTGCTTCCCGCGGGAGATCCGAAGAGTGTGGAGCTCCTCGGGGAATTCTGGCGGGAGCTTTGGGCTGTTCATCTTGCAAGGCAGTAATTTCACTTGAAAGTGTGCAAAAGAAGTTGACGAATTGGCTGAAGAGCTCAACATAAACAACTGTCTATTCTTAAGGAAGTTTCTATGTCCCTGCTTTTCTTCTAAAACTTTTACGTCACTTCTTTGCGAGCGATGGTCACTGATAATTGGCTAATACAATGCCAATCTACTCTTTCGCAACTTGAACCGTTATTTCCCCTCTTAGACCAACAAGACTGAATGTTTTCATTCGGTAACAATTGGGCCCTCTCAGAGGTGAGTTCTTTTCGGACGTAAGAATGCATGAATCTGAGCGTTCTCGATATCCCAAATCTTCTCCTTGACCAACGGATCATCCAGAAGTCGCGCTAAAACCCGTTCCCGCGTGGGCGCGAGGACAAGCATGGCACTGCCCGTAATGTGCGGGGGTTGGCCGGGGCCCACGGGCTCCGTCAAAGTGGCTCCTGCGTTGACCGAATGTTAGCTAAACATGGATGTGGATAGTATTAACGAAGACGGCCCCGGGTATCCCACCTCCAAACACCCAAAAGCCTTGAGGATCTGTTTTCATCCGCTCGATGTGTTGTCTGTTTCGCGTCAGGATGTCAGTTGGTGACCTGTCCGTCGAGGTCTGGGCTGAGACATACGGGAACACGGCAGCCCTCCGTTGTTTGGCCTCCGGAAAGTCTGGGACGTGAATGAGCCACTCCGAATTTTCTATCTGCGGGTTGGACGTTGTCTCCATTGCTGACATGTTGTATCTTGTCTGGCTGTACTTCAACCATAATATATCAAGTTCTATCGATCGTGTTAGGGACCAGCTCATCTTATACAGAATAAGCTGACGCCGGTTCAAGTTTACGTTCGCTCTGGAATGCTTCACCCTCCGAAACGCCGACTGGGGTTGGGACGGGGAGCTGGACCGGAGGGGTCGGCCGAGCTCCTGTGCTTTCCTGCTAATCATATCCACGTTTCCAAACATGGCGACAAGCCTATAGCGCTATCGCCACCAGGGGCCGACCTCGTGCAAAGGAGTGGACTGCCGGACAGGTTCCCCGCCCAACACTCTATCAAGCAAGAATCCTGGTCCAGCATGGCGTTGATCTATTCCACGCTCCCATGTGCCGTGAGCAACGAAGGTGGACAAAAGGTAACCCAGTGCCGCTTTAGCTGCTGCGCTCTTACAAACAAGTCTTGGATTGGTAATTGTGACCATCGTCATTCGTGTGTAAGTGCTTCTCCCCGCACTTCGCCCCCCCTTGTATAGGCCTTATCTCTAGGCCTACACCATGTTCCCTCCGTGCGTCTCGTCCTAACATGGCTTGGTGGTGATGAAGCCCCCTCGTGATCCCTCCTTTTCCATATCCTTATCTCCAAGTAATCTATCAACTCGGCGCCTCTTGTCCTCTTCTTGCTTCGTAGAGCTAGTCTTTACTTCGGACTTGCCGAACTTTCCGCATCTATGTGATGCAACACAGCACATAAGAAACCAAGTTGTCTTCAGATTGTACACGACTCACCAGCACGCGACATCCGCGTTAGGTATATCGTTCTTCAAGCTCGAGAGGCGGAGCAAAACTCCTATCATCATTTCGTTATCTCGGGTATTTAGACCGTAGGTTCCGGTCGTGTAGGATTATGGGGCCTGGAGTGCTTGATTCCCCGGCGAAGGCTCGATCGCAAGCTTCACCCAGCAGTCAAGGAATTGCAGATTCAATTGTCGCTGCATGGAATCCCGCCAACAAAGAGAATCGACAGACGAAACAACAGCAACAGCAGCAACAGCAGCCTCTCCAACCTCGACAGCAGGACAACCAATCTCGCAATCAGTCCCTCCCACGCCGCGTTTGCACGGCATGCCGTCGCCGGAAGGTTGGTTGCGACAAAAAACAGCCGTGTCACCACTGCGAGAAGTCTGGAACAGACTGTGTCTACCCGCCTGAAGGAAGTTCAGCAGCACGGCAGTTTCTCACAGATAATCAGCTGTGGGAGCAGCTTCATCGTCTAGAGCCGATGTTCAAGACCCTGGCAGAATGCATGCAGCAAGGCACCATTCCACGATCCTCCGACCCCTTCATAGGATCAAGCTCCCGCCCGGATTCGATACCGACACTGCCTCAAACGCAACTCCCAGAGGTCAACAACGATCCCACATCGCCTTCACCACCGACGCCTCCCAATTCAATCGGCTCATCGAAAGGTGCATGCAGGGACTTGGAGAAAGAACCGGCCGCAGTCGACTTCCACAGGCTTCAGGCGCAACAGGTCGCAATCTCTCTCGGTCCGAAATCTCCGGCGAGGATTCTCGATATCGCGGCCGGTGACGCGTCGAAATTTGAGATTCCCAACATTGAGTGCGACAGTGCTCAAGGTGATTCGGTGAACTCCTGGTCTCCATATGGCACCTCGACAGGGAAGCTCGTCAGGGACGATGGCCGCGAAAGATACGTCAGCGGCACATTTTGGGAAGCCCTGCACACCGAGGTACGTCAGACTACCTACCTTTCAAAAGGCCAGAAGTGACTTTTTCTAATATTCGTGCGATTCATCTACAGAATGACCTGGATGACGGCGTGATAAGCGAGGATGATTCGGAATTCGAGGAGCAGACACCATCGTCTCGGTCAGGACTTTTGCAGTATTCCCTGATATCTACCAGCGGTACCCACGAAACCGACACTCGCTCCTTGCATCCTCCACTCAATCAGAGATTGGAAGCATGGCAGCTGTACAATACCAATGTACACCCTGTCGCTACTGTCTTGCATATACCTTCGGTTGAACCGATCGTCCTCGAAGCCATGCACAATCCACAAAATCTCTCTGCCCCCCTGGAAGCCCTGCTATTCGTCATATATGTTGGTGCAGTAAACAGCCTGTCAGACGATGAATGCGAAGCGCGTTTTGGATCGGCTCAATCTGATCTATTGGCACAATTTCGGCGAGGAGCTGATGCTGCCTTTGTCCGTGCGAGATTGATGGTCACGGATGACATGCTCACAATACAAGCCTTTGTGGTCTATCTCATTGCATTGCGCTGTAGAGACCCTACGTATTCATGGAGCATGACGGGGCTGGCTGTCCGGCTTGCTCAATCTCTAGGTATGCATCGAGATGGAACGACATTCGGCCTTCCTCCTTTTGAAGCTGAGATGCGTCGGCGATTGTGGTGGAGCATCTGCATTCTGGATACACCGGCGTCCGAGGACTACTCTTGTTCCTCTGGTCTGTGAGTCGTGACCACCCACTCGGAGCTTGCATGGATACTGACTAACTTGTCCATAAAGGCTGGAGTTAAGTAGCTTCGATTCGAGGCCCCCAATGAATCTAAATGATGCGGACCTGTATCCAGATATGACGGAATACCCTTCCGAGTCAAAGCGAATCACGACCATGTCTTTCACTGCAGCACGCTGCTGGGCATCAGACATATGGCGAACCATAATTGACACTCGAAGAGTTGACTCAACAACTGGATTGAACTTTATCTCAATGACGATAGCCGACAAGGAGGCGTGGGTTGAAAGACAGCGTGAGAACATCGCCGGCAAGATTTCTGAGAGTCAACCATCTCATGGTTCTCTACACTGCGTAAGTGACCCGCATCTAATGGTGTACTTTGTAAATGGGACTCGTATTCTTTCTGACGGCACACCTGTTCAAGCTTACGACCTCCTTCGTGGGCACCATTGTCGCAAATCTTCGCCTCATGGTCCTCAATCCACTTTCTTCTGGTGTTTCCCTCACCGACGAGCAAAAGAGACGCGCCTTCCAAAACGCCATCGAATGTATGGCACATTCATATCGTCTGCGAACCGACCCACAAGTAGCACAGTGGTCATGGCTTACAAAATGTTACAATGAGTGGCATGCTTTTGCAGTTGTTCTTTCAGAATTATGCAATCAGCCTTTGGGCAGGGATGCCGATAAGGCATGGCGTGTTGTGGAGCAAAGTGCTGTTCTCCGGTGGGACTCGTCGACGAGGCATAGTCGGGTACACCAGTGGCGCTCAGTGATGAGAAGCATTGACAAAGCTAGACGACGCAGAAAGAAGGAGTTGGGCCGGCGGAAGTCATCCTTATCAGATCGGCGTTCATCTTCAGCCTCCTCTGCTGCGAAACGTCCGACATTTGGAGGGCGATATCCATCGAAGGGCATAATGAGACCAAATGCAAGCACTAACCTTGTCCAAAGCGATAACAGTCAGATGGGTGCAGTCCCTTTGCCTCGTAGCGCTGAGCGAGAATTGGATGCGGCGATGTATAATGCAGACGAGATGATAGGACCTCTGATGGAGATGGACGATATGTGCGATTTCACTAACGAAGACGGCCAATTGTATTTTAGCCATACTTAGAGTATCTAGCGAGTCCTATGACGGTCTTGCAGACTTCTTCTTTCAATTCCAATCGAAACTTATCAGACTTCGTCGCAGATGAGGGATGAGAGGTGGGAGATTAACACAATCTAGCAGCCAAAACTCCTTGAATCTCTTCCTTTGTCATATGGGTGATGCCCAAGAGCTCATTATTGCGGCTGTAATCCTGTGCATATTCCGGGGCAAAAGTTGCCCTCATTGCGAATGCTGCGAATGCCTTCGGGCTGAACTTTCCCGATGAGAGCTCGTCTTCAGCATCCATGACGAGTGATTCGGTGTTGACTGCGATTGGCTTCCAAGCGTGGTCCTGATCCAAGGCTTTGAGAGTGTCTAGTAGTTGGTTGGGCGTCATGGCAAGGTCCCGAATTCGAACGGCCTGATTCTTGGTGGATTCGTATTTGTTAAGGATCGCAACAACAGCTTGCGCAACTGTCTTGATTCTCGTCGCCGAAAAAATGGTGTCTCCACCGTCAAAGATGTTCACTGTTCGGGTCGAAAAGTTCGCGAATGCTCCGAGTGACAGTCCCTCGTCGAACAAGACACTGTTGTAGACATACGTGTAAGTCAATTCGGTGTCCTGGACTTTCTTTTCCAGGTAGTTTTCAATCTCTACCTTGGTCCAGTAAGTCGGAAAGACACGAATCCTGGAATTCTGGAGATCGGCACCGAACTCTGACGGGATAAATCGCTTTACTCCGGTAACGATCGCAGCATCGATGAGTTTGTACTGGCTCTGCAATCCATTCTGCTTGCCCACCGCGGAAACAACGGCGTCAATGCTTTTGAGGGCATCCCGAAGTGAGTCGGACGAATCATAGTCAACTTCCACCACCCGGGCTTTGACTGGGTAATCGATCGACGTGCTTTCGCGGCGAATCAAAACCGTCACATCGAAACCTGCATCGAGCAGAGATTCTAGGATGCGAAGACCTAAGTTCCCACTTGCCTGATGAAATGGATTGAAATATCAGTTGATTACTCCAAACCTGAAATCTAATTTGACTGATTGGAGACACCGATAACTTACTCCAGCCAAAGCGACAGTCTTGATGTAGTTACCCTCGGAGACAGCCATATCTGAGCCTTTGTGATAGAGGGTGTGTTCGGTTGGGAAAACTGATGGGAGGAGAACTGCTTACTAACCATGAAAAGAAATACAGCATCAGAGTCAAGAGACTGACAATAGTGTTTTAATATTGCCCATGAATCTATGCAAGATTAAACTTTCTGTGGAGCGAAAGCTACCTAAGTGACTTTCGGGGTCGATGCGCCGCCTTCGCCCTTTCGGCCGGCGTAGTGTATCCGCCGCGTCTTCGGCACTTCGACGGCGCATTGCTCGAAGTTGCGAAAGATAGATTTGGTTCCAAATACATCAATTATTACGTATACAAAAGGCCCTAACTAACTTTTGTATTAAATTGACGCGGGATTACAATACTAGATCAATCTCACAAGTGCTCAAGTTCTCAGTAGTGTCGAATTACATGCTACCAGTAGAGGCCTAATTTTCCTTCGGCTTTTTGATTAAGTTGCTTGTGTTGATTCGATACATGGCAACCAGCGCCTCCTTCGCCTTTTCCATGTTCAAATTCTTCTGCCGCTGCTGTATGTCCCGCTGGCTCTCAAGCAACTTATCTCTGATATCAGTCCAATGTAAAGTGGATCCTGTCTCTCCAACTGTCACCGGGCAGACTTTGCCGCCTTTCTTCCTCCAGACTCCATCTATGAGAACAGCCTCGACATCTCGAATATCGCTGTGACGAACAACCGCAGTCAAGGGATCCGAGTCTGCAACGCAACTCATGCTCACGCTTCCAGCAGCATCAAAGAGGACAAGATCAGCCAGCTTTCCCTCCTTCAGTGACCCAATCTCGTCCCCCAAAAGGACTGCGCGGGCACCGTTGATGGTTGCTGCGTTAAAAGCATCCTGGGTGCCACCCGCTGGTTGGAGATTCATTCGTTGAGGGGCACCATCTGGACCAATCGTCTCTGAGATAGTCTCGCGTTGGCGGGCCATCTGCAAAGCAGATCGAGCCAGAGACAGAATTGAGGATGTGTTGTTTGTGTGGCAATCGACGCCGATCGTGTAGTTGATACCTGATGAGAAGGCGAGCGGCCAGCCAAAGCCCATTTGAGCTTCCGTTTCTGGTGTGCTGGAAACAGCAACCTGGGTTTCAGCCAATTTGGCCTTCTCGCTCGCATCAAGGCCTGTGGCATGTGAGAGCAAGATGTCACTCGGTGACTTGATGAGGCCATATGCCTCTAGGGTGTGAATCAACGGGTTTGCTCCTGGGTTGAAGTCAGAAATAGGTCTGCGTGCGGACTTGCGTGCGGACTGAATAAAACAGTGCAATGCTACAGTGGGAAAATCACTTACCAAAAGTTGGATTCTTGGCATAGTGGGATGTGAAGAGCTTGACACCAGCCTGACGAAGCCCGTTGAAAATGCCTACGATAGCCTCTTTGGGCAGGAACCAGTAGTCAAAGCCGAAGCCGATCTGAACCCTCCCGTTTCCATAGGGTTGTCCTTTCGCGAGCTCGAAGATATGCGCCATGCTCAAGTCGGGCATGATATCCATCGATAGTTCGCAGCTTTTGGAGTCCCATTTGGTGAAGTACGGAGCCTGTGAATAGGCGAAAATTGAGCGAATACCTGAAGCGATTGTGGCTGATAGTGCTTGGGTGGCTATGAATTTAATCTTATCAGCGGGTGGTTCTTTCAAAAATTGCTCTAGTTCTGAGAGACGCCTACCGTGTTCGTTCGTCTGATTGCCGTGGGCGTGATCAAGTACGAAGGTTGTTCCTGCATCTATCGCCTCCAATGCGCCACCCAACTGGCCCCAGAACATGTCCTTGGGAGAGTAGACATGGCTTTGCCAGTAACCTGAGTCATGTCAGCAAGTTGACTCTATCATTCTATAATGAGAGAGACTCGACATGGACGTAGACTCACTGACCTGAGGGAATGTAATCAAAGACTGATTGGTCTGCATGATAGCCTTTAAGTTGGGTCTGCCAGAGGTGATGATGAGTGTCAATAAAGCCTGGGCTGATGATCTTGCCGCTGCAGTCAAGGAGCTCAGCTCCTGCAGGGGGTGCAATTCCTTTCCCAATCTTGGCGATTCGATTGCCTTGCACAAGGACATCGGTGTCCCTGAGAGGCGTCACATCATCTCGCTCGTTATGAAACAAGAGGGTGCCGCCTTTCAGCAGAATGGAGCCGCTTGCTGGAGGCGTAGCTTGGCTTGTTGCCATTGTGTGACGCGTGCTGAGTGTTGGTTATAATTGGTCAAGTTAACAATACGGATCCGACCGCATTTGAGAACCCAATGTCACCGTTAGAGATGGTGTTCTTAAGCTAATGCATTTAGGAATAATCCACTTAACCGATTCCGGAGTTATGGAGCGGGGCAGCGACCGGTGGTCGGCAACCTCGGCCGAAAAAGCCGAAAAGGCTGGTACCTTGTCAATTGCATTAACAGGAAGACGGAGATAGGGAAGCACAGCGCCAAAGTGTGAGTCAACATGTTTTCAAGGCTTCGTCGGAACGATCGCTGGCTAAGTCTTATTATCAATGGCCAAAGGGAAGACTGGTAACCCCTGCATCATGTGCGATTCAAGCGCCACATGTCTTGAAGTGCCTTACCACCCGTGCAGTGAGAGGATGAACAGGGCAAAACCCAAGGGCGAGCTTTGTATACTGGCGGGTATATGGATCATTGCCTATCTACTGAATTCAAGGCATTGACTGCGTTCTTCCTAATACTCAAATTGACTGAGTTCGCACATAAGTCGCATGACCGAGCTGATGTGTGCATGTGTTAACGGCGAAAAGACACCTTCAAGACGTGTTAGACAAGTCAGCAGGGTGTGAATAGAACCACGGGAACCTGGTTTCTTCATTCGAATGTCTTGCTCTACGTCTGATCGAATTACAAGAACTAAACAAAGACGAAAAGCCTGGGATTGACGGTCTCATTCGCTCTTTTGGAAAACCATCTTGTTCTTGATGTAGCCCAACTTCTCAATCTCGACTTGGACGACATCGCCATCCTTCAGGCAGCCGTTTGTATGCCACCCTACTCCCTCCGGTGTTCCAGTCATAATGACAGTTCCTCGACGCAGCGTACGACCGCGGGACGCAAAGGAGATGAGTTGACGGCACGACCAAATCATCTGAGACGTGTCGCTGCTTTGACGGACGGCTCCGTTCACAGTGGTTGTCAGCTTGAGATTCTGCGGGTTAACAATAAGCTTAGGTGACACCAGGCTGGGCCCAATTGGTCCAAATCCGTCGAAGGACTTTGCGTATCCCATTTGATAGCCGGAGACATCGAGTGCGTGAAGGTTGCGCGCTGAAACGTCGTTGCTCACGGTGTAACCAAGAACGTAATCCAGTGCTTCTTCCTCGCTAATGTCGTATCCATCTTTACCGATCACGACGCTTAGTTCACCCTCGTAGTCAAGTAGCTCCTGTGCATCCGGGTGGATTTTGATATTGTCCAGTGGTCCAGCGAGCCTATCGGGTGGAGTCGCAAAGATGACAGGCTTCTTGGGTGGTTGAAACTGCAGAGGTACGCATTAGTAAATTTTCGCAGCTCATCGAGTCAACTTTTAGCTGTATCATTCTGACCTTTGTTTCGGTTGCATGGGACTTGTAATTGACCCCAGCGCAAATAATGATTGGAGTGCTGGGCAGCGGGCACAACAGCTATGCACATGAGGTCATTATTCTGCAAGTAGATGTTCGGAAATCACGGGATTAACGCTTTTACCTTTCCGACTACAGCTTGTTGATCAGACACGCTGAAGCCAGACTCCAGAGTGCCCAAAACCACTTGGACTGACTTTCCGAGCAGCTCCGATGCCGCAACGTCGCTGTCAATGTTGCCATATCTTTCAACGCCTTCCGCGTCTTCAAATCGTATCAATCTGTCGAATGACATGGTAACTGATTGTATTGAAAGATTTTTTTTCCTGGGGCTCTATCTGATATCGATGCGTAATCTGGAGGCACGAGGGGAGAGATTGATGCATGCTCTTAAGTAATATAATTCTGTCGTCAGTCAAACGAGACTACATTGTGCTAGTACAGGGGATATTGGGCCGGCAACAAAGTATTTTCGCAGCGAGCTGTCAGCAATGATGGACTGTGCCGGAGAGAATGGCCGGCCAGGGATTTGGAGTTCGGCAACTTACACCGATTTCATGGAAGCTCCGTCACTGCTCAGTTTACCCCAATTCGGGATTTCGGAGGGCAAAGGCAATAAGAAGCGCGGAAATACTAATACTACTCTCTGTCAAGGGATGTGATCGTCAAACTTTCACAGCCAAATTCAATTCTGCACTTGATTCTCTTGTAGGATTGACCGTCGACGCACTACCTAACTTGCACAATGACCCAAGATTCGGCTGATTCTCGCATCCTTCTGGATCGTCTCTCTCACGTCCGGTATGGCCACCCCGACATCCAGAAAGCAAAGGAATTCTACACCGACTTTGGTCTGGTACCTGTGCGGGAGACCGAGGATAAGATCTACCTACGAGGCTTCGGCATTGATCAATTTTGCTATGTTGCCGAGAAGACGAACGACGGAATGAGAAAGTTCAAAGGAGGTGCCTGGATTGTGCAGTCCATGGCTGAGCTAGAGAAAGCGGCCAAACTCCCCGGGTCTACTCCGATTACCGACTACGATGCCCCGGGTGGTGGCAAAGTCGTCATTGTCAAAGACCTCCTAGGAGAGCCCATCACTCTGATTTACGGTCAAGAAGACCGCGTTCCCGAACCTAGGGAGGTTCCAAAGCCGGTCATGTGGAATACCTGGGAAGACAAGAAGCGACTCGGGGAGTTCCAGCGACCAGATCGAGATCAACCGTCGAAAGTACACAAACTCGGTCATTACGGGTTCGAGGTGAACATCGATCGGCTGCACGAGGTCTTCGACTGGTATAACAAGGTCTTCAATTTCAAGAAGACCGACTGCCTTTTCCACCCCCAGAGTAACAAGACAATCATGATTTTCATCCACCTCGACAAGGGCAAAGAATTCGTCGATCATCACGTTGGTGGACTCCCAGAATACCCCGAGGTTTGCTATGAGCTAACAGAAACAATGCAGAATATCTTCATTGCTGGCTCGCCCGAGGTCACCGAGGGAATCAAGGCTCACCACAGCAGCTGGGAGGTAGATGATGTCGATAGTCAAGTAGTTGGCCACCACTATTTGATCCGCAAAGGACACATCAACGTCTTCGGCGTCGGACGACATGTCCTCGGCAGCCAGATCTTTGATTATTGGTAAGTGTCATCTGTACCTTTACCGTTCGTGGCATTCCTGACATACCTGATCCAGGTTTGACCCCTCTGGATTTGTTGTCGAGCATTACGTCGACGGTGACCTAGTAAATGATGACTCTCCGAATGCCAATGAGCCAGCTGTCGCCGCTACGGTATCCAGTTGGGGACCGGATATTCCACGCGCATTTTTCACGAAGAAATACGAGGATCTTCCGGGACTGAAGGACTTCCCTACAATGCCAATCGAGGCGTAGGCCCCGGGACAGAAGTAAGGGTTTGGAGAATGAAACATATGTGACAGAGTTCAGATCAAAGTGAGAAGGATGTGGAGATCACAGGTGTAGGCAAATTATTCGAGGTGGACGAAGAATATTGGTTGGTAGAATCACATTGTTCATGCAAACTTCAAGATTGAATAACAAGCTTGCTTCCAATCGTTCGTGAGCGGGATGTTAATTCCTGACGTAGTGAACTTTCAAGCTTGACGACTTGTAGTCTCAAGTTTAAATTGGCCTACGGTTTGTAGGAATAACTGCTTTCGGCCACTCTCGGTGCATATATCCCGAATGCCTGTTTGGAAATATGGGCCTAAAGCTGCCAGAACGCATATATCAATGACGAGCATTTAGATACTTAGTTCCATTCACCACGATACTGACGATCATCTTCGAGTTGAACGAGTTCTAATTCACACCCCTATTTTGAAATCCATTATTTCTGCTCCGCTCGTCACAACCTACCAGACACTATCTCCAACATCGACGTTCCACCGACCATGTCACCCCCCGTTCATGCGTCTATCCCGTTCGGAGGAACCATGACCAACAAAGTAGCCCTCGTGTCGGGCTCGTCAAAAGGCATCGGGGCTGGAATTGCGATAGAACTCTCAAGCCGTGGCGCGAAGATCGTTTTGAACTACCCTTGGGATTCTTTGAAACAAGAATGCGAGGCCACTGGAGCGAAACTGCAAACAGACTGGATCGCGGTCTGTGCCGACCTCACGTCAGATGACGGGCCCGAGGAATTGGTGCGACAAGCAGTGGCAAGGTTCGGTCACATCGATATCCTCGTGAGCAACGCCGGATATGTGCCCATTGCACACCTCTGGGACGCTGACTTGAGCATGTGGGATCAAGCCATGAATTTGAATGCACGTGGCGCTTTCGCACTGGTCAAAGCAGCGCTATCACATCTCACGCCTCACAAGCCGGCCATCCCTCCGAGCATGTCCGGAGCTATTGACGGCTCACGAATCATTCTGGTAGGGTCAGCGGCGTCTCGAGTTCCGAAGCCGGCACAAGGAATCTACGCCGCGACCAAAGGGGCTTTGGATGCAATCTTGCGCGTTTGGGCGAAGGAACTGCCGCCGAAGTACGGCTGCACGGTCAACATGGTCGCGCCTGGTCCGGTACTTACAGAGAGCTTTTTGGAGCACTTTTCGCCAGAAGAATGGGAAGGATTAAGAGAAGTCTTGATTAGGGATACGCCAGTGGAAGGTGGTGCGGCATCTGTTGACGATGTCGCATGGGCAGTCGCGTTCCTGGCCGAAGAGCGATCACGCTTCATCAATGGCGAGTTTATGTTTGTGACAGGCGGAGTGTCCATGCAATAGAAGTCAACATAGATAATGTAAACTGCAAATTTCATCATCATCCGGTAACTCCAACCCTCTTTTTCTATGCCCATGCTAGTTTTGATACGTTGATTGATCGATATGAGTGAAGAACCTATGCAATTCTCAACCTGCCACTCGAGAAAAGCTATGACCCAATACACTCGCGATGCCACCTCCTCCTGCTACTCATCATCCAAAATGATACAGGATCCCCCTAAGCTTCGTCTGTCCAAGTTGCTTCATGAGGTTACGTATCACACAATCTCATCTCAGCTCTCATGATTTGAGGCAATTTCCTTGACAGGTCTACTTGTCAACAGCAACTCCCAGTCGGGGTCAGGTATCACCTGCACTCGTCAGCAACTCATTTACCTCACGATAGGGGAAGATAGTTTGTTTGTCTCACCAATCCCTCGAACTCGATGTTCTTCGGCCGACTCTTCAGATCTCCGGATAGCCGGATATCGTAGCGCATGATATACTCGATCAGCAGTAGCTTCATGGCGACCTCAGCAATGTATCGACCGGGACAAGCATGTCTACCATAGCCCCATGTCAGGTCCTTTTTGCCCACCGTTACCATTTGATTGGTGTTCCGCGCCTCCTCTGCAGCGATACGTATTCGGTAGAATCGGAAGCCATCAAAGATCTCCGGATTCTGGAACAGCTCTTGGTCCATGTTAATGGCTCCAGTTGGCAAAGCGATGCGTGCGCCTTTCGGAATGCGAAGACCATTTGACAACGTGAAATCTGACATAACCTTACGCTGAAAGCTTGCTGTTTTATTTGATGAATGTCAGCTCGAATGAGATCCCCATATTGTTGCGCTGTTCTGTACTTAAACTTACCCAAATCCGGCGGGTTAAGTCGCTGAGTCTCCTTGATGACACTGTCTAGCTTCATCATATCTGTCAAAGCTTGCTTGCTAAGCACCCCATTCCCTCGCGCCAGCACCAATTCAATTTCCTCACGAAGCTCGGAAATGTACTCCGGGTAAGTTGCAAGATCCATGAGACACTGGGTGACTGTCGCAGCCATAGACTGAATGGCGGCTACACACAAGTTGATTTGAGCAACTGTGTGCGCCTCCTCGCCATCTGGGCCGAGAACGGTGTCGGCAAGATAGTCCAGAAGTGCTGGAGGGCTGCTCAGGGACTTGCCCCCATTCAGCTTCCTTCTTTGCAGTGTCTTGGCCACTAGGGCTTTGCCTTCGCCAAAGCGCTGCATCATGATTCCACGTCCCTTGACAAAGCGGTAGACAAAAGGTCGCAGCGCTGCCGGCCATTTCTTGAGATTTTCCGTCCATACGACAGCAGAGTGAACATGCTCGCTGGCAATGTCCAGCCACTGATTATTATCCGCGGACTCGGCGCTGTGAAATAACCTTGCAGAAACACGAGAAACCTGACGCATAACGTGTGGCCATGGCTTTACGACTGTGGGAACTATTCGAAATGTGAGTTATTCTTCCGGTATTGCCACATCTAGAACTATTATCGTGAAGTCCACAGGTCTTCAAGCTGCGCCTGAGAGCTGCATCGATCTGGCTGAGGTGTTTACGGAGCCAAAACTTACCTCCGTAAGTCTCAAGTGGCCAGTGGGTGCGAATCAATTCAATAAGTACTGGGACATATTGCGCTGAGAATAGTTAGATACATAATTGACACGTATATCAATCACTGCGAGGGCTACTTACGAAGACTCGGATTCAGCTTCTTGTTTACGATAGCGATTTGCTTCTCATCGAGATTGCCAACTTTAGTATACTTCTTCATGCTGAACTACCAGGCCAAAAGCCAAAGTTAGAGAGGACTATGCCCAAGTTGTAAGAGATATTGGACCTCATCTTACGTACCTCTTCTTCAAGGAATGCAGCAAAACTCAGGGACTTGTGGCTTCCTAATCCGTGAAGTAACTCGAGAGGGATTATAATATTCGTGCCTTCGAACCATGGTCAGTGCCAGAGAACATGCATAGAAAGTTTCCAAGTATCTTTAACTTACCTTCAGTTGTGTTTATCCCAAACACGCGATTTTGGAACTAAGTATTGTCGGAAAGTTAGCAGTCGGTTTGAGGACTCATTTTTACTGTTCATAGTCACAAAATCAACGTACCTTGCTGTAGCTTGTGATGAACAATCTTCTCGTGTCTTTGATGAAGATTTCAATCCGTTCCTGTCGATCAGGTACCTCATCTTCCAGTGCAATCGAAAGTTTTGGCATTCTGACATCCACTGCAAATGACCAGAGAATCAGCACTCCAAACGCGCATGCGCAAAGAATCGTCCATCCTGCGACTGCCAAAAGGTTCTGTTGGAACTTGGCTCTCAAGACTGGGTAGTAGAGCTCGAATTGAGCAGACATCTTGGATCTCGGTAACCTTGGTGGTAACAATGGTCTGTGCTGGGTCAACTCGTTCGTGTGATATTTCAACTGCGTAAGTCAGAGTTCAATCAAGCATTGAAAAGACATTGTTCATGTCTTGTCTATTGAGCTCTCTGCGGCTTTCATTACGCCAAGACCAATTACCCTCTGAACCCTGTCAAAGTGTATCATTTGGGTCACATGCCTTGGGTGCGGCTGAGCTCCGGACTTTTCGGCCGACAGGCTAGTGCATTGTTCGTAGTAACTCGGTTACTCGGTCACTCTGCCAGGCCTCCAGACAAGAAGAAATCCCGTGAAGTAGTTTTGAATACCTTATGGTCTAGGACAGGGGTAGGACATGGCTATCCATCCCAATTGTCACCCGAATGGGTGGTAGAATTCGGTGGCTGGAGTCCAGACGGCCCCATTCCCTGGCTGGAGCATTAAGAAACCTTATCTGTTTCTCTGGTCTGGTATAATGCATCTGTGTCAACTCCTATCTCGTACCCAAATTACTGCATTATCTCTCTCCTGAGCCTGGCAGCTACCCCACGCACGATCACTATCTCCGTAATCCAATTACGTACTTCATTTGCAATGTCATCAGACGAACAGCTCAGTCTGGCCATCGTAGGCGGCGGTATCGGTGGTCTCTGCCTGGCTCTATACATCACAACTCATACAGAGATCCCAGTCATCGTGTATGAGAACGCTCCGAAGTTCGGTGAGATAGGAGCCGGTGTCGCCTTTGGACCAAACGCAGTTCGAGCAATTGCAAAGATATCGGAGCCACTGGCGGCTGCAGTCGAAGCTCGGGCCAACAGAAACATGTTTGCAGAAAAGAAAGACGTCTGGTTCGATTTTAGAGTCGGGATGGACGGCGCCCACGAAACCGCTAGAGTCCGTGGTGTGGTTGCCGGGACGTACCTATGCTCTGTGGAACATCCCCAACCAGGAAGTTGGATGGTGAATCGCTCACATCTCGTTGACGAGATAGTCAAGCTCCTTCCTGATGGAATAGCACGATTCAGCAAAACTCTTCACGACATAGACGATCTTGATGGTGAAGGTGTTATTCTGAAGTTTGGGGATGGAACATCATCGAGGCACAGTGCTGTCGTCGGATGTGACGGGATCAAGAGTCAAACTCGACGCATTATACTTGGAGACGACCATCTTGCCACCAATCCTTCTTACACCGGAAAATACTGCTACAGAGGATTGGTCCCGATGGACAAAGCAGTGGAGCTTCTGGGCGAGGAGAAGGCGAAGAATTGCCAAGCATATCTCGGGTACCATGGTCACATGCTCACTTTCCCCGTCGCTGGTGGTAGAATGATGAATGTGGTCGCCTTCCAGTCATCCACAGACTGGCCTCACAAGACGATGGTGATTCCGGCAACCAAAGAACAGATGTTGCAGAGCTTCAGCATGTGGGGTCCGGATGTACTCAACATTGTTCGACTGATGGGTCAGTCAGATATCTGGGCGCTTTTCGATCTGTCGCCCATGGACAACTACAACAAAGGCAGGATCTGTCTCCTCGGAGATGCTGCACACGCCTCGACTCCCTTCCAAGGTGCCGGTGCTGGTATGGCAGTGGAGGATGCATATGTGCTTGGAAAACTCCTCCATCACGTTGAACGAGCACAGGATCTACCTGCCGTTTTCAAAGCCTTTAGTAAAGCTCGAGTTGAGAGAACGCAAAAGCTTGTCGCCACAAGTCGGGAAGCTGGTCATTTTTGGCACTTTGAAGCTGAAGGGGACGATCTCATGAAGATCAGGGAAATCATGCAAAAAAGAATGAGTTGGGTTTGGGACAAAGATCTTGATGAAGACATTGCGCAAGTTGCTAAAGATCTTCATAGGGCACTCACCTAGCTTATTTACGACGATGATGCTTCATATTCTCTATTCTCAGATCAGGATGTGAATTTTATAGAAGTTTTGCTCATTGAGTATCAATCACTACTGCATACAGTTGCAACAAGTTTTCCATCTTGCGGATCCCAAAGCAATGCCGATAGTTGTACGCTCTCAAGCACATCTTCATACTTGGCAACCAAATCAGGAGAGCAAAAGCACGTTCAACGTTTGTTTCCATGATTTCTACTCAAGTTGAACTTCCCTTTATGGGCGATTCCTGCCATTACCGCTGTGCTTAGGGTTCGTCTTACCATGTCATTCACTGACATAATGTTTTCCAATGACATAATGTTATCCAAGTTTTCCACGTGTTACGGTCGACATCATGTCAATGCACAAACATCATGTCAAAACGCGAAAATCGTGAGAGACATCCCTTCAGGGGCTACTTCAGGGGCTACAGTGCTTAGCTCAGGTGGTCCGTACGTTCCTGGACTTCAGTCCAGCGCCTGCTCCGGGTAATACCTACTCCAACGGACCCTTTTTCTGGGCCACCTTGCAGCACAAGATTAGTGCAGACTGTCTCCATACCAAATCGCCAGACCCATCGCATGTAAGTCCCATCGCGTCAGTTATCCAATTCATGCGCTTGGCACAGCAGGACTGATGCTCATACTCTCTTTTATGTCGTGTATGATATCGTCAATGTGTTCGATTCCAACTGACACCCTCACCATTTCTGGTGCGACACCAAGATCGATCTTCTCTTGTGGTAGCATTGGCTTGTGTGTTGTCGACCAGGGATGCATAGCAGTGGTTTTGGCGTCACCATATCTACAAGAAATTAGTACAAAAAAGAACACGGGTATTCGAAAGTTGTATGACGTGACTCTCTTACCCTGGGTTATTCGAGATCATTTTGAAATTGTCAACCAGCTGCTCGCCAGCTTCCGCTCCGCCTTTGATACCAAACATCAGCACTGCGCCAGCCCCCCGAGGTAGGTACTTTTGCGCAAGCTTGTAGTGAGGATGACTGGGAAGACCAGGATATGATACCCATACCACATTCTCGTGTTTCTCAAGCCAGTTTGCGAGAGTAATGGTGTTCTGGGCGTGCCGCTCGCAGCGCAAGCTCAGAGTCTCAATACCGAGTACAAATTGCTGGCTGTTGAAAGGAGAAAGACAGGAGCCGACGTCTCGGAGGATCTGCCCTCGTATGCGCATGATAAAAGCCTCCCGCCCAAATCGCTCAGAGAAGTTCAATCCGTGGAAACCAGGGCATGGTTTATTGAATTGTGGGAAGCGAGCTGAACCTTTCCAGTCGAAGTTACCGGAATCGACAATGATGCCTCCAGTTGCACTTCCATGACCACCAATCCACTTGCTCATGCTCTCAACGACGATGTCGGCGCCGTGCTTTATAGGCTGGCAGAAGTAGGCACATCCGACAGTGTTCTCGACAACAAGAGGGACTCCGTTTTCATGAGCGACCTGCGCAATAGCTTCGATGTCTGGAACATTGAAGTTTGGATGCCCAATGGTTTCGATATACACGGCTTTCGTGCGCTCATCAATGGCGGCCCGAACTGCTTCCACAGTCTCTTCCACCACACGGCACGTTACGCCGAACTCCGGTAGGAGGAAAGAGAACTGATTGTATGCGCCGTGGTAGTAGTGCTTCGTTGCGACGATGTTCTCCCCGTGCCCAGCCAAAGCAACCATAGTCATAAAAACAGCTGCCTGGCCTGACGATACAGCAACGGCCGCAACGCCGCCCTCGAGTGCTGCGACACGACGTTCCACCACGGCTGTAGTTGGGTTACCCGTGCGAGTCGCAATGTCACCCTCCTCCTCGAGGTTGAAGAGCCGTGCAGCATGGGCAGAGCTATGGAAGTTGAAGACGTAGGTTGAGTAAATCGGTACTCCACGTGCCAGCGTTGCGGAGTCCGGAGTTTGCCCTGCGTGGACTTGCAGAGTCTCAAATTTTGGGATGTGTTTCGATCCCTTCTGAGCGATGTGATTCAATTGGACATTCTTTTCTCCATCCTGGGTGTTGGGCTCCATTTTCAAGTCGGGTGGAAGTGATTTCTGGATATGAGATTGAATGGAGTGAGCACCAACAAGGAGGTGACGCGGATGAGGACGCAACTGACTGCTTCGCCAAAGGTTGCTTTCAGAAATTCGATTCGATTCAAGAGACAATCTTCCAAAGGTCCTAGTCTAAGTTGTTTTCACTTTAGCTGGTTAGTCGTGATGGTGAAATGGATCCGGTCTAACGGAGAAGGCTGGTGGTAGGCAATATCTCGGGCATTTCGGGCCTTCGGCTAGCGACCCCGAGTTAGACGGATAGTTGGCTGATATTCGGGTGCCGCGGCATTTTGTCTTTTCCGTCATTCATGATGCACCGAATGACTATATTCAGTGCCAAGATATCAAAGGCCTCGAGTCTAATGTACAAATATCTTATTCGCGGCTGGAGCGGCAGCCACTGAGAGGCTTGTCTAAATCGAGGGCATCATCAGTCTCGAAATCTTTCCATTACTCACACGCCAATCACACCAAGTAGAAGATGACTGCCGGCAAGAAACTGAAAGTTGTCGTCGTTGGCGCCGGCTTCGGCGGACTTGGAGCCGCAATCGAATGTGCAGACCGTGGCATGGATGTCACCGTCTTGGAGAAGTATTCCGACTCCAATAGCCAGGGTGGTAAGCATTATAAGATAGCCCATTTCTTGTGTTCCGATTTCAGAGTTCCCGTCCAATGATGCTGATTATACCTCTCATTCGCAGATATTCTTGACTTCTTCCCCAATGCTGGCAGAATTATCAATCGATGGGATGGGGGCAAGGTTGGCCAGCAAATTCACGATACCGGTTGCAGCCAAATTCGCACCATGGAGCTATTCAAGTATGACAGCAAATTCATTGTCGATGTCCCATGGGCAAGAGATGGAAAGGAACACAACATCACTTATGCAGGCCACCGCGGCAAGATCCACTCAATCTTCCTTGCCTACGCAAAGACTCGTGTCCAGGACATCAGGATTGGCGTCGCAGTCACGGAGTATCTTGAAGAAGATGGCCGAGCAGGTGTGAAGCTGAGCACTGGCGAGACTATCTGGGCCGACTGTGTTATTGCCGCCGACGGCCCACGGTCCATCGCTCGGGCGCAGGTGTTGCATCTCGACGACAAGAAAATCGACGAGACCACAAGCGGCTGGTCTGTCTTCAGAAGCTTCTTTAAGACAGACGAAACCATGAGAAATTACCCTGGCATCAAGGAACTCTTCCATGAGGATAGAGATACTGTACGATTTTGGATGTATGACAATTTGAGCCTGATGGCATTTGTCTGGAACCAGGGTCAAGACATTGCTTGGGTTCTTGTTCATCCGGTAAGTGTTTTGGTTTCTACTCATGATCACGCTCTTAAATTGCTGACCTATGTTAATAGGACGACAAAGAATCCTCCGAGTCTTGGTCCAACATCGCCGAAAGAGAGCATGTGGCCAAGTGGATGAGCTTCTTCCCCGGAAAAGACGCACAGGCACTGCTCGAAGTCACGCCCTCGAACAAGACCATTGATTTCAAGCTCGTCTATCGACCGACCATAGACACCTGGGTCAGCAAGGGCGGTCGCACGATCCTGATCGGAGATGCTGCTCATGCCAACCTGCCTACTGCTGGACAAGGCGCTTCTCAAGCACTCGAAGACGCTGTGACAGTTGCTGAGTGCTTGCAGTCGTCCAACGGAGACGTCAAGCTAGCACTTGAAGTTGCACAGCGGATTCGTTACCATCGGTCAAATGCAGTGCACAAGAGTGGTCAGCAGAACAGAGATGCGTTCTATAAGATTCCGTGGGATGACATCGAGGCGGCCCCGGAAGAGTGGGCTAAGAAGCGATTTCCCAAACTGAAGCCCTGGGACCCCTTGGAATTTACCAAAGAGCAGTTTCCCAAAGTCGCTAAGGACATCAAGAACGGTGTCACGGGTCATCTGAATGATGTAGCTGTGCCTCCGCCGCCTGGTGGGTACTGGTAACTGGATTCACTGGGAGTCGCCGGCTTTGGAATGCCTTCTGTTGTTATGTAACCAACTTATTAGAGTAACTAGTATTGGCATGCGTACTAGATGCATGATTTTATAGAGACTGAATTATCGAACTCGAGGTTATAGATTTGCAATGAGTGGTTGCATTGGACAGTCTATTTAATCGACTCGTCGTGCTCTGAACGAATGACGGGACTACTAGCGGAGAGACTTTCTTAATCTCACAGGCCAACCAATGAGATTGATTGATACTGCACATACGCGGACGACTGTGACATTAACGTAGTAGACTACGAAACTATCAGCGCATGAACAATGCCCTTTCCTCAGGTCTTGGCTACTTAGCCTGCCATGAGGTTTCAAAGACTCTCTCAGGATGTCATTTTGCTTGTACTACCCGAAATATCGAAAGGTTCTGGTTGTTTGCAGTGTGACAGGCGGCAGGGGTTCCCTCCACATCGCATCTGCCGAAACTTCAGCGCCCAGCTGAACTGGAGATGGTTGCTCGGCGGATGTTCCGTCTCTACTATGCCACGTACTATGCGAGTCAGAACTCTCAGACAAATTCCTGGCTATATCGGTAAACACAGTCATTCTCGGGCTCTGTAACCCCAATGCCGACCATGGCACTGCAACTTTGTAGCGTAGTCGTCAAGTCGGAGACGGAAACCTAATGCCATCCGCACTTGTGTACGGGATTTCGCAACGTGCACTGTCCAAAACTGATGGTCCTTGAGAATTCCATTACGTGATCATTAAAAGAAGAAGGGGGGAGCTATAATGTTAGCCTGAGGCATTCGGCCGAACCTAGCGCCAAAAGCTCGGCACTCTCGGGAAATACACCGCTGAGCTATGAGGTTACCGCACAACCAGCACGCACACAGCCAGACAGCGAGCGCTATCTCTGATTCTACGGCGTTTGGACCAGATGCACCCCTATCACCAGAGACTCGAGGGTTCGTTGATCTAACCCGGAATGTCTTATCTATCGCTTCATGGTGTGTAGCAAGAGAGTGTATGGTATTTCAAACGCGTATCTCGTAAAAAGAGAAAAATGCGCAGGTGGCCGGCTCAACGCTCATGTCAACATCAAGAAGAAATTTTTGAGTTGTCTGCGACTGAGTTGACAACTGCTAGGTTGACTTTGGATTCTCCAAATCATCACAAGCACCACTTGAGTATCCCAGACTGCCAGTCCACGGTGACTGTTAAACCTCAAACTCAGATCCCAACTGTAACACCAACAAAAAACATACGTCCCCATTCTAGACCCTCCCCCATCATGGCTTTGTTCACCCCCGGGCCTATCGTTTCCCACGTCCTCATGGTCCTCGTGGCCATGTTGAATATTTGTATTCTATCTTACGATGCTGGAATGATCAACAACTTGAACTCGGTTAAGCCATACCAAGATTGTGTGATAACCTCTCTGGATCGGTGGTCATGGCTAACTATTCGTTATAGACTTCAAGTTGAACAGCGATATGATCGGACTGAATGTTGCTATCATCAGCGCCGGTTCGATCTTCGGCGCTCCGATAGTGGGTCCCGTGGTTGATCGTTGGGGACGGAAGATCGGCCTTGCAGTGGGCTCCATCTGCATCATTCTCGGAGTTGTACTTCAAGCTTCAGCCTCGGGGGGTAAGAGTTCCTCCAGAAACCCTTTCAGATACAACGACTCACCGGCAAGGCAGTTCCACAGCTCATCGTCGGCCGCTTCATCATCGGTTTTGCCTCCCTCGTTAATGGTTCGATCGCCCCCATGTGGGTTATGGAGGTGGCGGCGCCGAAATATAGCTCGATTCTATCGAGCACCGTCTTGACATCCGTACCATTCACATCGTTCTTAGTCAGTTGCATCGTCCTGGGCATCTATGACAAGCAGTCCAACTGGGCATGGAGAGGGCTTATGCTTGTAAATCCCTATTGCCCCTAGATGACCTCGAGGTTCTGTCTAATGTCTCTCAACCAGGGAGAAGCAGTACCTTCTATTATATCTCTGTGTCTCTTACCATTTGTGGACGAAAGCCCACGCTGGCTGTTTTCCAAGGGCCGCCATGACGAGGTAAGGTTGAGTAAGATACTCCTAGATTAAGATCGTTCGACTGACATGTTGCAAGGCGATAGAGGTCCTCGCCCGATTACATGCAAACGGAGATCGCGATGATGCTACAGTACTTCAAGAAACACAAGAGATTGTCGCGGCTCTAAACCACGAGAAGGAGGGTGATGGAGGATGGAAGGATTTGATTGCACCATGTGAGCGAGCTTCAGCCATCATGGCAAGTGGACAGCTAACTTTGGGAAACTCCAAATAGCCCCGAACTTGAAGCGATTTACGATTGCCGTTCTGACAAATATCTTCTATCAAATATTGGGCGGAAACATGATCTTGTACGTTTGGAAGAGCACAGGCATACGTTCAGAGTTCTCTGGCACTAACGGAAAGTTTCCAGATACTTCTCATCCTTCCTCATTGGAAAACTAGGTGTTTCCGAGAGAAAGTCCGTAATCCAGATCAACATAGGTTTACTACTGTGGAAGGCCTTTTGCAGCGTGGGCGGTGTCCTCCTGATCGACAAGATAGGAGCTCGCAAGCCATTGAGTAGGTGCTTCTCAGTATGAGTTCCCCGTTCGACTGAGTTAACCTCCATGTCTTCCTACCTAGTTACCGGGACGTTCGCCACAGTTGTTCTGTTGGGCATTCTGGCTGGCCTGTCTTACCTAACCGAGATTCATCCCGAGACTAACGCATACGCCATCGGCGCGATTGTCGTTGTTGCCCTGTTCTTACTTGCAGTCGCTGCAAGCTGGTACGTGAAGGAAACCCAACTCCATCGTAGTTGTGTTAACGTTATCGCAGGAGCATCTTGGCCTACACATACCCTCCAGAAGTGCTACGATACTCTCAGCGCGCCAAAGGCGTCGTGGTTGCGCAAGCAATCGGGTACGCGTTCAGCTTTCTCAACCTTTACACCACTCCGCTAGCCATCGATAGAATCTCCTGGAGATACTATGCAATCAATGGTGGCTGGAACCTTGGAATATTGTTCGTTGTAACATGGTTGTTCGTCGAGACCAAAGGCAGGACCTTGGAGGAGATGGATGAAATCTTCGATGGAGTCGTCTACTCGAACAACGTCATCATCGATGGCCAGAACTCCAAGAGTGATTTGGGAAAGGACGTCGGTGATAGTAGCAGCTTGGCTAAGAGGAAGCTTAGCAGGGTCAGCACCCGTGAATAGGGCAGATGAGACTCCCTTGATTGAACGGACTCGGATGCGATCATTTAGCAGGCATTGCAATGGGCTATTGGATATCTCTGTATGGTTTAATAACAATATCACCAGCGTGAACGAGTTTGAATGATTTCTCATCAATTTGTTTTTTGCTATGCGTTGCTGGACAACGCGCCAGTCACGAACCTCGGCTTCATGACAACCAACCGTGATGCCACCACCGTTTTGTAGGATCCGGACCAACTAGCGTAACTGGGGCTGAGAGAGCACCGGGAGAAACAAATCATTCCGTGGAGTGGGAGCCGGGAAATCTAGCGCTGATGATGGACAACGATTGAGTCCATCTGTGCCGCGGTGCCGCGCTCAGGCACGGAGCTGAAATCTCGCGGCCGGCGCCAAAACGCGCCACTTTGGGAAGCTATTGAGTGCCACAACGGCGATCGAAAGGGATAAGAGGAACTCAAGCACTGGTGATCCAACGGCTAAACTCTGTTGCCCCTTTCACAAATTTGCGAAAAGATGAAGCGCCGATCCATCGCTAGCCGCCCACGACCGCGCTAGAACATCGCAATTCAAAGCACGCGAGCTTGGGGTCAAAGGCGCTCCACGTTGAAAGCTTCTTTGAAGTGGAAGGAAACTAAACTTCATCGAGCGATGACGGTTGCTACGTCCAAGCTATCGTCCGGGACCATAACATAGTTAGCCTTTCAACATAGCCAGGTGGAGGTATATGAAGACCTCACTTTCTGTTCTTGGCAGGGAGTTCTTGCTCAATTGCTCATTGCCGCGTCCTTCAACATCTTCAAGTCTCTCGTCCAGATCCTCGCCTCGTGTAACGTCATTTGTCGCTCGTTACAGTTCTCAATCGCAGTACAACCGTCATCATGAAGATTGCTACCGTCGCCGGCGCCCTCACCTTCGCCCTCTCCGTCGTCGCCGCACCCAGCGCCACCACATCCACCAGCAAACGTGGCGGCAAGGCCAGCTGCCCTGTCAACACCGCCCAGCCCGATGGCAGCCTCGGCAAATCCTACGTCTCGACCAGCCTTCTAGTCCCCATTTCCAAGAACCTGCCCAACTATGCCTTCCCGGCGACGCAATGGGCGCAGGTGACACCCAAGGATATCTGCACTGTCTTCAACCTCGATCTGCCGGTGGCCCAGACTCAGGGCAAGGTGTGCAACCTCGTCTTCGATTTCCCTTCCTGGGATCAGGCGCCCGGGAAGTTCGTTTTCCTTGGCCAAGGTACCTTCAAGTTCACCGGGTATGCTATTGGCGTCGGAGCCGTCGCTGGGCAGACTACGTATAATAAACAGCCTGCCCCTGGCCCTAGCCCGCCTAATCCTCCGCCGACGATGACTCCGGGTCATAGCTATGTGAGTATTGAACGCCAATGGAGTAAGATGTAGACCATCGTGGGTACAGATGACTGATGCAGGTGTCTGCAGATTGTCAACAGCGCCCCGTGCGGCATTCCGGCTGAGGTACCGGGAAGTGTGACCGTATCAGGAAGTCTTTGCTCGCCGGACACCACCTTCATGTTCCAGCAGAGCAAGGATGGGTGCCCTGTGGGCTTCTTCGTCGTCTTAACAGATGCGTGAGGAGCAGAATCGTAGCTGCTGCCGAAGTCACCCTCTCAAAGTGTGTGAGAATGTCAGAGACTAAAGATGGGTTTGCGAACTCTTGAGGGGGTGGAAAAGATATGGGAATAGCCGCGATGGGGTGTAAGTCATCAAAGTCACAGCATCAACCGATTCGCAGTTGCCGCATGACTTCCCAGGAACCATAAGCCTATCCGATCATGTGTTTGAAATTTGTCGTCGTTAGCGCAATTGTCTATTGAAATTATTATGGCGCTCAGTATCCCACTGAAGGTTTCGTTCAATCCTTTTCCGTGACCCCAGTCTTACCACTCTTTCGGGATATATGCCGTAGTGTTATCCTGATCCTCAGGGGTCTTCAACCCCAGTCCCTCCAACACCCGATTTTGTATCGGCAGTAATACCAAGACAGCTCGGTTGAACCTCCACCCAATAACAGGGACCATCGCACCGATCATAGCATCCAAGATGAAGTGGTTAGCTGTTGCGACGATCGTGAAAAGCATAGCCATCGGCCACAGGGGCGCGATGAGGCGAAGGGGACGATGGGGCGAGAATCGGCAGATGCTCCAAGCGAGGAAGAGAGCGGTACCGCAGTGAAGACTCGGCATCGCGGCGATGGTAAGCTGGAACTTGTTGTGTGTCCAGGCGTTGCCTCCCCCCTTTGCTCCGTGGAGCACATCCTCAAACCCGTACTCGGCCGGAAGCATGCGCGGCGGCATGCAGCGGTACGTTGTCACGATGACAAAGGCGATTGCGTTGTCCATGGCGATAGTTCGTCGGATCCTCTGGAAAGTGCGCGGTGGAAGGAAGGTGTAGCAGTAGATGATGAAGATGATGCCCAGGCTGATGTGGAAGTAGTAGATCTTGGCCAGGTAGGACATCAACCATGGCATGTTGTTGAGGACATATTTCTGTACCCCAAGCTCGATGTCAATGCCGAAAAAGTGCTCGATCTTCAAGATAGAAATCGCATGATCGCGGGCTCTTGCGAAAACAGCTTCGTTACCGGCTATCATGCGTGCCGAGAAGGCACGGAGCAGTTGGTATATCCTGTGAGACAAACAAGCAAGTCAGCCCTGGTCCTGAATAGGTAACATGAAGAACTGGTGTATCACAAGATCATCTCATACCAGTATGTCGCATTCCAATACCAGATTTCAGCAAGAAACGGAAAGGTATTGTAAAATCGAACGAGAAGTTTGCTGTTGATGCGGGACACCTCGCCCGACTCCGCGCGCATCCCCGGCTTGAGGAGCGGAGAGGTGGGGCGGGAGGAGGAATCCTCCGACCCACGCTCACACGAGTCTACGTCATCGTCACGATCCAGTCGGCGGCGGTTGATGAGGGTGCCTACGGTGAAGGCAAAGACGATGACTAGCAGACGAAAAATTGTCAGATGAGGCTTGGATTCGTAAAGGTAAAGAGACAGGATTTGAGCAAAGAGGGCTAGGGAGTCCGATTTAGGGGAGCGGAATGGACTTACAAGCTGGTTCGACAACATTCCTCAAAGCGCCAAGTGACGAAGCCATGATAGGCTAAAGAGATAAACTGAAATCTTGTTGGGTACCGAGTAAGTGAAAGATGTAGTTGGACAAGGCTGTCCTGACGAGAAAGCAGAATGAATGAACAGCTTTTGTCTCCCCGAAACAGAGAAGAAAGGAGTGAGTGACGAGAAGATATTACAATAAAAATGCCAACTCCACCAGAAACCCTTTCACATGGGGAAATAGGAGAGAGGGATGACAAGGCTAATAAGCATTCTAGGCACAATGCCCCAGAGCCCGCTTCACCGGGACAAACCCACAACGGGCGGAAGGTGTACCAAGTCCAACCGCAGCATTTCGTGGCCAAGCATTGTTGTCAGATCGGCGCCCCAGGCATTAGGAATTCCGCCCAGCCTTGAAAGTTGAGCAGGAGTAGGACCACACGTGTGGGTGTAACCGCACGGAGCCGTCTGATAGGAGAGTTGGGGGCGTCGATTGTCGAAGTAGGGAGGGCGGAGCGGGACTGGAGACACGACGACCTGACGTCCCACACCCCATCCCACATGTCCACCATCCATCCATGATCCATTACTGTATCACCCTAGCCAAGCACAAGGCAAAAGAATGGCTCGGCGGAGGAAGGAGGGCACGCGACCCAAGCCCTCTTTGACGCGTGTGTGATTGCGCCCAGCAACGTACAGCAGAACGTAAGCAAAAAGGCCCGGTTTTTATTAGAGCCTCCTTGCTCGCAGTCGCCCGGTCTCCACGCTGCATCACTGTAATCCAAACATGAACTGACGGTGGGTAGAACGTCGAAAAAGGGATGTGGGAGTTTCTTTTCTGGTGGATCATCCAATCATTTCGAGTCGGACTCTACCCACTCGCATGCTCATAAGGAAACTGAGAGTCGTGGATGACGGGGTTCACTTCCCGTGATTTTTCTCGGCAGCCGGAACAACCGGAATCAGCGTCAGGGGGTAAAGCTCGGGCGCCAAGTCGTCTCCGAGAAAAGTCTTGCCATCAAATTTAGAGTATGGAAATCAACAGAGCGTCCTTCTCCATTTAAATTTGGATGCTTTGCGCGGGATTGTGGACCCGGTCGTTTGGGCAAGTGTTCGAAGCTGCGTGGGACCGGATTGTAGGAGAGCCTTGGAACTGTCATGATCGAGACACAAACTCAATCGATCTTTGGTAAATCTTACCGCGGTCGAGTCATGCCTTGAATACTTGATTCAAAGATCTTCCAAGAATAGGAGGTTCGCACGGAAGCATGCAGCTTGTCGCATGTTTTGATATTCCCACTATCCACATCAATATCAGCACAAAGACGCGTCCGAGCGTTCGAGAACCAGAAAAGGAGAAAAACATCCGCTCCCACTACTTCCCCGCTACCAACACTCAAAAGAAGCAGACTTTGCCATCATGATCTAGCTTTCGTCTCGAGCTGCCATGCCCGTCAACACTCCCTTCTGACACGGATAGCTTGCGACTGTGCTAGGGTCAATAGACGAGCAAGGCTCGCTGGGAATAAGCTGCAGGATCGGCAGCTAAGATCAGAAGCTTGATACGCAGCCACCCTTGGCGCTAGCTGGCATGGCACACCACGTTCAAGCATCTGACAGGGCCAGTGCCGGGACGGCTGTCGTACCGTGATGGTGAAGGAGCTGCTGATGTGAGAAACGCCATGCCTGGCTTGCCTGGGCGTTTGGAAAATCATCATCTACATTTCAATTGCTGATTTGGGATTCGCATCGAGGTTGAGGGCTGAAGGCTCAAGGCTCAAGGTGTGAGGACGGTGACTGCAAGGAACAACAAGTCCCAGCAGGTCGGAGGCGAACTGCACAGACTTGGCTAGACCGGTGCCCGAACAAGAACGATAACATCGGACATCGGACTGTTTAGTGTTTTGCGGGAAGATTCAACCCTCCATTGGGCCGTTGGAGGCCGTTGGAAATTTGGAACCCAAACATCGGCGTACGGAGTTCAAAGTCCCCGGCTTCGGCCGAGGTTCGTTGCCAGGAATGCGGTAGCTGTGGAGGAACCCGCGGCGGACTTCGTAGACCTTTAAAGTGATCACCACAACCTTCTGATAAAACTCTTGGCAACAGTCAGTGTCCACTTAGATCAAAGCATACCGTACTAAGCGGCCGCTGATTAGAAAATTGCGGTCAAGTTCAACGCTAACGGTGATGGCCCCCGCGACATTATGCCGCCGAGGGTGCCAAGTTTTGATTATTATACCACCATAGGGCCGGATACGCCGGATCATTGTAGTAGCCAACTATTGAAATGATATTCAGAGCTCATCGGCGCTCTCCTCAATCTCCTGGCAATCGAATCCTTCATCACCTTCGACATTTTTGCAGAGCCATTTATCCAGGACAGTATCTTGTCCGACGGGCTTTACGGAAAAGTTCTCTACCGTCAGGTTGCTGCACCCGCCCGCAGCCGCGCTGCACCGGAAGAAGCCTGAGCTAGGCACATCGTCCATCATGGTACCGCTAAAGTTCTTCCAGACGACGTCGGAGATCTTGAACGTCGACGTATCGCACGACTCGCCCGCGTGTCCGGAGAAGGACTCACATTGAGTGATGAAAAGTGGCTCTCCGCGGGTGCCGTCGAGCTCAATGTCCTCTAGCACGATGTTACGCGCGTATCCCGTACCGCCGCCGCCGCCATTGGGCGGATACCCAATCTGGATGCCGGTCCACGTCTTGAAGTAGCAGCCCCGCAGGGTGTCGTGTAAAGTCACGTTCCGCGCCAAGAAGTTCTCGATATACTCGTATTGCCCGATGAACTGGCCGATGGATCCCATGGCTATGCCAGTGCTGCCAAAGAACTCGCTGTCGTATATGTAGATATTGCTGGAGTTGGCCTTGAGAGCGATGGCGTCGTCGCCATTGACAACTACCCACCGGCGGAAGGTGATGTTGTCCGAGTACATGGTGTCAGCGCCGTCCGTGTTGAGAGAGTTGTTCTCCGAAGACGATGTGCTATTCACGTAAATGTCCTCAAAGACGAGATCTTTGGAGTACATGATGTTCATCGTCCACATCTGGCTCTGAACGAACCGAAGGCCTTTGACAGTCGAATTCGAGAAGTCTCGGAAGTTGATATTCATCGGTCGATGAGGCATGTTGGATCCGCCTGCGTTGAGATCATACCAGACCTGGCCGTTGCCGTCGAGCGTGCCGACTCCATGACCCTCCCAAACAACGCCATCACCTCCAAAGTGCCAGACGGTGCTCTGATTCTGGAAGTCCACAGGCATCGATACCGAAAGCCAATACGTCGTATCATTGCTCCAGAGAAGTCTTCCACGCTGGTCGATAACAACATCGTCTAGGCTGGTGGTGACCATGGGCGACTTGATGTTGTACACTGGTCCATCAAGCACAATGATGCTCTTGGTGCGGCACTTGTCGTTGAGCGCGCTTAGCAGTGCCGGCGCGTCATCCCCGCCGTTAACGTCCGGCTCAAGGATGCAGAGGCTCCGGCCTTCCTTGTCCGCCCTCTCGGCCCATTCGTTAGCAGTTGGAATAACCGGGCCGGATTCTGCGAGAAGGGTGGCCGCCGAGAACTGAGTGGTCTCAAGCCCGAGGACTAGCCTGGCGGCTAACGATGCGAAGACTGCCAAGCCACGCATGATGGATGTGTGCTAAGGCCTCGAACCCAATCAAGGGATGGATGGAAGGATTGCGAGCTTCGGTACACGCGAACAGACGCTTCTCGAAGTATAACAAGAACGTTTTGCGAACAAGAGAGGACAAGACAAAGCAAATAGGTCTGTGGCGTCTATCAAGGCACTAGACAGGAATGGTGTATGAGCTCCAGAGGTTACAGGTATCTCTCAAATATGAAGTCGAACCCATCGACGTGTGGTATTTCTGTGAAACCCAACATTGCATCAGATGATGGAGCTCAGGGGGTCGCAACCACTGTCAACGAATGACATGCGCCAAGTACGGCGGGGTAATGCCCCGGATTGTCCACCGTAGCGTCCATTCCCCGCAGCAATTACGTCTTCTGCCCGCATGACGCCCTGGTAATCCGACCCCAACGTCCGGCATTTCAAGGCTTGTACTTGCTGATCTCTTTTACTTTGGATGTGGGAATCTTTATCCATGGTGTCCATCATGAAAAGGACAAAATAATGGCGGTCAGGTATGCACAGAAGGACCTGTCTGATGGTAACCTGCGGGTTGGTCTGATGATGAATGCAAGTCATCACGAGTTCTGGTCGAAAGTGTGAACGTTACATGCATCCATCTTGATCTTTTAATCGATATCCAACTTAATGAACGCCATTCTTAGATTAAACAGTCGACATGCTTCACTTACACCGTTGCCGTCGTTCTGGCCTAGTCAGGGTCGGCCAGTGGATACCCGGCCCGTCCAGCCCGGCCCGATGACCCACTGGGAGCCGGAGCGGATTACACAGCTAGCTTACATGTAGAGATCAGCGGCCGGAGGCACAATCAAATAGCCAAGAACCAGGCACCGTGAGGTCCCAATCTTCTGTTGAAACGAGGATCGGATAGTTCTCGGGTTGTAGAATTGATTCAGGCCTCTCCAGTTTTTCAGACGACAAATCATGACTGCAAACAAGTCGATTCCAATGTAATCGCTCCAAGTGTCATCTAGGGGCACTTAAAGAAGACCAATCGTCTTCATGGTATCACAGATTATGTCCCCTTTGGCGGCGGAAGTGATGTCCTGAATGCTATGTATTATATCTACTACGAGAAGTTATTCAGTTCCTGGGCTCCGATGCTCCTTTTCTACCACTGACATGTCCCAGTTCCAGCGCAATGTTCTAGCCCTGCGTAACGTGTGGCTGATCCCATTTCAGTTGACTCATACTTGTTCGAGGCAGACTGAAGCTGCGAGGCGCATTCAGTCGTGGGAGATTGAAGCTTCGCCTTGGAGATAACTCTGCCTTTTGCCTCGCTTCTTGGAGGCCGGACTCGAGGTCTGAGTGTCGAACTTTCTCATCTCCAACAGATGAGTTGTCATCTCCCATGTGCGACAGTGTCTCTGTTGACATGTTCGGCCGAGAGAAACGGTTGAAAGCGATAAAGGTCTCCTTGTCGCCCTCGACCGCGTTCGATGGAGGAGGGACGCGAACAGACCGGCGTCGGATTGCCACAGCATCTTCCTGAACCGGCTGGACACCCATGCATCCGTAGATGACATTGAGGATCGGTATAGATACTCCGTGGACTATGATGGAGAATAGTGCAAGCCAATACACAACGGGACCAATAGCCCGGAGCATATCAACTACCTCGCTGTCGCCCTCGGCCTCGGCAAGCTTAGGGAAGAGATGACGCGCATGCTCGACATAAAAGGCAGCACCAACGCCGATAGGGCCAAAGTAACCCATGAATAAGGCTTCTTTCCAGTCCTTAATAGTGTTGGGCATGAGCTTGTATGTGAGGAGCACGGCAGGAATGCGGCGAAACACGAGGACAAGTGCGCCGAGAGCAAAGAGCCGACCAAGGCTGATGCCGGTGATGTCGGAGCTGAAGTCGCTCCACGGGATGATGGTTCCGAGATAGATGAACCCCCCAAAATTGAGAAGAACGTCGATGCTGGCGTTGACTTCGTCGTGTCGCTTCTGTGCCTCTGCAAGGTACTCGCCGTCCCAGTTGAGTGCACTGCCGGCAACGAAGCAAGATAGCAGATCGTCGGTTCCGATGGCTCCTGAAGTGCCCATCATAAAGAGCTATAGGGTGTCAGTTAATATTCTCTCCGTTCCGTGTCAGTGACTTACGCCTATTGCCGTTGGCACGAGCACGTAGCTTTCAGAGTCGATCCACTTCCTGGGCCTCTCTTAGAAACTGCCAAAACTAACTCGTGTTCAGGGACCGATCAACTTACTTTCTGACAGAATATTTCAGAGCAAGCCTAATCAGTGTTCCCACAATGATCCCGTAGGCTATACTCATGAGGACGAAGTAAAGCCAGGTCTCCAGCAACCAGTTTAGCAAAGCAACACCAACACCTCCACCTTGACGTGCAACGTCACCGGCTCTAGGAAGAAGTGCACGACCGATAGCATGCAATGTTGCATCATCTGTGTGTGCCTCAGATCCCTCCGCGTGCCGTATGAGATATGTTGTCAGCATCAATATCGGAAACCCGAAGCCGTCGTTTGCGCCACTTTCGGAAGAGATGATTTCACGCAAGGAGCGCCGGACGAACTTGTCGGCAAATGGTCCCTTGGCAACCGCTTGTGACAGAACTGGATCAGTTGAGGTAACGCAAGCAGCAATCACCCCAGCACCCAGGAACGTCAACTTAGGAATGGTTGCAATGATACAGGCTGTCGTAGCCAACCACATCAAGGTCATGATGGGCAGCATAAGTATGGCCATCTCTTTCCACTTGTTCTTTTGGTACTTTGCTGGCAACTGGTAGCCGGCCATGACCAGTTGGATACCAATCATCACTCTCGTGAGACCCTAAAGTACAACATAAGATACTCATCAGTACATGAAGGTATAATTTCGCGTTTCTCCTGACAAAATTGCACTTAAGCCGTATCATTGGCACTTACAAGAGTGATTTCTTGGGTCTGTCCCTCAATAGCTGACCCCCATCTCTCACTGTCGATGAACCTAGCAGCTATAGGACCAAGGCATATGCCTAACACGACGGCCGGTACTAATTCGAAGCTAATTGTCAGTGGACATTGTACAAGAGATTGAGCATCATGTCGACTAGGACAAAGCCGTGGAGAGTGTCCGAAACTAAGCTTACAGGCCTCGCCCAGGTACCACACATTCTTTATCTTGACGGAGATGATACCAAATAGAATGATGAACGCGCCTGGAGACAGTCGCCACCAATTAGTCAAAGCTAAGCGATAGCCAGTATGGGACACTCACCAAATACAGCGAGAACTACATTCAATTCGCTAGGATCAAGGGTAGGCATCTTGGCTATCCGCTTGTGGCTTCACTCTCGATATGCGAGTGTCTTTGTGTGATGTGCCTAGAAGGTGTGTCGTGCGTTTGCCGAGAAAGGCTGCCTTGGCCGGCAAGGACTTTGAGGCGGGGGATAATCTTTTTAGCTAATGCTCATACGATGTTTGCATGAAGTTGTTTTGAAAGAAGAAAAGAAAAGAGATGCCAACGAGGCTTCGAGGAACAGAGGAAGAAATACAAAAGGGTTGTCTGATGAACTGAAGGAAATCCCGGAAGATGAAGTCAGAGAGCAGAAACCTGAAATGATGATGGACAACAACACTTGCTCGACTCCTTGTGGTATGACAGTCACCCGTCAATTCAGCGCTGCTGATGAAGAATGGTCTGGTGAGCGGCGGGAGGGCAACTGATCCTTCTGCAGCGCCGAGAGTCCGGATATTTAAGAGTGGTGTGTCAACCAGGGGCATACTTGGCTGCGGACCAAAAAGGAGCGACTTGGCTGCAGATCTTGGGCGGCCGAAATCTTTTGGGAATGGATTCTGATCACAAACGGTTCTGATTCAGAGCCAAGTGCGCCCTGTAGATCGCGGTAGGGGGTTATGGCGGCTCGCATTACTGGAGCATACAGAGTACCCAAGTTGAAGACGCAGAAAACTTTGTGCTTGGGCCGTGGCTTCCTCAACGGCTGGAACAGGGTCATAAGAAAGGCGCAATGGGCCAAGCACAGCTGGATCTCGTAACTAGAAGATTTGAACTGCGGATCGGTCTTTCTGCAGGGGCGAAAGTTGGATTTCTACAAGTAAGATTCCTATCCGTATCAATTTGGCCCAAGATGTCTCAAATCTAGTAGTCTTGTCGTGGAGGCACGTTGATCTGCCAGTGTGAGTGAGGAGGGAGCGGCCATCCGTGTGGTAATATCCACGCGTCCTTCCTACCAGGTTAGGTGCTGAGAAATTTGGAATCTAGCTGGTCAGCGGGAATTAAATGCTGGCCTCTGACTGTAAGGGACGTTTTTGCCAATTAAAATAATCCGGGGCATCGTTTAGCATAGTCTCAGAAGCTTCGTTGAGAACTTGAGACAGCAGTAACCTACGAAAGTGGATAGCATGCCCAGAAGTGAAGCATCTGCTTTAGTGCTACATTAATTCCCTTGGATTCTTACTTCCGTATATGAAAGCAGATACTTCATTGCTCGAGGGGCATTTATAGACCTTTGACAGTACCGAAGAACGATTGTCTGTCCAAATCTGCAAATGGAAATAAGACACGATGATTAAGCCCGTTGATCAAATTCAAGAAAGTTTGTTCGATGAAGCTAAAGATGTGAACTTATCTATGATACACTGCTTTCAGCCACAGAGGTCGACCGGTAGAACGACCAGAGAAAATTGCATAAAAGCGCGCCGCACCCGGAGAAAGGTCGTAAACGCGACGGGAAGAGCCGGTTGAACGTGAAATCAGGCAACAAACAAAACTCGCCCAAGAGAAAAGAGTGGGCTGCCTAGAGTAACGAGGTAGGACAAAAGTCTTAGTGTCTTAACAAAGTCACCAGGCATCCAGGGTCGACAGCAGGTAGAAGAACCATCATTGGACGAAGAAGTCATAAATTAGGTTGGTTGTTCCGCCGCCAATGCTCAGCGGAGGAGTCCGAATTTCACGGCGGTGTCAGCGCGGCCTCGGCGCCAAGTAGAGGCAGCAAGTGGTGTTGACATTGTCCGCTGAGTGGAGACTAAAAGGGGCGCCGCAACTGGCAAGGTGATGAAGCTCGGGGCACGACTTCCGGTATGATGACCGCCGCTGGGTCGGCCAAGTCAATACTGCCTGGCTCAGACATTGTGATAGGTTCCCTGTGTTCTCATGTTTTCTTGGGAGACCTTGGCCGACGAGGATTATTGGGTGACGTTGGGACCACCCGGCGCTGGGCGCTTCTTGGTGAGGCTCGGCGCTTCGCGCTTGGCGGCTCGTGGTCAGATTATTCTTGCATTATGACTTCTCGCTTCTTCCGTCTCGTTACCGTATGGACCGTTGATGGATTTGAGTCGCAAAACATGTCAAACCGCCCTTGAAGAAATCAAGGATTCGGCCTGCGGGTAATTGTCTTCTCCGTGCTCGGCCTTCTCATTTGCGACGTCTCCAATCCCTGTCAGCAATATCCCGGTGCGGGTTGCCGCGTGAGCCGTTGCTGGCCATCCAGACTTCGATGCCAGAGAAACTTGAAATTGGTGCTTGTGCTGTAAAAAGCACGCGCAAACCCAAACTGAGAGTATGATGGTTAAAGAATCTCAGAGTCCTTCAGAAAGACGTTCTCTAAAGACAATCTCAAAAGGTGGTGAGTTTATGCTGCTTGTGCGCCTCTACCTTAACTAAACATCTTCAGATATCAAAAGGTACGCATCAAGACTTGGAAGGGTTTATCAAGCAGTCAGACTAGTAAGTGATCTTTCCTTGTGCATTTGCGATGAAGTTGTGTGATTAATTTGATGCGAAAGGTGAGTTCCCCAGTCTCCAGTATCGCCATGTCAAAACTCAGGCTTTGCAGTCATTGCAGTTGGCTCGCGTCCAATCATATCTCCAATCCTCATCTTTCTTGCTCTGGTCCATCACGCCATAGCTGATATCTATGCAACATCCCAATTGTGTTCCTGAGCAAGTGTATCCAGGCCAGGTTGTGGTGCATGTAGCACTGGTGCTGATCGCGAAGAAGATAGCGACGACGGCCGCAGTGAAGGCTGTAATCTGCATTGTGGGTTGGGATCCTGGCTGCTACCTCGTCAGCGAAACGCCGGTCGACAAGACACAGTTAATAACTTCATGTTACTTACACAAGTTTCGATGGCTTTTCAAGCAATGGATATGGATTTGAGAGGATTCAACTCGCTGAGATCATGAGAATGATGGTAATTGAAAAGGCTTGGCTGAGTTGACGTTCTCACGCATGCCTTTATAGCTGGATCAACTTTAGCAGGCAGGATAAATACGATGAATTTGTAACATTTCTAATCTATCTCAAATTAAATCAACTCCATATTTGGGTCGATTGAGTCAGTATTCAGGTGCAACTCATACTTTAGAGTTATCCCACCGGCGGCAGAAGGCGGGTGTCGGAGTGTTCTGCCTCTGGTCGGACGGACCCCGCCCCTCCTGTTGTTGCATGACTACAGCAGCTGACCAAATCCCATGCCCATCTTGGGATTGATCTAAGTGTTTTGGAGTGCGCAGTGGTTTAAATGTTGAAGTACCATTAGATGGTTACGTACAGGTTAAGGGTTTGTAGGCAGGTGGATGGCGCACTTGGGGACTTGTGTCTAGGCGTTGGATTTTCTGCTCAATAGGATACAAGGTTAAATGTAAGGTTATGTAGAGAGCCTTACAGTCACACTTTGTACTCATAGGCTAAAGGAAGTCAAAACAGATCAAGAGGTATTTAGTTTAACTTAGAATTCTCAAGACACGGTGCACACTATGTTGGAGTTGAGGTGTTTGGGATATCTAGAGTGCTGCGGCACATCACCAAATTGAGAAGCTCAATGACTCTGAGTAGCGCGTAGAGTCTCGAAACTTGCTCTTGAGTCCCACTACATTTCTCTAGGATTATCCTAGACGCACTGGGGAGTCTGTTATAAAGACAAGTAAATGCAGGTTGCTAAGCACTGTTGACTATCTCCGCTACTTTGACGGTCCATAACTTATTCTGACCCAACACCACTAGAACATCCCCGGCAAGCTCAAACTGTACAATCCCTGTATTCACAGGATCTCTCGTGAAATATTGTCCATTGAAGATACCGATGACCTTTCCTTAGAAACTTCGGACCACAACGCCTTCGCTCTCACCCGTTCAAACCCGACCTTGGTCGTCGATACGGATCCCGTCGGGCGCCTGACCGAGACCCCAAAGATTCCCTTGTTTATAGGCCACACATCTTCATTCAGCTCGTAACTGTAGATCGCGGGTGCCCCAACTTGAGCCGGTAGCCCCCAAATTCTGCTTCGCTCCTCGCCGCCAAAGTCGGTGACCCAAAGAGTCTTTTGGTCCCTCGATTGTAGGACACTGTTTGCAACGAGAAATTCGGTTCTGCTGATGGCCGGTAATAAGATCTGATTCTGAGTATCCCAGCGCCACAGACCTTGAGGCAGGCGATCGGTCGTGGTTGTTGAACCCTCTGCGAAAGGCAGAATAGTGATAAACATGTAGGAGCTGTTGGTTCACGGCTGCGTGACCCAAGCCACATCGTGGATGCTGTTAAACTTGAGATTAAAATACGAGTTGAGCACAGTCTCGACGTGGCCTGTCTCAGGGTCGACAGATACGACACCGCCAGGCCAATCCCGAGTGTCGTTTCGCAGACAAGTGAAGTACATGCAACTTTGGTGATTGAATCCTCCGTTGGGATTTTCCAATGGCTTCGGAGAAGTCAGGTTCCTGATGGTTTTGGGGTTTAGGTCAAGAATCTCCACGTGAGTCGGCCCGTCATTAATCCAAATCGTGTACCAGACTTCATTGCGGTCGCTAACCCATACTCCGGCTTCTCCTGCGAAGTTGCCGGGGCCCTCCTCGACCAGTTCAATGACTGGATTCTGACCGAGGAGTGCTAGGAACTCGTCATCATATGAGATGAAAGGTGTTTTGGTTGCAAATTGAAGGATCTCGTTGGTCGACGCATCCGATGTGTTGGTGCCATTGACAAAGCTGTGGAACAGGCTGCCGTGGAACGGTGGAGGAAGTAAATATTTCAACTCATATGGAATGGAGACGATGCTATTTTTCAGTGCGATGCATGTCTGTATAAAGACGGAGAAGAGACCGGCATAGCTTGCAAACCGTAGCATCATGTTCTATATCTTGTCTTGGTATGACAAACTTTGTTCGTGTGAAAGAGCCGATGGCTGTGGAAGAAAGACCCAAACAGTAAGTCAGTAACCAGGGACCAGCCTACTCTAAATAGTAGCATCATCTCTACGATGTTATTGGTAAAATTTTATATCTGATACAATGTTACTGTGAAGCAGTTAGTATTTGGTATCACGGTACTATCACTTCATATTCAATTTCTCTCTCATCCGGCCTTGGCTCGGCCAGAAACCTGATCAGACGTGACGTTTGAGGAACAGTTGCCATGAAGGCAATCAAGTTTACTTGCCTATTTGGGCATTCGTTACGGTGAACGAGGTTTAAATGGGGTAAGGTATTCTTAAGGAGGACAGAGGCGGGAGATGGTGGTCCACGCATTGGCTAACATCGTCCGTCGACATCACCAATCCACCCCAGGATTCTGATCGGATTAACACGATGATTGTCTTCGTCGCATTCCACTAAATGTTTCCATGATCAATTCAAGATTATCTATCTAGTCTCGTTCGGCGATAACCCGGACAGCGGCCGACAGAACCCCGCCGGAACCTCCCTGCTCTCGGGCACGCCGTCGCAAGTCACCGGCAATGACTCGAGCTATCAAGGGGGCTTCCAAGGCATTTGATGCGGAGCCTTCCTCGCTGGAAATAACAAACCTTGATAATTCCGCGTATAGCCACTTTTGTACTCTTTCTCGACGCCCGCTTGGAGACATAGCTGCAAACTACAACTGTGAAGAGGCATGGAGGGCAACGAGCAACTTCGTCAATGCCTAGCCAATTGCCTACGCATCTGTTCCTTTCGTTATAGATACACTGAGAACTTCCGAAGTAATTGCAGATAATTGCTTGATTATTCATTCATACATCTATGCCAATCGGAGATACGTGATAATGCTTGGAAATTGGCACATTTTGCGTAGCTTCTCGTACAGTGACGAGGGTATGTGAAACACCAACGTCATAGAGACTTCCTCTCCAGTCGAATTTTGGTACTCCACAGAAGCTCATATGTAGATTGCGAATAGATGAGTTACTGATTCGAGACTTTTGGGGCATATCAAATGTCGACAGTGTCTTGGCGTCCGGCATTCCTACATGCATCGTCAGAGAGTTGAGCCAGAAGACAGTGCCAGGCTACCAGCAATGGTGGACTCCGCTATCAAAAGCACTTGTTCGGTTTCCAGTCTCTACTTACCTTAAGTTGCTTATGAATTGCAGGTCAAGAATCCTAAATTTACAGTCTTGGACCGAGGAGTGTTTATTGCGATCATCAATAGCCTTCTAAATTGAAGAAAGATTTCCGCATCGTCTTCAACGCTGTAGCTTTGAAATTCTGCACATTTTGACGAGTTGAAACTAATTCTGCATAGCATACAACTCCTCGAAGTCGCTCCACCAACCAGCAATATGGTGATCACGACTGAGAACTAAACCGCTTTACTAAGCATGATGGTCCTTCGTTGGGTCCATCTGCAACTCATCTCTCGATCAGAGATTCAGCGTATCCGCAACCAATAGTTCAACATAGAATATCAAACACTCTGCATGTAAGCGTACGTCAGAGAAAGGGAGAAAGAAAGTGCTCAGACGCTGTGGAGCCTGATGATTGTGGCGAAAGCTTATACATGGTACCCAGACAACCCCAAACAAGAATAGTATTGTCCATAGAGGTTGTTGCACAACTTTGCGACCAAACGGTCTTGAGGGCCTCCAGAATTTCGCGAGTCCGCGGACTGCATCTCTGCTCTACACCACTAACTACGATGCGTTTGCTGCCGAGTTGTTATGGACGCTTGGAGCCCAATGTCGCCACAACGACTCCGAAAGGCATTTCTCCATGGACGAGCGAGATGGAGAATGCTGTGCAACTCCACCGTCTGACATGCTTCAAGCGTCCTTGGCACCCTACCATGCGCACCCAGCATGACACCACTGACACAACGCGGGCGTCGCGTCCATGGAACCACTGCAAAAGGGGCAAGGCAATCTCAACCTCATGAGGCGTCCCGTGCCGTGCCGCCGGGCTGGCTGATCCGTTTGAGGCTTCTCATTGAACGTCGCCATCTGGTTCCGCCACCTCTGTCGTGTGTATCTGCAGGTTCCGCTGTATTCGGCTAGAGATGCATATCCGTGCCTGCCCGCCAATCAGCCTCATTTCAACTTGGTGATATGATGCTTGGCGGAAGAGAGGGCTGTCGCGTCCAGAGCTGACATGGGTATGTTCTCTCGATGCTCTGAATTCGCTCATGGACAAAATATGTGTCAAGCTCTCCAGATTTAACCGATCCTACCCGGGATTGCCAAGTCGGAGGCAAATTTATCGGCGCCGACTCATAGTTGGGAGTCTGGAGACCAGATGAACATGTGATCTTCGACTCCGCAGTCTGCGCGTGCCCCATCCCAGCCTTACCGGCACTTCGCTCGCATCGCACGGGGGCTTTTCACTGCCCCGTCTGCCCAGCTAGCCGATTGCCTCCGAGCATATTCCTTGTCGCGGGCCTTTAAGCGGGGTGGATCGCTGGAGATTTGACAACTCACCGAGACCCCGCGCAGAAGCGGGAGGTTCCCCGGAGAGAGTTGAAGCTTAAATCGTTGAGAGTTCTTGCTCTGACTTACGGATCTTGTCTTTTTGTGTTCGGGATACGGCTTCGCCCGCTGTTGTTGTTTCGGATGTTTCTTTTGTGATTTTCTCGTCCAGGTTAAGGCGCTTATGGCTAAATCGTATGTTTTCTTCTCGGGAATCGGTTCGCTAAGACTCGGTGAACGTTCGTGGCTCGGTTTGAGCTATTAGGGAGGGTTCTGGGGTCGATTGTCGTTGCTCTAGCTGTTCGAGCCGTTCGAGAGATGCATTCTTGAGGATGGTCGAGGGCGTCGGCGTATGGGTGGATCAGGTAGTCAGCTCATCATCATCGAAAATTTGACAGCTTGTATATAGGCTTTCAGCAAACAAAAAAACGCTTACCTCCCTGATAACCTGACTGTAGCTTAAAAAGTTCGTCATGTTGAACTTGATTTTCGTTCTATATGAGGAAGAGAAAGAGGGTAAGTGATGGTCTTAGCCGTTAGGGCTGAAGAAATCTCACAACTGAGCCATCAAGGTTCGCTTTTATGACCGCCGCCATCTCGGCAGATCTGGGTATCGCTTATCATCAAGCACTTGAGCCCGGATATCTGGTAAGAATATCAGTCGCTATTAAGGCGCTCTATCAGACTATGGATGGAATCTTAGTATTCTAGTTCTTACATTTTCACAATCATCTGTGGAGCTGAACCACAAAAGTTGTACCGCAAAGCCTACTGCCAACCCAACGCGGTACGTGGGATCTACCTGCATGAACTTTCTCTTTCCGGTAATGTGCGAAGCGTTGGGGGAATGATTTCACTGCGATTTGAACCCCTCCGGAGGGGCGTAACGTTAAGGACCAAAACCCATGGAGAAATCAGCTATTTGACCTTGACGAGAAAGAACAGATCAATATCGCACAAATCAATCAGCTCACCAAATCAACAGTTCTGTAGACCTTACCGTCAAGCCGCCTCGTCGTTTCGACACCAACCCAGATAAACCCCGAAACCCCCGTTGCCAGCAGATCACGGCACCAACTACCTAGGTACCTAAGGTAGGGTAAGTCGCGTCGCGCCGGCCCCCCAGATAGCCCGCCAACAAATCGCCGCCAAATCGCCGCCAAACCACACTCAGCCAAGTCCGCAGAGCTCACGGGTGTCCATCCACATCCCCAATCACAAGCTGCGAATTCTGCATCCGTTTCTGCCGTATAGCTTCGTAACTCATCCTTCCTCCCATATCCTTCCTATCGCAACCACATCTTCCCATGTGCCAAGCCACATTCCTCCAACGCACCAATCAGTCGAAATCAGTCAGCTGACACTTCGAAACGCCCTACTTTACATTGACAGGTAGGTAGATACATCTGCATGTATGTACTGCGTACACACCAGCAAACCAACGCCTCGCACCCCTCACCTCCTCCTCCTCCTCCTCCTTCATCCCGAACTTGCAAACTAACTTGCCAACCCTACCACACCCGTCCAGCACATGCCCGCATGAACCCCGATTTCGACGCCGAGTGGGGGGCAACCAGAGGTGCCAGCGAAGTGGAGGGGAAGGAGGAGCTCGTGGAGCATCATTCTCCAGCTCTTCTGAGCTTGCTGTCATCCCGATCGCCTCTCCATCTTTACACTATTGGCCCCCCTTGGAGAAACCTAACCTTTCCCCTCACAGACATTTGAAGTTTAGAGAGACCCAAAGGTCTCCGCAAATAGCGTCAAATAGCTCAAGCATGCATGTCCCGCTTCAGGCAGGCATTCGGCGGGCCGCCTGCAACCTCCAGGCTCCAAGTCAAGGATCCCACCTGAACAATGAGATGCCATTTAATCACTCAAAGGATACAAAGCCTATCCAACAATCACATAATCACAACAATAGGCCGCATGATTCGATGGCCAGCAGGGGGTCAAACATTTTCCCGGGAATCAAAACACTCGTAGTTCGTATTGCCATCTCAAAACAAAACTATCATACCACGAGACGAGAGAGAAAAAATGAAAGAAGAATTCTCCATCTCGAGTTCCCAGCCCCAAAGACCAATAGACAGACAATTGATCTTCCGCTCATGGCCGTTCTCCACAGGCTAGAGGATCCCCTGTTTCGGCAGTCGTTGTTGGCAAATGGAACTGGTTCCAGCAGTCAAAGATCCACCCCAAGTCAACATCTTACAACCCTTCCACGCGATACCAGAAACGTGTTGTCGAATGGAGGGCACACAGCTCGAGTTGGCTATTGACGAGCGAGCCGCTTCCGGGCTGTAAAATCTGATGGAAGCAGAAAAGCCATGCTGAATTTAGTGCTATGAAGATCAAACGTCAGCGCCTGAGGGTCCTGAGATTTGTTGTCGAAGAGATGTGGCTTACGGAGCAAGAGCCGCAAGAGCAGGCAGTGCAGGAGCCAGCACAGCTGGAGCCGCAGGAGGAGCAGGAGCTGTTCACATTAAGTTAGCTTCAATGTCGTAGATGTCAAAGCATAGTTCATCCGGTGGGATATATCGAAACTCAAAGAGAATCCGAATCATCGAGAGAGACTCGTGTGTAGTGGTATATCTCCCGTGTGTAGAAGACAGAGCAGGTGGCTGTCACTCACCAGGGGGCCATTTTGATAGTTTGGTGGTTGAAGCGAAAAGGCTCGAGTATTTGTTTGGTTGTTGAAATCTGGAGTTTGAAGCTGATGAGTCGGATGAAGAAAAAACCTCACTTCAACCAGAGCTGGTCTGGGTTTATATAGCCATTTCGAAGGCTTGTCCCCCACGTATCAGTCAGCTAGACATCAGGCGGCTATCTGACGAGGAAGCGCGATTTCATTCGCGATTACGTAGAAGGCACGGGAGTCCTCGGAGAAGGGCCATATCTATCCCTGTATGATCGGATAAGTATTCCGTAGTGTAAACCGCGAATACCGCGCGAGCTATGTTGGCGGCAGAGAGCTGGCATGGCGGTTATGTGATACCGCATCAGGCTGGCACTCCCATGGTTGATCCATAGTAGCTTCCTGCGGCCTGGAGCTGGCACCGTTGAGGAGCGGGGTCTGGCACCGAATCTACGGGTGCAGAGCTCTGCAAGCTTTGAGACCTGTGGTCGGCTGGTAACATGGAGCAGAGTGCCACGTTCGGGCTGGGGAATCCACCCGACGACGGGGAGCGCCGGGCTCTTGTGATTGGACCAAGTGTTGCAGACTGGGCATCCACGCGCGAGGGTTTGATATGGCGAACAGGGCGGCAGAATGGAGCCTGCATGGCTGCCGTGGTCGTGTGAATATGGTGTTGTAGGCGGGTTTGGAGGGATCGTCAATGGTGAGTGGATGAGAAGTGCCCGATGAGGGTAGCCCCGCCCATCTTCGGTCAAACGTTCGGGCTAGGAACGGCCTGGGAGGGTGGGCAGAGCCGGTCTGGATTGTGGATTATCGGATGGGTGAAGAAAGGCTGCTTTTGGAGCGAACAGCAATGAGAGTCGACGCCTTTGGGGCACGGCACCAGACTGAGGAAAGCCGACGGCGGCATTGCTCGTCGTGGTTGGGTGCGTATTGGTGTGAATCCGTCTGTGTATGCATGACAATGTATGTAGGACGACAGAGAAGGAAATCTGCTTGTGATGCGCTTGGCGGCGGCACCCGCGCGAAACAGAGTTTGTACCATCCCGCACCAAAGGCTTCAGGTGATGCGACGCAGCCATCCCGTATTGGCCAGAGTTGGGACTAGCTGTCTGCCCAAGTGGGATCCGTCTGCTTACTAGGCAGTCTCGACTGAAAGAAGGGAAACAACAGACAGTAAAAGACGAGAATATGGACAGACGACAGACTTGTCCTATGCCAGATGACCTCGCCATCCATCGTCATGGTAAAGTGAAAAGCCTCAGGAAAGGGAGGTCAAGGACGACAACTCAGTGATGAAGTCTCACCAGTGAGACTATAGGCTCTTGCCTAAACTTCAGCTCTACCTCGGCTCCGCCGCTTGGAGGAGCTTCAAAAGAACCTTGCCAGGGGAAGACAATCCCAGTAAAATCCCTATCGGACGTTCCGTCCAGAGAGGAGAGCGATAATACCTCTTAGCTAAAAGGCGTGGGTTGTCCAATCATTGAGATTGGCCGGCGGCGATGCTGAGCAACTCGTGATGGAGCAGGTTACCCAATCGGCCAATTACTCCGAGCTCGAGGTGAAGGGAGCCCGGAGACCGGTGAGAGGGGTGATGAAGCGAGACATGCGATAGAAATGAACAAGGAGGAAGAGAGAAAATGAGAGGTTGTGGCTTCTTACCGTGGGGGTTTCGCTGAGGAGTATTGCCCTGCCTGAGGGCGAGCCGGGACCCGAGAGGTAATCATCAGATGGCAGGAGAGACGAGAAGCAGAGCCTGACTGATCGATACAGTGTGCAGGTTCTCTGTCTTTCATTCTCCTGGTCTCCTCAACTCAGATTATCGTCGCATACCTTGGTCGATTTGCTTCGGCTCTGAAGTGGCCAACTCGACGGCGTTGCGGACATTCAAATGAAGAGATGACAGAAAAGGTCCTCGACAAAGGGAGATAGGATGAGCGGCCCCTTTTATGCCTTCAACCAGCTCTCTACCTCAGGGGCCTCAGAATGGCGGTGGAAGGGAGAGACGACGACATTCGCCTGCTGGGAATGATAGTGCGAACTGGCTGGAGAAAATTGGCTCATCAAACCACCCGGTCCCTCAGCATCCGTTGCGAGTCGTCGATATGCTGAGTCCTGCCGCCTGACCTGTCCATAGTCCGTGGATGCGCTGGCTATCTTGCTCATTTCAAGCACATTGTGGGTGATGGTTGGCGGGATGGCGATGGCGGAGACTGATTTTTGAGACGCTGGACCATCAAGGTTGGCCATCCGGGTCCCTGAGACAGTCCCAAAATGGCCTTATCAATGCAGGCTATCAAGGTTCTCAACACCGAGTTGCACCCAGCAGCATCTCTGCAATTGATACGGAGTCGAATGATTCGACCAAACAACGGTGTATCGAATGAGAGTCCCTTGGTGCTGGTACTCTGTGTCGAAGGTCGAATATCTGTCTCTGTAGCAAGCCTGGGCTGTGACTATGTCGATATGACCAAGCCGTTGCATTTTGCCTTTTGCACTCCAACCTTTCTCGAGAAACCCGATTACCGATACCCGGAATTTAAACCGACTTGATTAGCTAGTTGCTGACAACAACTTGAAACGATAATTGTGAAAAGCAAGTAGTTTTCGACTCTCGAATACAGAAGCCGATGTTCTGATGGGTCGAAGCGACCAGGTTTACTGTTCATTTGGGCCAGAACCAACGCCAGATATCAATTTCGGCAACCTCTGCAAAATCGAGCGAGGACCGAGTATAATCAAACGAAAGGCTGTCTTCGAAGCCATATTTCCAAACGCAGAAGTTATTACGGACACGATTAGTCTAATAATATGGCATCGCATAGGGCAATTCTCCACGTTTGTTCCGCTGGTGGCCGTACTAGACTTGTGTCCTCAAAGCTGAATTGAACGTGGTCAGTCAAAGTTCGTGTAAAGATGACTTATTTCCTCGCAAGGGTGTTGTCGATCTGGCTTTGAGCTCTCGATCCTTGCAAAGTATGGACCACTGCCCAGGCATTGCCAAAAGGCAAAGCAGTGAATTCTTGCTAGGCTGAGTATGACTGATTACCGAACAGAGTGCTTGTCAAGCTCGAATTTGCTCTTTCGACGGCAGAATTCGACGGCAGATCTTTCGCCATACCAAGCGATCGATCAGAATCCAAGCCTCGTCAATTACCTGTCGTTGCGCAGTTCTTCGGCCATCGCGCCAAGGTCCCCATAATTGCGCCATCTGGGGCAAGCGCCTCTCCGAGATCGTGACCCTTAGATCCGATCCGACCCTGTTCCCACGAGCGACCCCTCCTCCCCATCGAGAAGCGCGGTGAGCCCCGGTCCCGCCGGCTCAAACCCGTGAGCGGGCCGTCCCGCTGACCTTCTATCTCTCCTTTGCAGAGATCCGGTCATGGATGAGGGCTGCTGTCTTGGCGAATCGTGTGTCGGTGGCTCGCCACCCGCCTATGGTCCTGGTTTGATGGGGTGTGACCGAAGGCGTCCGTGGGACCCTGACAATCCGTCATGGTTTCTGGACCCTGTGAAAAGACCAATCCAAGGTCAACATGGAGTCTAGTCTTGGAGGTTCCTATCCCGATGCGGCGGCGCGCCCCGACAGTTGACGACCCGGTGTTGAGAATGGCGAGCTGTTTGAGTCAGGCCGAGTCTGGTGGAAGCTGCACAGGCGGTAGCAGGCTAGGAATACGTATGGGAAAACACGGCACGTCCGTCGATGACGATACGCGTAGGCATCGATTTCTACAGTAACCATGTCAGCTCCAACGTACACTGAGTGTACACAATCAGCATACTTCACTTATCTTGCGCTACAGAATCCTGCCCATCCTCTCGTCAACCTACGCTTCGCCTCGGCGACTCGTCGAAATTATAAGTTACCCGTACCCGGAGCTGCAAAACGATTTGGTCCGTGGGACATGGAGAACAACTTGCAGCCTGAAATAGAGTTCATCGTCACGAAGGCGATTCTGTCATCAAACTTGCTCTAATGAATGCGAATTGGCAGCGAAATGGCAGTAGAAAGTCAGGGGGGAAGAAGTCAAACTCAGAGAGCAGAAGCGTTGTCGATTTCAACATTTCAAGAACACCAATGCCTCCAACTGCCCTGGCCCTTCTTCGTCAGGAAGAAGAAAAGTCTTAATGCAACCCCTATGGATGTGACCTGCCACGCTGGGAAAGTAGTCGGATACTCGCAAGGTACCTTACCTTAACTGGGCAGGGCAGGCACTCTCACTGCATCACTCATGCCTCTGCAGCCATGCACCTTCCTATCGTGAGCTTGGCTGGCATCCGTCAGGTACCTAAGGTCAGGTACCTACATCGAAGCAGGAAAGAACGGAGCAGCAGCCGCCCCCCTGTCCTACACTTGATCCTGAGGCGCCTTATTTCCTCCCACCAGGAGATCATGGATCATGTCTGATTTGAAAATACGATGGCAATCGGAAGACGACAAAGGCAAATGCCCAAGGAACCAAACTTCCTACGGCCACGGAGGACCTGGTCAAGCCTGGGAGAGGCATCAGTGGTTAGCTTATCTAGTGGGCCATACTTGACGGAGTACTAGAACGAAAACGAGAACTATGTATTGACCCCATGGATAGATCGTGAGAAGGGTCCCAACTGCCGCGGACTGCCTGCCTGAATTATGTCGTAACCAGTCGCTACACACAAGGCCTCCTGTGGCACAGATGTTGGCAACATACGGTTACAGCTTTCAGGAGTCGGGAAAGCAAGGCATTGTATAAAGAGTTGAAACTGAAATCGATTTGCAAATCTCGTTCATTGTTGGTGCGACGAGGAACTATGGTCCCACTCGCCAATGAACTCCGAACCTATGTGTGTATGATGCCGCATAATGAGATACGATTCGTAGCTAATCCATCCCGGAAACAAATTACAAACAATACCCTACTTTGACAGACACAACCTGGATATCCACGACGTTCATATCATGATTTGCGCTAGTGTCCTCGGCCACTTGACCAAGATATGCCATCCCTGTAACCCTTACGCCAGAAAATCCACAATTGACCATTCATAGTGCCACCTTCTAGGTCTACTTCGTAGCGCTTGGGCTTCGTTCAAGTCTGACCTCACTCCCCGGAGGAGTGCGGCTTCGAGTACGGGGCTCCTATGCCCCGCCAGCTCGGGCCGCGAGAGGCTGCTTGTTTCGTCTTCCCAGCAGCGTGGCACCGTCAAGGCTAAGCTCAAAGGCGCCCTTCTGCCTGTTCCGGTCTCTAACCTGTTGGCGAGCTGCAGCTGTAACGGTTGCCGAATGTTGTCCGTAGCCTTTCTCATTCGCCGCAGGTGCTTGCCGCTCACGCTCGCGTCCGCGATGTTCTTGCTGATCTTTAATCTGGGCATTGCGCATGCTTTGCTCGAGTGCTTGTGTGGCCTGTGATGGCTTGTGGACGTATTCGGCTTCCTTGTTCTCGGCCATTTCCGCATCTTCGTCCTCTGATTCCTCATTGAGGTTGTTGAGGAAGCGTGCGGGAACACCACCCTTGCTGCCAATTTGCTTGCGGCGCTTGGCCTCTTCCTCTTGCCTGTGAACGGCATATCCAACATCGAACACCTCACGCAAGTTGACTGCGCCGGGGGAACGGAAGTCGTAGCGACGGTCACCGTCGTTGATTCTGTTGGCATCGAATGCACGAAGCATGTCGGGTTGCGTCTTCTTCTCGTCGCGAGGCGTTGGGCCAGAGCCCTTGATCCAGGGGTGGGCGAGGAATTCAGTGATGGTATATCTCTTCTCGGGGTCCACAGTGAGGAGATGAGAGATAAGGTCTTGGGCAGACTTCGAAATATCATCCCACCAGGGAGACAAGAAAGTGTACTGTCCCTTGGCGACCTTCTCTGTCAAGACCTCGATGCTCTCGTCGTAGAAAGGAGGGAAACCGCAAAGTAGCGTGTAGAGGACGCAACCCAATGCCCACATGTCGACTGACTTCGAATAGCGTTCATCCTTAACAATTTCGGGGGCTGTATATCCCACAGTGCCGCAAGGCGTCATGGTTTGGTTATCCCACACAATCTTGGACAGACCAAAATCGGCGATCTTGATCTGGCCGATGCCACCCGCGCCGACTCCGGGGATGAAATCGCCCTCATCAACCTTGTCTTCGTCACCAGGCTGCTTGGGCTTGGGATTCTTGGACGGAATGACGGGAATTGGGCTGAAAAGAATGTTTTCCGGCTTGATATCACTGGAACGCGAAACATTAGCAAGCCATACGAACGGATGACGTCACATGCACACGCATGAGTGATGCTTCCACCACCCTGAATTTCAACCTCGCCAGCGAGAACAAATTGTGGTGTACTTACCGATGAACAACACCTCTCTCCTCGTGCAAGTACTCCAAAGCCTGCGCGACCTGCACGATGACGTGCCTCGATAGCTCCTCGCTGAAGTACGTGAGGCGAACAATCTGGTGGAAGAGCTCGCCACCGGGCGCCAATTCCAAAATGATGTAGTAATACTGCCGGGATTCGGAAAAGTCGACAAGCTTGATAATGTTCGGGTGGTCAAGCTGTCGCATAATCTGAACCTCTTTCAAGATGTTTGCTCTCTACGTTGGGGTCAGCAACGCTGCCCATTAAGTAAATGGAGAGCCATCCTCGGAATAATAATGACTGTAGAGCAACATGAAAGTGTCGAAAAGTGAGGATGACCCGTATAGTAGACAAATGAAATATAGAAAGTTTCCGCACCTCTGCAGCCTTAGGGACCTTCTTGAAGTCCGGGTGTAAATGCTTGTTTCCCTAATCACGACCTTCGGTTGGTATGGGGATGCTCGAAAAGGCTCAAATCAAACACAATAACGCAACGAACAAGAAACAGCGAGAAAATCATGGCCGCGGTCGTAACCACCCAAGCGTAAACTCACCTGCATGCTGTTCATTTCATACTTGCGGACGACCTTGATGGCACACTCGCCGGGGTGCTCGCCAGAAGTATCGCGAGCGCGGTAGACGTTGCTGAAAGCACCATCACCCATCTTTTCGACCAGTTCCCATCTCTCCAGGCCGGGGTATCTCGGAAATTTGCTCTTGCTCTCGTTCTCCTCGGCTACAAGCTTGGCCAGGTGTGTATTGTCGATGTTCTTGCCTGCCTTGGACGTCTTGTACTGGTTCGGCTCGGCAGCGTGGGCGGCGGCGTGGTTTGCCTGAGCGGCACGGTTCTGGCCATCTCCAGCTACTGAGTACGCCTCGGGGATAGCTTGAGCAGGTGGTGCAGCGGCAAAGGCAGGCTCTGATACGCCTACGTGCGCCTTAGGCGGCGGGGACTGCTTGGCTGCCGGCTCATCGTTGTTTGCTCGAGCTTGCTTTCCTGTACGCAAACAACGTCAGCATTTTGCTATTCATCTTGAGGCCACGAAGTCGTCATGAAAGATCGGGGTACGATACGGGGAGCCGATACGAGGAAATGACACGGAAGCGGGAGGGTGCGAAAAAGCCCTGTCCGTGGACGAGGCAGGGAAAAAGAGGGGATATCTTACCGTGTCGGATGAAGTTCTTAAGCTGCTGTATCGTCGACATGGTGCTAGATTGTGCCGCTACGAAGGGCGACGAAGTGTGAGGTTATTCGCAAAGTTAGGTTTACGCGGCGCACGTCGCAGTAGTCGGCGGCTGAATCGGTCAACCTGCCCCGTTGTTGAGAGGGAAACTCGATGTTTGAGTGTGATTGGTAATGCGGAGACGGCGAAGCACGAGTCGTGGGAATATGCTCGGTGGGCGATGTGGTACCTTGAACGTTGGGCAAAGTCGTATTGGAGTGATGTATCACGAGAAAAGAGAATTGAGGAAATGTCGAGGACAAGAGAAGCGGATGCAAGGTTGCTTCTTTGTGAATGGGGGAGGGGGAATCAGCGGCTGAAGGGGAGAAATTGTTGCGAGGAAGAGGAATTTGTGGACTACGGCGAGCGGTGGTGATGTTGGCGGAGGGGCAACGTGGACTCGGATGACGGAAGTTGAAGGAACAGGCAGCTGGAGATCGGGCGGGAAGATGGGCAACAGCAGCAGCACGTTTGTCTTGGTTAGAGGAGGCCGGGGGACCAAGCAAAAGGGAAGGAAAAAAGGGCAGACGGCGCTAGGAACCGCACCAAAGCAAGGTAGGAAGAGGAAAATGGGTATGGGTTTGGAGCCGGGGAGGGGTGTTGGTTGGGTTCAGGTTGACAGGGCCTGGCGAAGAAGAATGGTAGACGATGACGGCGTGTTCTGCCCGTACTCGCGGTGCTGTGTGAACGAGCAGGGCAAGCAAGCAGAGGTACTTTGTTGCTAGTACCGTGCGACAACTTGGGAGAAGTCGACGACCGTGGAATTCTGGGGGGGGGGGGGGCGAGTACCTAGACTGCCCGAGGTGAAGAGGGGGGAGTGTGCGTTGCTTCGTCCTGGTCCTCGGAAGTGGCACACAGAGACGGGCTGACTACCGTACTGGACTGGGCTGGCCCGATTGACTGGATTTGAGCGATAATGATGACAGAGGTGGTGGACAAGCGTCAGATGAGGTAGCTATTCGCCCAGTGAGGTGTGTGAGAGGCCGAGAGGAAGGGCGTGTGAAAGGCCGCGGATTGGACAGTGTGCAAGAGACAGGCTGCGGTCGGGGCTGTAGATGCGCAAGGTGATGATGATGTAAAAGGTCGATGGGTCTTACTTTTTATTTTGGAGCCTTTAGTGAGCCAGCCGGGAGTGAATCAGTTGGTGTATTAGCGGAGGTGCAGCAAGAAGAGGCAGCGAGATTATGGTGAGGGGTTGCGAGAGAGGAGAGGAAGATAGAGAGGAAAAGACCAGATGTGGAAGAATAACTTGAGAGGATGCAATTGCATGGTGATTATGGCCGCAAAAAGCAAGCGACGGAGCATCAGTCATCCACGGCACTCGTGGAGGGGCTTTTTTTTCTTGCTTCCCCCTCATCATGTGTCTCCCAGTTGTCTTCCTTTAGCTGTAGCCACCCGATGGGCTGGATGTTGGTGATTGTGCGTAAATGGTTGGGAAAGAGCTGTGAGAGCAAGGCGAGGCAAGGCAAGAAGCAGTCTATTGCCTCTTTCACAGTTGTCCTTTTCCCAACCCTCGCGATTGTCTTGTATGGTGTTTCGCTCGTCAGAAAAAGAAGCAGGAGCTGAGGTGGGGTATTCTGGCTCAGTAGGTGGTTGGCCAGTATGATCGATAGGTACCTTAGTCTAGGGCACCTGAGATATGAGGAACCAGTAGGTGTACTTTGAGGTAATCGTGCATTGGCCTGGGGAAGGTGCCTCAATGTGTCCTGGACTCCTTCCATATCTATCCAGTCAACGAAGGCCAAGCAGGCAGAGTAAGGTATCTTCTGCGGTGGAAGGAACTACTTTGGCTTCCCTCCCTTTCCGGCCAGCATCATCAAAGGCACTTTCCTCAACTCGCTGTAGCCTGTCCGTACCTGCCGGCGTCGACTTCGAAGATGTACACAGGTACCTTGGCATTTCTAATCATTCCAAAGCTGTTCCATCCTCCAGGTTCCTTGCTTCCCAAGATATCTTTCTTATCTAAACTTCTCAATTCTCATGATGTTCGCAGTTAAATCAATCGAGTCGTTTCAAAACGTCCCTCTCTTCACAGGTCGGCCATCCCAACCCTGGACCAATTCGGCAAACCTACCTTCACCAGATCCAAGAATGGGCCTCGAAGGGGACAGGGGAGCGGCTAGCGCCAAGCAAGGGACACCAAGAAGCCTCTCGTCGATTATCCGCGGGATTCCCCATACGCAGGATGGTCCAGTCTGTTAGGTGCGCTGAACCATGTTCTCAATGACAGCGAGGTTCAGGTTCGGGTTGAGGTTCCGGCAAGTGATGACACAGCACTGAAGACGAGAATCGGCACACAGTCACAGGCACGCACACACACACAGTTCGACGAAACTGCTCCTACTGTGTCTCGCCCACGAATGACGCTACGTCGGCGCCAAGGAACCAGAGTTCAGGGGAGCTGGATACGCTAGAGTCGGCCACTTGCGTTGTAAAGTTGGGATGATGCATGACATGGCACTGTGTATTTTCTGACAGAATTGACAGTCACCCCAAGACACACAACAATAGCGGCAACAGGGGAGAACGACAGCCAGCAGCGCCCACGAGCCGGAGCAGCTTCGAGACGGGTATCATCGTTCGGGAACTGTTATTATGACATCCATCTACAAACATCCGACAGATCACTCCTCACTCCCCCATCTCCATCTTGGTCAATCATACCTACACCATGGGCCCCCGCCGAACCAGGACTGGGGTCAGAGGAGGGCGCGAGTCCAAGATGCAAAACTCGCATTTTCCCGTCTGCCCTCCCGCCGCCATATTTCCCCAATTCCATGATTTGGGCACCCGGTTGCAGCCAGACACGCACGACACGCCAGACTTTCCAGACCCAGACGCACAAGAACCAGGTGCGAGGACCCAGGAGCAGGGCCTGGCTGGCGTGCCCAACCTTGAACCCATGGCTGTGATCCGACTCATCCCATGGTGCCCATCCAGGATCGGAGCCTGTTCCACTCGCTTGGATGGCGTGGGGCCCCCGTTATGACGTCTGCCTCATCGTCATACCCGCTTCTGGCAGGGATGACATCTTTGGGACTAGACGCCCTGATGCATCATTGGGGGGTAAATATGGATTCGGTAATGTTGCCTGAGGCCATTAGCCAGATTGAGGCATGGCCAGTCAGGGCCCATGATTCAATCCTCTCCGGGGGCATTCCCTCCAGCATTCAATACGGAGTACTCGCCCAGTCTGCATCTCACCTGCAACACCAAATGCTCCATAACAGATTATCGTCATCAAAAATGTCCTGTACAGGTTCCCGGGGTTGGCCACTGCCTCTCTCGCTCTTTCTCTTCCCCCATAATATAGCTGAATTTGCTAATACGCCGCCGGCCTGTCTCAGACTTTCAGTGTCTTCTCCTTCGAAGCTAAGTTCGATTCTTGTCTCCGCCTCGCGTCTTCCCGCATCACTGGACCACCGGCGCATCGCACCGCTTGAATTACCAGTTCTGTTTACCGGTAAAACCAATCATATATCGCGCTCGATCCACACACTGAGTCACCCCGCGACTTACCATATGCCTCCGAGATGATGATGGGCGACGATGCGCAAGCCACACACGCCACTGTCATTTCACTGACGACGCTTTTCCTGACGCAGTCATGCAGTCACGCAGTGTGTTTCTGCTATCATCTCGGTAGGTATGGCAGTCCATCCCTACTGACAAGCGGGCAATTGGCTAGTTAGATACACCAGCCGGTCTAGGTACCGCCCGTCATCCACGCGATGCGGGAGTCTCAGTCACGACCTCGGTGTGTGCCGCCCCATGTTGACGAGACTAATCAAGATATCTACCTGCCCCATATACTCCGTACAAGGAGTGATCTCACAACGTGGCTCGCCGTCTATGTATCAGGATGACCTCCATGCTCTCCGGAGTTCAGACTGCGGCTCAAATTGCTCACCTTAAGGGCATGGCATCCATTGGTCGGCCACCTGCAGGGCGAATGCGTGGATGGCATCATCAAACCCAGCTTTCAGCCCCTGTTGACTGGACAGTCCTTTTCGGCCGCCTCGCAGATATTCTACATGAATTCACCAATACCTACTAAACTCGGCGCTCTAGCCAAAGGTATCCCCGTCGCGCTTGTAGCATCGCAAACCCGCAAACGGCGAGAACAAAATGGCCTGAAGCCAGAGCGCCAAATGGACTGGTCCAGACCACTTCTCTGCACGAGCCATCTTCTGTCGTCATTCACACGGTATGGTACCTTGACTCTCCACGTTTGGCGCGGCTGTGGCCGAATTGGATTCCTTCAACCCATTCAGCAACACTAGCCACATCTCATCATATCCCGGTCGGATTGCTGCAGTGCTCCAGCCACATTTCACATCGGAGGAGTATCTGTCAGTCTACACTAAGTCACATCTCACAACGCGCAAGCCAGCATCAAGCTCAGTGGCCAGCAGGTCGGTACTCGATAACAAGAATTCTAGGCGAGTCTTCGTCGTCAGACCTATAACTTCTTTGGTGTGGAAATTTGATCTAAGCCGCCCTGGCTAGTTGACACGTGGAAGAGTGGAAATTTCATGGGATAGCAAAGTTTGTCAATCTTGAAGTCCAACGGGGTTCCCATTACAAACCCGAAGTCGAGCATTCAAAGCTCAAGTCATGATGAAGAATAACATCACGCCTGTTTTTCAGCTCGTTTAATGCGACTCTCAGAGTCAAAGCCAGACAACCCCAATCGGCTACACGGCTTTCCTTGCCCCCTTGAACCGCCGCCGGTGGGCATAGGAACTACATTCATGATCATCAGAGATACAGCTCACTATCGCGGCGCCCTCAACGCCGTCCCAAGATAATCACCATGACGGATGGACAAGACTCCACCTTGGCGCAGCGGCTGCCTACTCATTGCTAAATCTGCAGGCTGGACGTTGCAAACGCGCGTTGAAAGTGCAAAGAGACAATCCAGCTGCTCTCACTCCAAGTTGATGCGAAACACCCCTTTGACGTCATGCCTTTTGCCCCCACGCCCATGGCAGAACAGCGACAGCAGGATGACTGCACAACGCTGAGATCGGGCACGTGGCACGTCACATCATCACTCGGTCGCCATTGGCCACTGGCGTCTCGAAATAAACGGCCTTCAACCATCTTCCAAGTCGACCGTTTAGATGGCAACACGACCATAGTGTGGACGTTTAATCACAACGCTGACGAGCCACTCGGGCGCTTGCCTCCTTGAGCCGCGGCAACGTATATCCTGACGTCGCGAAACCATTTCTTAGGGCAGTGTATCCGAACCCATTTACGGCGGGTTGCAGATTTTCTCACCCATGGGACCGTTTGGCCCGGCACCTTTTGGGACAATACTGCAGCAGTGCAGACAAGTGTGTTTCCACAAAATCTGAGGCCGCAATGTCCACTATGAAGTCATTATGGTCAGGGCGGCCTAGGCCATCTTGTTTCTCACCCCGGATAATGCACCTTGCTGGGATCTTTGCATCAGCATTGGGGTTTCCTAACCAACCGGCTTATGGCGCGGGCCTAGACGAGTCACGAAGCATCAAGAGGCTGGCTCGACATCTACATCAAGGTAGATCAAGTTTCATTGCTGCTTCAAGGCCTTGAAGAATCCCAGATTGGCTTACGGGGTAATAGAATCTGGTCGCCATGTCTCTTCACTATTTCGATGCTACGGAGTACAATTTAGTCGTAAACACCCAACCTTTGGGCTCCAACTTACACGGTGAAGCTCCACAGTTTAGGCTCCGGTGGTTGGGCTGAAAATTGCAGACTACCATTTGAATTTCAAGCACCATATCAAGGCACGGTTTCCAGGCCCCTTTTGCAATTGTGATGACTACAAGCTAGGAGTTGTTCGTCAAAGACAAGTAGCTACTCGGTGCCGCTGGCCGACTATGCTGATCAGCAGTCAGATTGTCAGGGGCGTACGGCTTGCTTGCCTGCCTCTCCCATATCGGCATGGTACTTCGCGAGCCGGTAATTAACCCCATTACATCCAGGCATCGCGCCTCTGAGGTAGGAGGCTAAGGTATGGCATGAGTAGCGGTTCACCGGGGACATTTGACAAGAAGGCGTCGGTGTTGTACCTTCGGGCACGCCAAATGTGTGCCGTAAACATTAGGACCCAATACAGAGTTCAACTCTGGCGTCCGGGCATCGATATCAATAAGGTTGAGCAACAAATTATTCTCTCTTGTCATTCTGAATGGTGCTACCTTGTCATTGAGTCTGATCGCAAGATAAGAGAGGGAGCTCAATGATGGCATGGTGAAGTCACAGGGTGTTTCCCACCATTCTGTAGCCTGTGCCGCCGACGCGCAAGCTCTGCTTGAAGCTGGTTGACGCAGGTACATCTGGAGGTGATTACTAAGTCTCCCAACATTGTACTTTCCAAGGCAGGTTGCGTAAGTAGAGCATCTCAGGCCGCAGGCGAGCTGGATGGGGGCCACGAGTGACGAGTCACTTTTGTGCGGTTCAACTGCCCCCAATGTCTCTCTGAACCTGATCATCATCAGGTTGACCAGCGCGGACTTTGGGTCGCGCGTCAAGTCCATCTTTTCCCCCCTTCCGCCGCGAATAGAGTACAAACGCTCTCGGAAAAGAGAAAAGATCTGCTTTGGCGGAGTGGAGTGTTCAGATCGGCTGTGGGAATCGCCATTTTGGGGGACTAGAGGTTGCGGGGGCGGGGACTGGGGCGGGTTTTTGATGTTTGCCAGGCAGCGCCAAATACGCCGGGACGGTATTGGGGTCGTTAAACTGGTGACTTTTGATGAGAGACTTGGTCTGTCTTTGGAGAGTTTAATCGGGGCATTTAATTATTGGCCGCTGTGGTTGACTGGTATCTGATGTTTTTTGCTTGCGTATATCTTACGAGTGAAAGGCAGACGTTGAAGAGACAGCTCTGTTGTGTTTCTTCTTGCAGTATTATGCGTAACTTAGTTTCCTCAACTTGAACGTGTCCTCTTACCTTCCTCAGGTGTGGTAGAGCTCCTTTCCAGTCCCGCTATCACCAGATTCCACAATATTCTCAGTTCCATACGTGGGAAGGCCGTACTCGAGTTCCAGAGATCATTCTTGGGTACCTTGGTGACAAGCTAGTTTACAGAAATGTTACGCATCTACAAGTCTGAAAGTCTTCGACTTATAGCTTAGTCGTATCGAGGCAAAGCTACGCAAGAAGCTCCGACGCTGCTACGAGCACTAGGTGATGTAATACTTCAAGAAGGTAGGGAGAATAAGACGATATGGGGAGTGGATGCTAGTGCCCGGCGGGTTTAAGACCGGACTATAACAGTCCTTGAAAGCTGAGGGCGCTTTCGCTAGAGGCCCCGGGAAAATTCTTCGAGAGACCATTGGAAGACTGAGATCAAATCTTGTCCGACTGCGGTTGATAAGTCTGAGCCTTGGAAGGCAGTGGAACTGAGGAATCATTCAAGTAAGTCGATTTCGGGGTTCAGTTGCCAAAGCCATGGTTTCTTAACAAAGACTTGCAGGTTGGGTCGGATCCTGCTGTGCTCTCAGTGCTAGCTGACGAGTTGTTGAGGCGGAGGTAAAGCTCAAGGTTTGCAAGAACGAGTGAAACTGCACTGTCCATTAAGGATTGCAAGTAGGAAGCACGTCACTTATAGTTGATACCGGCAATTCTATCAAGTTATGAACATATCTTGGAGAATGACCCAAGCCTACGAAACATCCCCCCTTTTAACGAGCTAACTGCTAGATCCAATGGTTATCGTCTATTTCACTTAAACTTCAAGAAGAGTATGATTGATGAGGTGCAGTATGCACGTAACAAACTCAATGTCTTTGGATTAGGTAGTGGCTAGCTCGAGATCTAGTCATTTATTGAACTATCGGCCCCAGCTTATTTCCATATTTCCATATCAAGGTCGACTCTATTTGCACATTCACATAGCCCGGGCTTTACCTTTCTTTCGCCGTCAGACTTCCTGGCGATCAACAGAACATTGCTGATGAGTGTCCCATGAGTCCAACTCACTTGAGCAGCTACTCTGAGATTTATCAAAGCTGCCTCCAAGATGCAGTAGCAGGAAGCTGTTGGCATAGTCAGCATGGTAGACAACCCTGAATGTACTACTGCAGACTGAGTGGCTGCGATTCGGGTGGCATCAGATTCCCACCTCAACTACAACTCCTATCCCGAAAATCTCCAGCTTTACCACGACTCCCGGCCGCGGCGACGACCGGTGATAACTCCAAGTCGGTCTCATGCTTTCTTCGTCGTGGGCTTAGGCCGTCACCATCTGTCACGAAACAGGAATGATATCAGCAAACATCAGGCACGTTACCATGTGCTTAATCATTTGCATCTCGCACTCCTTCAACGCATAGACTGCTCTCTGGTTTTTTTTTTTTTTTTAATCTTAGATGGGTTAGTTCAAGCCACTTTGGCCCACTTCATATGCCCATTGCTGTGTGCCATAACTCGTGACACCATCACTGCCAGTGGCCCTCAACAATAAAGATAACCGCGAGGTGATCGCGACACTGCTGACCACCAGGCTTCCTATTGCCAACATGACTATCCAAGAGATTGCGAGTCCTTCTTCCACGAGAACATGCTATGCTTGAGCTACGGGTTACCTGGCGGCAGTAAAATTGAGCAGGGCAGAAACTCCAGGCCGGCATGACCGAACACACCAAATGTGCTCTCAACAAGGAGCTACTAGTGCGGCCGCATCACTCTCCGCCCCACGCTTCAACACGTCAAGAACTCGGGGCAGTTGAAATGCACGTAGGCCTGCCCTGGTATCTCAAAATGCCCGATGGGTTTATCCTGTGCCGACAAGTGGATCTGATTCCGGGGCTCCACATGCTGACCAGACCTAAAGGGCGTTGACAACTGGAGTGTGGTCACAGCTGAAGCATGACCCGACATCGGGACGGGGACCGGGACATGACTCCACAGATAAGATATCCAGGAAAAACTTAGCGCCGCTTTTCTCCCCCCCCGCCAAACAGCGCTGCCCATCCCACCTCCATTGACTCACACAGAATTAATTGGCCCATGCCGTCACTCACCTTTTACTTTTTTTTCTTCTCAGAAGTACCAACAACAATCTTTCCAGCTTCTCATCCGGTCAATTGCTTCGACGCAAACTTGTCCTGTTCCACGAAACCTCAATTGATTCCCCCCAACCCCCCCAGCATCATTGACAAAATGGCCGGCGAGAAGGGAAAGGTCTGCTTGGCGTGAGTGTCTGCCCCTCCTTCCTCCAATTTCGAGGCCCGCGCCTGGCCCTGCGAAAGTCGGTCCCAAAGTTTTGTGGAGCGAAGTTCTACCGGACAAGGTTTTTGCTATCACGTGTCTCATTGAGCCACGGTGATCAGCCACATCATGGCTGGAATGTCACTACTTCTCGGCTCTAAGATACGGCGGCATGAGGAAGAGACAATGATTGATTACAATGCTAACTGATGCTCAATAGCTACTCAGGTGGTCTTGATACCAGCACTATTCTGGCCTGGCTCTTGGAGCAGGGGTAAGTCAATCACAAAGAAAGACTTTTGGCAATTCGAAGCTAACTTAGTATTCAGATACTCCGTTGTGTACGTGATTCTCGGCCCTCTATCATCGCGGGCGTCAATCTAGAGTTGCCAGTCTAATATTCAAACAGCTGCTATCTTGCCAATGTTGGACAGGAAGAGGGTGAGAGATCATGTGCTCCGTATCTCGAGATAAAAGCTCACTGAATGTTAGACTGGGCCGCTGTTGAGCAGAAGGGTTCGTTGCGAAGCTACGCTCCCGTTGATGCCTTCTGGGGATGGCATCTTTGATACAGTGAGCTAATGTTTTCAACCAAACAGCTCTCCAGATTGGTGCCGAGAAGGTATGTGGACACTACGTTCACAAGTTGCCGTCAAATCCCGGAAACCGTCGCTTACAAGTTCCTAGATGATCATCGATGACCTCAAGCGCGAGTTCGTCGAGGAGTGAGTTGCCATTAAATTCATGTACATGCTACACTGCTAACAACATTCCAGGCTCTGCTGGAAGGCTGTTCAGTGCGTAAGTAAAGTCTGATGTACAGCTTCACCTGTGCCAATCGGCTCACGACCACCTGCCCGATATAGAACGCCATCTACGAGGACCAGTACCTTCTGGGTAAGCTCCTTCAGCTATCGAAAACAGTCATGTGCTAATATTCTCCGCAGGTACCAGTCTGGCCCGCCCCATCATTGCCCGGGGTCAGATGAAGGCTGCCGCCGCCACTGGGTGAGCTCAAATGGATCTCCCTTTTGGGAAGATTGAACTGACATGTCATCACAAGCTGCCAATTTGTTTCCCACGGTTGCGTAAGTGAAAAAACATCTGATTCATTTTGACTGTTGACTAACTCTGCTCTCAGACCGGCAAAGGGTAAGTAATCAAAGGCTTCCAGGAGCATGTGTCTCGTGAGGCAGGTTGCTGACACTGCTGAACAGTAACGACCAAGTTCGTTTCGGTAAGACTGCTGTCTAGTTCATCGATGTTTGTTTCCTCAAGGCTAACGATTGACAGAGCTTGCTTTCTACACAATCAACCCCGAGATCAAGGTTATTGCCCCGTGGCGTGGTACGTAAACTCCCGGCATTGTCTAGTGACCTTTTCCTGACTAACGAACTTATCCAGACCCCACCTTCTTCAACCGCTTCCAGGTAAGACTATAGTGTCGCGACACTTAACGCGCATTCTGTCTCATGTCCCGCCGCTAACGCCTTCACAACACAGGGACGCAACGACCTCCTTGACTACGCGGCTGAGAAGGGTTAGTTATTGCCCCTGTTCTGTTGATGATCGTTGCTAAAATTTTCCAGGTATCCCCGTCACCAGCACCAAGGCTAAGCCTTACTCTATGGTAAGAACAGGGCCCTTTTCACCAACTCCTAGATGCAATTCATGGCCATTTGCTGACTTTGACTTTGTCTAGGATGACAACTTTGGTATTCCACTTCACTTCGGAAACATAGTAGCCCTGCTGACGTGATAAGCCCACTGCTCGTACGAGGCTGGCATGCTCGAGGACCCCGATGTCACCCCTCCCGAAGACATGTGGACCAAGACCGTCTCTCCCCTCAAGGCCCCCGATGCCCCTCTCGACATCACCATCTACTTCAACAAGGGTATTCCCTCCAAGGTCGTCACTCCTCAGCAGACTGCCACCGACCCCGTCGAGCTCTTCGGCCTGCTCAATGCCATTGGCAAGGAGCACGCCGTCGGTCGCGTTGTGAGTTTCCTAAACCCCTCGAACTTACCATGTTGCATGTAGCCTTTATGTACTAACCTTGGGCGTAGGATATCGTCGAGAACCGGTATAGACACCCACCTCTTTTTTGACGATACTAGGAACTGACTTGGACATCAGCATGATCGGCCTGAAGAGCCGTGGCTGCTACGACTCCCCGGCCATGACAATCCTTCGATTGGCCCACATCTCGCTTGAAGGTTTGGTCATGGATGGCCGCGTCCGCGCTTTGAGGGATCTCCTTTCTAAGCAAGTAAGTGCTAGACTCGCTTCCCGAGGGCCTGATCTTCTCGCAATGAATTCCCAATTTCCAATGCCTCTGCTGGCGCTGCAACGGCGCCCCAGTCTCAGTCCACACTACGGCCCAACTTGGAGGTACAACTAGTCAAAAGCGGTGGCATGGCCTTGTACTGCTGGCGACCGGCGATTGGCGATTAATTCGGGCGGATGAGGGCCAAAGATGCGCTTGACTAACAATCGAATAGTGGTCCGAGCTGCTCTACAATGGCTCCTACTTCAGCCCCGAGCGCGAGTTCTTGCAGCGTAAGTCCTAATTCCTCCACTGTCAAGGAAAACCAAAAGCTAACCCTGTCGACAGCGTCCCTGGACCACTCTCAGCAGCGTGTATGTACACGTAAATTCCTGTTGTTGGTGTTGTGTGGTAGCTGACAACAGTCGTTTTAGGTCAACGGCGAGGTCCGCCTTCGCCTGTACAAGGGCAACGCTTACTGCCTGGGTCGCAAGTCCGATGAGAAGCTTTACTCCGAGGAGGATGCTTCCATGGACTCTCTCACCACCTTCGACCCCTCTGAGACCGTAAGACCACCCCTGGAAAACAACCGAAGAAAATTGTAAATTGACGAGATGTGACAGACTGGCTTCATCACCATCAACGCCATCCGCCTCAAGAAGGTATGTGTTCAACCAGATGTATGGTCCTTTCGGATTCGCTAGCTAACGTTTCTATAGTTCGGCCTCCAGAAGGCCGAGGCTGGTCTCGAGTTCTAAAGGGATGACGTTTGGATTCGGAAAGTGCTTTTCGGTAGTTTATCTACCCAAATCGATAGGTCGCTGTAGACCTGGAAAGCCGGTCGTAGCAATATAAGGATTCTCTGATGAAACATGACTCACATTTCCACGACGCCGTGATGTTATGTTCACTATGCACTCTCCCGAGTACAGCCTTGTCGAAGAGTTCAGGAGAATCGCATTCACGAGCGCACAAATGATAAGAAGATGAGCGCTTGTGGTAAAAGAAGCAAGGGTATCGGACTGCCATGGAGCCCATTCGAGAGCGCTTCATGCCGGTTATCTTAGTATCGAGGGGAACCAAGAAAGGCAGGGCATCTGCTTTGAGATTGGACATAGAATAGACAGTTGCAATGGTATCTCTAGATTATATACGAATATCTCAAAACCCAGAGAGCTACTAATCAAAGTAGGCAGTTCAAGATTGCCGAAGTGTACCCGAACCCGTTCATCTAAACCTCTATTGCCCACGAACTTTATCATCGAAACTCTATTTCTTGTTTCCAACATCTAAAAAGACAGACAGTCAGTATTTCTTTCCACATCATCGCACACACTCTGATCAGTTTGAAACTTACTGAACTGGAAATGGATGATGTCGCCATCTTGGACAACCTTCAAGTGAAGTCACAAAATTGTCAGCATGTTCTACTTTGATGGGAGAGTTAATTGGAAGAGCAAAACTCACATAAGACTTTCCTTCCTGGCGGTACTTGCCAGCAGCCTTGATAGGGCCCATGGACTTTCCGCCCTCGCAGAGGTCGTGGAAGTCTTGGTAGGCGACGACTTCAGCCTTGATAAAGCCCCTCTCAAAGTCGCTGTGGATGGCGCCGGCGGCTTGCGGTGCGAGGCAGTTTCTCGGGATCGTCCAGCATCTGATTTCCTTCTCACCAGCTATACACAAGGTCAGGACATCAGTAACCTTGAGTCGGTAAAGGGGCCCGTCCAGAGGCAGAAAAGTGGAAACATACCAGTAAAGTAGTACTGCAATCCAAGCTTCGTGAAGCCCTCCGTCACAATCTTATCAAGCTTCGACTTGACCTTGCTCTCCTTGAGAAACTCGTCCCGCGCAGTCGGGTCGTCCTTCAAGCTGTGTAGCTTCTCCTCGAACTCGACGGAGAAGGGGATGATGTCACGCGGAACCCCGCCGTGCTCGGTGACCCACTTGGCGATGGAGGGCAGGTACTTGCTCTTTTGGCGGAGGTAGTCCTTCATTGTCAGGTTGACGAGATAGATGGCGGGCTTGGTGGTGATGAGCGACATCTTTTCGTTGATGAGGGCGATTTCGGCGGGGGTCCAGCTTCCGTCGCGGACTGGGGTATTCTTCTCCAGCATCTTTGTCGATTGTGTAAGCTTTATGGCGCGTTTGACTTTGAGAGCGAGAAGCGTTGGACTTACTGCTTGGATCTTCGTCGTTGTCTCTGTGAAGAGAGGCAGCATCTTGTACTTGCCTCCTGCCTTCTTGACGATCAACTCCTCGGCAACGATGGTCTTGGCCAGAATATCTTAAATAGGGGTGTAAGCTGGGGTCCAGCGAGTAAGGATTCAGAAGGACAACACTTACCAAGATCCTTCTTACAAAGCTCGCTTTGGATGGTTTCTAGAGGTCGGACCAGTCAGTTTCCTCGACTTAGAAGACGGGTTAGAGTACTAGAGTTGCCTGAACTAACCCAAGTCACGGACGGGATCAACTGAGTCATCCACATGCAAGACTTCGTCGTTGTCGAATGCTCTGTTACACGGTTCACGTTAGTTACCAATTCATCAAGACGCAGCAGTTGTGCCACAGATGATGGACTCCGTACCTGACAATGTGGAACATGCCATCAACAGCCTGGATATGAGACAAGAAAGCATTTCCAAGTCCCGCTCCCGTCGAAGCACCCTTGATCAAGCCAGCAATGTCGGTGACCTGCAAGTACGCCGGGTACATGGAAGGCGGCTTCCAAAGGTCACACAAAAAGTCCTACACACAATCACACCCCAAGTTTCAGCCACATGATCTATTAAGGTGGCAGCTTCTCGCGACTCTCACTTACATATCGAGCGTCGGGAACAGCACATCTCGCCTCGTTGGGCTCAATCGTACAAAATGGATAATTCTCCGCCGCGGCGCTCTGCTCGGTCAAGAGGTTGAAGAGACTCGACTTGCCCACGTTGGGCAGGCCGACGCACCCCATCTTGAGGTTCTTGCTGACCCTGCCAAACGCCACGACATTGTCCTTAACAACTTCAATCTTTTTCGGAGGCATGGCGACGGTCTGATTTGACTTGGCTGACTGCTTATTTGGTCTATACAACAAACGGAATTTTTCTTCTACCAAAAAGCCTTGCCTTTTTGAAAGTTGAAAGAAGACAGATTCTGCTGGCAAACTTTTTTTTGGAAATGGCCTGATTCTTCACTGCGAGGCCCACTTAAGAACAAGGGTTAAGGAAGATGCAGTTTTAGGGGTCCTTTTCTGGAAGGGCTCGTGCGCTACTGGCGTCTGGGGAAAAAGACCAAATTAACCGCTCCACGCGCTGCTCTAAGGCATTGAAATCGGACAATGAATCTATGTAATGGCTTCTCTTTCCAAACTTCACGGTATTAAGGGCAATGTACACTGACGAGGAACGCAAACATAGATCTTCTGTTACAATTAATCAACGCTGAGATTCGGCCCAGTCGAGCAGCCTTGTGTATTGCGTTGAGATGGGTGTTATTCTCCTCTTGCTTTCGGAAGTAAACGAATTATGGCAGATCACAAGCACTCCCAATACAGAATACACATCTTGATGGATAAACGAGAGAACGTATGTTCAGCACAGGATCGTTGTCCTAATAACACTGAAGCTTTTGGTTGAATCGCACGACTGAAGGAAATGTACATTCTGTCAAGTTCATGTGGAAATTTCCACCTCGGTGCGCTATCCATCCAAACGCATCTCCCATGACGCCGCCCATTCGACCCAGACAATCATTAAACTCCCGCTTGAAGCTGCGCTCACGATTCCTAATGCCAGTCCGCTATTCCGTGTCATATTCCTGTATTCAACTCAGTTCAGTTTTTTTCCTAATGCAAGGAAATCACATCTCCTTCAAGAAATCATCAAACTCGGTCTTGGTTTTCATGTGTTGTGGGAGCAACATCTCCTCAAGTGCAGAGGCGATGTTATGGAGAGCATCGAGTTGTTCCTGCTCGACCAACATGTAGATGTAATGGTCCTTAATCATTTCCTCGGTCCAACGCTGATGACTACTGGGGTCGGATACGAGGTTGCAGATTTGCTTCAGCCGCGATGCGTAGTCCCGGAGCATCGCAGGATCCAAATTGCTGAACTCGGCATGGGACAGCAACCCAATATGAGCTCTACCAGAGTCACTCTCGAGCCATTCCGAGCCATTGTTGGTCAGGGCGAGAGACGCGGCGTTGACAGTAGACCTAAGGCACTGAAGGACAGCTACGGCAGTCTCTGAGGTAGTTTGGGGAAGAAAGTGGTGGCTGATTGCGAGGACATGGATCGTATTCTGGACTTGATCCTTAAGTGCATATAGAGCGTCTCGAACTTGGGAGAGACGATCCGTGGGCCGTGTTGGAATTCGGCCTGAACGTCCAGGACCGGTGGCGGAGTCTTCCGTGATTTCGCCCGGAAACTGCATGTCCTGTGTCCGGAAGCTGTTGAAGTCGCTTGATAACAGTCAGTGATTGGAAGGATCTTGCAATGGGACACGACAACTTACGCTTGAATGATGGGCAGAAACTCCTGCATCTGCCTGTCCTGCTTGTCCAGTGCAGCAGCATACTTATTCAAGCTCGCGCGGATCCTTGCCTCTTCTCCCGCCGGATGCTGCGGCCAGGCTCTGGCCTTTCTCCGAAGTCTTGCAAGTACAGTACGCAGGGAATCCATCCACAGCGTGACACTAGGATCGAGCGGTATGTCCCTTTCATCATTCGAATCCCAATAAGCTGCGTAATCAGCGAGGATAGGACGAAGCTCATTGATGTTCGCCATGAGTGCCTGGCAACTGTTGGCAATATTCGGCGCCTTGTCAAAGCCAGCAAGCTCCTTGCTGGTCCGGTTGAATGTGTCGAGGAGGTATTCTCCAAGAGACTCCAGCTTCTGGCTGATGATGGTAGGATTCATCGAGGAATCGTCCATATCCAGAGTGTCGCCCAAGGTGCCTTCCGGTTTACTCGATGACTCGGCTTCGTCGGCGTCCTCGGTGCCCATTGTTAGGCGGCCAATATCTCGATTCAACTCCTCAATTTCCTTCCCGTTGCTAGGTTTCGGTGGCGGCGTCGGAGTTTGCTGCTTGTTCTGATATGATTTCCATATCGGCGAAAGGGCTTCGTTGGGGAGCAGGGAAGTTCCCAGCAAATCTAGGACTTCTCGCCTCGGAGGCTGATCGTTGCTCGTTGCTGGAGTCGGACGAGATGAACTCGCGTCTTCAGTTGTCGAAGGACCAGCAGCAACACTCGAAGGCCTCTTGGCCGCACCAGCAGTCAAAGGTGACTTGCGGGCTGTTGTCGCCGTGGTGAGGGGAGCACTGCCCTCCTCATCATCATCGGATGAGAGTGATACGACAGAGTAGTTGTCAGCGATCTCTTCCCACTCTTCCAAACCCTGTTGGGCTGGGCTCTGAGCTCCGGCCATCGTATACTCGTATCAGAATCGGTCGGTGTTGATAGCGAATGTAGCAAGTGATGGAAATTCGGCTAGCAGTTGTACTGAGGATATTAGCAAGTAATGGAAACGGCAGCATAATGCGACATGGAAGAAATCAGTACTTGAACTACCCAATGCCTGATAACAAGAGTATTTAGACGATGCACATGCATCCAAGCTATGTCTAGAGAAGTGAGGTTGCCGGAAATAGGATATTGTTTCTAATGCCGGCACGACGATGGAAGACGTGGAGGAGACGCGGATGGGGCTGCCGGAAGGAGCCTCAAGGAGGTGCAGCCTGATGCTGACGGCTTACGAGAGACAGGGCTGATAAGGCAGTCGCTTGGCCTCAGGTTGATAGTTGTGGTACTGAAGTTATGTAGGTATTGATGCTGTACATAAGGTGACAGTCCTCCTCAACAGTTTCGGTCAGGGAGGGAATAAAGTGGGAGGAACGATGGACGACCTTGAGTGACTTCCATTGTCAGGAGCGGTTAAGTGCCAGGCGGCAGCTGCAACTCGAGGCCCGCTGAAGCTCGAACGTATCAGCAAGCTTATGCGGGGTTGATACCGACGATCATGCCTGCTTTCGGCTCCGGGTGTCCTTCCTGCAGATCGCCTGCCCCTCCGCGGAGGCTGACCTGTGCTTTGGTATCGCGTATCTTATCTTATCAGTTTGACTTCCCGATAACGATAAGATACCACAGGCCCCTGCACTCGACTTAGGTTGTTCGTTGCGTCAAGTCGTCACACAGTTGCTCGCCCTGGAATATCATCTTTGTCGGACTAGACTTCATGGCCCTATGAGTTTCTAAGCCAACAAATAAAACATACAGCCCATGGACGAGTCACGCTCTCCGTCTAGAATCGACCTCATTATACTCTATGGCTGTTGCCCTCCTGCTGCGTCCTCCATCGCGTCTTCTACCGCGACAGTCCCATCGGCCTACTCCGAACGACCTCTATTCCGAACAAAAGAAATGCTTCAATAATGGACCAGCCCCAAGTCCTGGGTGCTTCTCGACCGATCATCTAAGCACTCATGCTGCTACTCTCGTTCTGGACCTTGCCAAACTTCCTCTTCATCATAACGAGCTCGAGTCCGTTCTTGATGGGCGGCTCGCCGCGGAGTAGGAGACCGATCTCGCTCGGGTGGAACCAGTTCATCCACACCATGACAAGGAACATGAGCGTCGCGTCAAAGACGTAGACGTACGCCTCGTTGGTCATCAGGTGGCCCTTGTTGCCCTCCAGGTACTCAATGACACGGAAGATGCTGCGCACCCAAATCAGGACGCTGGTGACGTAGAGCGTCAAGAGGTAGTAGCGCCAGCGGATCTCGGGCTGGTGGGACTTTGCGGTCGGAACGAGGACCATTCTGCGATGGAAGAGGGCGGCCACGATGATGAAAAAGCCAAATACGGCAAGTTGAATGAAGAGGCCGACGATGATGACCTTCTCACCAAGATCCATCATGCTTGCCCCTGACGCCATCATACCACCACCTGCGCCATACCTGTCAGTGAATGTCTATCACAGGCTGTCTAATGAGATACATACCACTGGACTGCATCAGAAGCGACAGTACGTCTCCAGAAACAAATACTTTTGTCAAGAAGCGCCGCTTGATCAAGGCATGGCTCTCGCCGTCGGTCAACATGATGATGCGGCCCAGGATCATGTAGATAGAAGCTGCCATGAGGGCCGGCGCGATGAGGAGGAGGACATTCTGGATGATATAAGGGCCGAGAGTCCAGCATCCGGGCTCTTGTGTCGTGTTTTGCGCTCTCGCAGCGTATCCAATTACTTCGCCTGTGTAGAGAATGGTGTAAGCTAAGGATCAGGCCGTTGGGAGGAGAAGAACATGATGCCCTGTTCGAAGCACTTACATAGTCCACCGATGACAAAAGCGGTCATGTACCATGTCTTGGTCCTAACGAGTTGGAAGATATGAAGGCCGGTGGTGAGGACGTAAACGACGCAGAAGAAGACAGCCGCTGCCGTTGAGGGCTCGAATCGGTAGAACGACCACTCGGCGTTGACGTAGTCGGCGGTACAGCCTCGTGCCATATTTGCGATCTAGGAACTTCAATTGAGGCAGGGGAGGTTCTCGGTTGTCGAAAGTGGATCGATGGAAGCACGGCAGTTGTATCGAGAGAAAGAAGGTCGGGGAAGGTCTATATGGAAATCAAAGCAAGGAGCGTTGCTGGGAATCTAAATGATAAATGCAGACTGTTCCGCTTGCTGAGTGTCTTTCCAGAGATCGGATGATGATGATGGGAAATACTTCAAGTCAGCGGAACAGGTTATGCTTATGTGCTTTTCACTTTACGACGATAACGGCCCACGTTGCGTGGTTCATCCAATAGACAAATTGGTTCAATCGTAATTATCGTATTCCACCCCCTAGACTCAGCCACGCAGAAACCACAGAACTGCTCACAAACGGCAAGTAAAAAAGATCCTTGGCGAGCCGTTCGCCAATCTTAGGGGTCTACGACTAGTAGTAGTTCTGGTTTCTGCCTGGGATGCGAGTATCACTGCGCCCCCCTCGTCGTCCCGAGTCTTCGTCTCTACTCGGTAAGGTAGTGTCAGTCAATCTGCTGTAAGGAATTCTGGAGGAAATTGGGGGTATGGGCTTGACCCAGCCGTAGAGAGCCGTATCGAATACGGAACCAATCGCGGCTCTCCAAGTACGACTTGGCGTCCCTACCGGGCGCAAGGGCTGACGAAGGAGACTAGGATCCGGACTGTTTTGGGCACCCGGGAACGGTGGGCCGCGCATGGCAAGCGCCGGGAGCTCCACTTACTAAGGAGCGGGGGCTCCGCAATTGCGAGTATTCGCATTGCTCGCTTCGTATTCCCGCATCTAGCTCGCAACCACTGACTGACACTGACCCTGTGTCCACAGTTTCCCATCGACATTCTTTCATTCTTTTTCTATGTGGACGAACCCGCGTGTTCGTACTTTCTCCTGTTCCTCCTTCTGCGCGCTTGACTTGACGGTGGTGCTGCTTGCACTCTTCTCAACGGTTCCAGTCTGAAGAAACCTCTGCCGCTACGTTCTAGATCCGCTTGCATCCTCGTACACCATCACTACGAGCTGTTGTTACCTTACACGCGGATAATTTCTTGCATCATAGGAAGATCTGAGACGGAAGGGCACCCCTCTCCCGTTGTCTGATTTTCCTGTCCAATGGCAACCCGTCGTTCCCATACCAAGTCCCGCACTGGCTGTAGGGACTGTAAGCGGAGGAAGGTCAAGGTAAGTGACACGCCGACAGCCCTCCCTTCCCCCTCCATCTCGCTTGGCTGCCGCGTACCGAACACGCGGTAAGGTGTTTGGAACCAATGATTCTAGCTGGCAATCAGATAACGATCTTCTTTCATCTGTGGCTCGCTTATTGACAACTTGACTTTCTTAAGTGCGATGAAGCATACCCATCCTGCTTCAACTGCTCAAGGCACGGCATACCATGCAGTCTCTTAACATCGCATACCTCACCAGCAAATATCACACCCCAAAGATCAACTACAACACCATCCGTCAATGGCCTCAGCCCAGAAGCACCATTCAACTTCCTAGATGCCGCCCTCGACCATGACAGACTTCAGTCTCCCGCCCCGTCCATCGGTCACTGGGGCCACGGCCTGGAACTGATGCACCATTATACACTCGTCACCGCAAACACCCTCTCCGTCCGCCCGGATATGCAGCACGTCTGGCGTGTCACCATGCCCGAGATCGGCTACGAATGTCCCTTCGTCATGCATGGCGTTCTTACACTCGCGGCTCTACACAAGGCGTACTTGATACCCTCGTCGCGGGACAAGTACCTCGAGCTTGCGACATCACATCAGACTGCGGGCATCAATGGCTTCCGGACGCAGCTTCATACCGTTGACGATACCAATTGGAAGCCATTCTTCTGCTTTGCGTCGTTAGTCGTCTTCTTTGTTGCTTCGTTGCCCGTGCGAGTGGGGCAGGACCTTGACTCCGAGCCTGATATTATGGGTGTCTTTATCTTTGTACGCGGCATTCGTACGATTCTAGAACCATATCAGACAAGGATTGTGAGGACAGAGTTTGCGCCTATGGCAACAGGCGTATGGACAGTTGACCCGAGTGAGCCTTCATACAAGTGCGTACTTAGAAACTCTGGCATCTGAAGGCAATTTAGGTATACCCGTCCCCCATGCTGACAGACGAAGCAGGCACCCACCACTTCACAACTCCCCACTCCCGCCCGACGTCTTTGAAGCAATCCAAGACCTCTCAGACTTTTACGCCGAAAACCTCCACGACAGCGCGCGCGAAGAGTACGTGACAGCCGTAAGGGAGCTCGAAAAAGCAGTTTACCTCATGGCGCATGCTGGCGCTAACCTCGAAGTCGGCATGATTCTCTTCTGGCCGTACGTGATCTCGGGGAATATCATGGCCGATATACACGCCCTGAACCCGTATAGCCTGGTACTCCTGGCGTACTTTTCCGTGTTTTTGTGTGTGTTGGAGCCGACGTTTTGGTTCCTCCGGGGGTGGTCTAAGAGGTTGTTTGCCATGGTTGATGCGCAGTTGGCGGGGCATCCTGTGTTGCTGGAGGTTGTGAAGTGGCCTCGGAAGCAGGTGTACGAGTTCTATGCGCATATCTGACCGAGTATCTCAGTTATCTGTAAACATATCTCTTGAATAGAAGCTCAAGCCCTCAAGAACTTCGATGGTATCTGGATAGCTTCGGATATATTGATGCGATTGAGCTTGATCAGCGTTGATTCCTTGGTCTCTCCCGTGTAGAGACGGTATAAAATAGTCTAGTTCGACAGCCTTCAACCTTCAACCTTGCCTCGAGCAGTCTACTATTGTTCTATGCGCTTAGACGTGTAGATGTTTGCCCACTTCTTCTAATCCAACTTCTTTGTACGAAAAGTTTCTCCCTGGGAATTATGTCCCTGACCGTCTCGATTACATTGCTGAACCCCTTCTTAAGTTCGTCGTCAAGATTTACGGGTATCCCCAGCCCCCTTTTGCGCTCGTGCATGGTGGTGACGCGTTCCTCCATGATTATCAAGGATAGACCTATGACTTCGAGAGTGCGAGAACTGTCTGTAGGATTGTTGTTGTTGTTGTTGTTGTTGTTGTATTTAACGCCGTGGCGGCCGGGCTAGAGCCCTTACCGCAGACCTCCCGAAGGGTATATGGCGTGGAGGGCCGTGAGCCAAGGCTACCTACTCTACAGTACGTCGTCTCTTTACATCGTCCTCCAAATCATGCCTTGTGGCCACTACGCGTTCTGTCTGTCCCCGGTTCCCGCTGGTGCCCCAGTTTCATTCTTTCCCAAATCGTCCCTTGGAATCGGGAGGTTCTTTGTAGTCCGCACTCACATCTACGTAGGTGTGGATGCTGCTACCGCAGACAGATCTTCTGGAAGAAGTCCGTCACGCGGAGAAAGGCCTCGAAGCCTCGTGGGTCGGTGATTAATCTCTTGAAGTAGGCCTCGAGAGATCCCATAGGGCCTATGGGCTCGGGCATACTGCGAGAGTGGAGGGTCGGCCACCGTTGCCTCCTCGCCAGCGTTAGTCGACAGTAGACCAGGTGGTCCACGTCTTTCGCCTCTCCACAAGAGCACATCATTAGAGCGTCGTCGTGGTTGAAACGTCGGTGATATTGCTCGAAGTCCCCGTGACCCGATCGTGCCGCCAGCAGGTGATGTAACGTAGCCCGCGGCAAGGCCAGTTCAGGAGGGCTGGACAGAGCTGCCTCAAGCCCCAAGTCCGCGTACCGCGGCCTTCGCTCTTTATACCACCATCTCCTGTGCTGGCTTTGTAATTTTTCCCTTGCAAGCCGCTTGATGCCCGCTAGTGTTGCCATTTGACCCATCCGCGCCGGCAGTGTCGTTCCTTCTTTGGCCAGCCGGTCCGCGGCCTCGTTTCCTTCGATGCCCTGGTGTCCCGGGGACCAGTGCGTCCGTATATCAAATATCCTGGCCGCTTCTTGGATTTCGAGGAACGCGTCTTGTGACGAGTCCGGCGCCTTGCCGCGGATGCCTTGTATAACGCTGGTGTTGTCGATACATATGTGGATTGGATGACCGCGATTGGTGAGCAGAGCCCTTCTGAGGCCGGTTCGCGCCCCTTCGACCTCGGCGTCGAACACTTCTGCTAGTCCGAGTCGGCCGCACCCTTGTGCTATGCGTTTGGAGTCTCGGTAGATGACGAAGCCGTACCCCACGGCTCCGTTCGTCGCCCTGGAGCCGTCCGAGAAGACGATCATATGGCTTTCCGGTACTGTCTTTAGCCAGCGCTCGAAAGCTTTCGCAGCCTCTTCTTTGCATTGAACTACTATCTGATCCTGTGAGCTTGGCAGGTACTGTGATTGAAGGAACGCTGGTCTTCCGCATCTTGGCAGAAGTTCAGCCGTCCGTTGTAGTCTCGTCTGTTGCTGTCCCTGCTGGGAGAGCCGCGCGACTAGCGGGTGTCGGCGATCAATCCTCTGTAGTCGGACTGCGGCCCGTAAGCGGACGCCCTCTAAGGCGACTTTGGCTGACGGTAAGCCGGCGTCTCGGAGGAGGCTACTGGTTGGCGTTGTCCTCCAGACAGGCAGAACGGCCCTTGCTGCCGCTGTAATGACGCTGTCGATCTTCTGCACGAGCCCCTTTTGGCCTGTGTTGACGGGTCTTCCTTGGAGAGGCGGATTCGTGTCTGTCTCCGCTTGGCGTCTCGAAGCCGGCTTCGTGATACCTGCGTACCATGTTTCGGCGCCGAAGAGCGCGATCGGCAGTACGCAGGAGACGACGGCTTTTCGCACGGCGGCCGCTGGGAGTCCCCTCTTTGTGTTCGTAAGCTGTCTCAGATGTTGAGCTGCCCTCTTTGCTGCAGCTACTTTTGCGTCGACATGGTGCCGGAAGGACAGTCTCTTGTCGAACCAGACACCCAGCCAGCGTACAGGTTTCGTCGAGGCCTTGACCACCAAATCCCCCGCCCGGACCTCTGGCAGCTCCGCTGGCTGGCCGTGCTTCCTAGTAAAGTGGATGACCTCGCACTTGCTCGGGTCAAAGGAGACCTTGTTCTCCAAGCCCCATCTGAGAATGCCGGCTGCGCTTCGGTTGAGTATTGCGACGTTGCTCTCCAGGGAGGGGCTGATGGCCAGAGTGGCGATGTCGTCCGCGTACCCGAATCGCGCGTTCGGGTCGTCTTCAAGTATTTCCGCGATGTAGAGCAGAAAGACGATGGGAGACAGAGGCGACCCCTGCGGCAGCCCGCATGACAGAGGAAAGTATTCCGTTGTGCTTTCTTCCAGTCGGACTCTGGCGATGCGGATGCAGCAGAAGCTGAAGATGAGTCTAACCAAGCCGTGTGGCCATCCCTGCTGACGCAGTCTAATGACGAGCCGGTTCCGAAGGACGGAGTCGAACGCCCCTTTTACGTCCATAGTCAGAAGTGTCGCCGTGAGCCCTTTTAGGAGGGCCGTTTCGATATCGTGGGCGAGGCAGGTCGTCAGATCGACGGCTGACCTGCCCTGTAGGGCTCCGATCTGTTGCGGACTGACGATGCGCTCGACAATCGCCAGGGACGCCATCCTTCTGGCTATCAGTCTCTCGAGTCCCTTGCCCAGGCACGAGAGGAGCGCGATCGGACGCCAGGACCCGGGCTTGGAGGCATCCCTGCCGGCCTTCTGGATCATGACCACCTCAGCTCTGCGGAAAGGCAGAGGAAAGTGGCCGGCCCGCATACAGGACTGGAATAGCTGCCTGACCGGCTCCGAGATGACGCCCCAGCAGGCCTGGAGGAGGCGCGTGGTGATCCCGTCCACACCAGGGGTCGTTGTCTTTGTTAAGGTGGCCGTCTTCACTTCTTCTCCGCTAACATTGTCCTGCCAAGTAATCGCTCGCCTTGGGACGACGGGTACGTCAAACGGGTCACCCGGTGCGTCATCTTCCGCACTAAACCTGTCGAGAAGGGCTTTCCGGAGCGCTTGGGCCTTTTCGTTAGTATCCTCGATCGTCTGGTTGTCCACAATCAATGGGGGTGCTCTGGTCAGTGGGCTCGCCTTCCGCCAACCCATGACCTGATAGAGGTCCCGGTCTGAAGCGACTCCATCGATCTTTCCGGCCCAGTATGCTCGCTTAGCCTTCCTCACAATGCTCAGGAATGCCTTCCGCTCTTCCATTGGAGAAGGATTTGCGTTCTGCTCCGTCTCCCAGGCTTGTGGGTTGCGGGCAGCACGGTACGTTCTGTGGGCCTCTGCGCATTCCTCCGTCCACCAAGCCGCGCCTTTTCCCTGTTTTCCTCTCTTCTTGCCGACCGCCTCAATGGCTCGGGAGAAGAGCTCGACGATGTGACTTGCCTGCCCGTCCAGGTCTGCCGGAGTAGGTTGATCCCCCAGATTGGGCATCGCAGCTAGCCCCCCTTCGATCAGGTCTCTCAGCCGAGGCAGCGCCGAGTCGGGCACTGACAGTGGCCGTGGCTGCGGGTGGCCCTCTCCCTGTGACACTGGGCGTTTGAATAGTGGTATGACGGCCACGATGGCCTCGTGGTCAGCTCCCGGGTGTAACTGTGGGCTGACCTGCGCGTGCGCAAAAGGGATATTAGAGAAAGCCAGGTCCAGGACATGTCCGCAATCCTGGGTTGCCACCCCAACTTCGCTGATAAGAGAGAGATTGTGGCCGTCTGCCCAGCCTGCGATGTCATCTCCCCGGTTCCCGTTCCTCGTCCCGGGCTCCCAAGAGTAGTGATGCGCGTTGAAGTCACCCGCGATCAAAGCTCGCTCCGGGGGTTTGAGTTCTAGCAGTATCCCTGTTGTGCGGCTGTGGGGGTCGCGGGGTTGTCTGTACACGTTGACGATAGTCGTCGTTTTGTCGACCACCAGCCACAGTACGTCTCTCGTGTGGACAGGCCTCTGCTGCTCCACCGTCATCCCTATCCCTTTGCGTGTGTAGGTCAATACTCTTGGTCTGGTTCCTTCGCTGTCCCAGAAGTCGACCGGGACGAAAGAGTCGAAACCCGGGTGCGTGTTCAGTTGCACGTTTCCGTCCTTCCAGCCCGTCCAGGGTTCCTGGACGAGGACCACATCTATCTGAGCCTCCCAGCAGAGCTGCAGGAAAGCCGTGTGCGCCGGGGAGATCTTTCCGACGTTGCCCTGCGCAACGCGTAGCATCCGTGGGGTCGCCGCTCTCGGCTTACGTCTCCGAGTCGAGTTCGAGGTGGGTGTAGGCATTCGCGACGTTGTAGTTTGGCTTCTGTGCTGCCCGTTGGCTCCTGCTTGGCATGGGTAGCACGGGACGGTCGATGGAGGTGTTGTCGGGGGAGTCTTCGCCTTCGCCTTCGTCCGCCTCGTCTTCATCCATGCTGCTGCTGTCAGTGCTTCCGTCACCGAGGCAAACGATCGAGCTTGCGGAGGGCGTTCTCGTGCGCGCGCGCTTGGCGCCGGGTTGCTGGTTCTGGCTGGTGGAGGTAGGGACGCCTGCCGCCTCCTGGCTACTGTCGGATCGAGTAGCCTTGTACAGAGTGTCCGATGCTTTCTGGCCGGCCTTCCGGATCCGAGCCCGCTCCTTTCGACCGGGAAGGGAGACGACGCCGTTTACGGCCGAGGGCCTCGCTGGGCAGTCTGTGTGGCTGGCTTGGAAGGGGCCGCAGCAGTTGGCACATTGGGGCCTGGCCATGCAGGGTCCCGTTTCGTGTGAATCGGAAGGTCTTCCGCAGTTGCTGCAGATCGGTCGTCGTCCGCAGAACCGGTTGGAGTGGTAGCCCTGGCAGCCGGGGTCGTGTCGGATGAGCGTCCTTCGTTTCTTGACGGGCAGAGATCTGCCGCTTTGGTTGAAGAGCCTGAAGGGCGTGACCTCTGATGTGAATGATATGAGCCAAGATATTTCGTTCGTGACTGGGTTGGGCCCAAGGCGGGACGGTCGAGCAAGGACAGGCTTCTGTCCTGTCTGTGCGAAGACCTCATCTTCAACGAGTGTGGCTGGGTCCAGGACGTCCCCGCCAATGCTGTGTAGTTTTGTTGGGCATCGCGGCACAACGTAAGTGTACCACTTGATAGGCGTCTCGACCTGGTGGGCGCCGAGGCATTCCGCCAGCTTTGCCTTACTTGCAAGTAGTCTTTCCTGTATTTGCTTGTTTCGCGGCTTCAGAGAGTAACCTGTGCTGATATGGTAGACGTGGGGAAGGTCCGCTAGCCCCAGGCCAACGGCCTTACAGACGATCTGTCGTACGGCGAACGGTGCGATCTTCCGAGCGGCCGCTAAGCTTTCTTCCGGGACGCGGGCAAAGATGCGGAGGTCCTCCTTCGGCTGCGCCTGCGGCTGATCCTCGGCGGGGAGTGTGGCCTTCGGGCGGGCAGAGCTCTGGCAGCTCTGGCCGCTCCGGGTCGCCGCAGTGGTGTTGCCCGCCATCGGTGCGACGACAGCCGCCCAACTCCGGGCCGCTATTGGGCTTGTCTCGTGATTGATCAGTCTCTTGAGGGTTTGAATGACATAGGCAGTGGCTTCTTTCGCGATCTGCTTTCTAGAACCGTCAAAGCTGGCGACAACGCTGTCGACGGACCGTGCAATGGTCAGAAAGACGTCTTTCCGTGCCTCGTACTGTCTAGCTTCTTCTGCAAGGGCTGTCAAGACGGACCCTGTGGCAGATCCGCTCGGAGCAGATGCGGTAGAGGCTGCGGGCCCCTCGGCCGAGGTAGGGGCGTCGGTGGTGGCATCAAGCTGGCTTCCCGTTAGGCTGGGCCGGGTCGGCTGTGCCTCGGCGTCGCGGCGTCGCTTAGCTCTTGAGGTGGGGTTCGGCTCCGGAGGTGTCCCGGAGCCTGGTTCGGGGTCGGCTTGGTCGGCCGACATCAGTCCGGTGCCCGACGGCGGCTGTGAGGCCATCGCGGATGCGGGCTCCGGCAAGGGGAGGTGAAGAGTTTTCGGCTGTTAGTAATTTGGTGGTAGGCTCACTCATTCACTAACAGCAGATGCCAAGAAAAATTAGGCGAGAGGGAAGTTGCTCTCAACGCTGGTGTACCTAAGTCGCACTACCGACCAAGGCGAGCAAGAAGATTCGGGCATAGCTGTATTGGTCGAACGGGGATTGCAACTCCTCCCTGTGATGGGTACCTGTGAGAGGCCGTTGCCGCTTCTCATCTTCGGATGTGAAGCTCATACTGACGAGGAAAGACGTCGCATTCTGGATCTAGTTTCCAATACGGAAAAGACTCTTCCTGATCGCGAGCTTCACTCTGTGAAGAAGTTGCTCCATGCACTATGGACACAAGATGATCTTCACACTGACAGTATTCTCAAGCCGACTTACATAGAGAAACTATCGACTGTTTTCAGTGCCAGCGAGTTGCTTCCACATTTCGCTTAGCTAGGCCTGAGTTGTGCTAGCAGCGTTCGGAAACCCGGTATTAGAAGAAGGACAGGGACAATCTCTCAAATTCTCGAGTATTCAACGCCAGTAATTTCAGCATATGAACCTCATCTTTGGCACAACGGGCCAGAAGACGTTGTATCGCGGCCTTTCCACCCAACACTGTGGGACTAGTCATAGGCAAGGCGTACTTTCGCCTGCAGACTGACCCGTTGCCGGGGCAGTTCTATGCCCCCCCGCAAAAGAGCGCTGCACTGGACTAGCACCTAGAAGCTGAATACATACATCCGACAATCCCGTGCCAAAGAAGAAGTCTACAGATACGAGAATTCCACATTCTCTAGACTGCATGTACTGCCCAACCATCAAATCACGACCAATGAAGACGTCGACTCGAAAACTCTGCCAAGCTGACAAGAAACCTTCCCCGCAATCTCACCAAACCTTCAAGCAGCTCATGCACCAAGATGTCTGGAAGAGTCGGCTTCTAGACGAACCCTAGACCTCGTCCTTCATCAATCGGACCAATCCAGCCGGAGAAGTGGGCCCGGGTGGAACGCGGAGATCTCCCGGCATCTATCTAGGTTCGGACCAAGCTACGGCAAGCCAGCTCGAGCCAGTGATGTGCTGCCGAGCCAAGATGTCAAACCTCCGAGCTTCCCCCAACCAGGCGATGTTACATTCCTTAGTCTCCGAAAATCGATGACGTTCCCTGTGCGAAGAGTCCACGAAACCGCAACTGCCATGCCGCACGCTGACAGTTTAGGACCCGTGACGTAAGGTTAATCGTTTCGTTCCGAATGAAGCAAGGATTGAGGAAACCATAAGAAGTCGGCCAAAGATCGCATCGCGCGATGAACGAGCAGCCATTGCAGCTCAAATCAGCGGATAGAGCGGTACACTTCAACATGGCGAAACCAGTTCTCGTAGTCATCGGCACCGGCTGGGGAGGTTTCACTCTCACACAAAAAGTCGACCTCACCAAATACGATGTCAAGGTCATTTCTCCGATTCGAACAATCCAATACACCCCCTTACTAGCCAGCGCAGCATGCGGGCTATTCAATTTCCGTCTTGCGGAAGAGCCCGTCAGACGAAAACACAGGACAGAGATGGACTACTACAAGGCCATTGCAGAAGACATCGACTTTGAAAAGCAGATTGTGCGATGCAAGACCGACGCGCCCACCGCAGGCGAAGACCCAATTACCTTTGAAGTCAAGTACGACAAACTTTGCATAGCGCCAGGATGCGATACTCAGGACTTCGGCACGCCAGGCGCGAAAGAGCATGCCCTTTTTCTGAAGACGACGAATGATGCCCGCTTGATTCAGCAACGCATTCTTCAAATGCTCGATAAAGCATCTCTCCCGACGACAAGCGAGCAGGATCAGCAGGATTATCTCAACATTCGAATCGTCGGTGGCGGCGCCATCGGCATTGAGGCGGCCGCTGAGCTGTGGGATCTTTGGTTCGAAGACATGCGTTTCCTGTTTCCTCACCTTGATGGCAAGGTGAACATTACCATTCACGATGTCGCGCCCAAGATTCTATCCACATTTGACGCAAACTTGAGCGAGTACGCCACGAGCTCGTTACAAGGGAAGCACGTCAAGATCAAGACAGGATCACACATCCAGAGTGTGGAGGCCGATGCGATCTTCACGAAAGAGGACGGTCGATTACCGTACGGACTGCTTATCTGGGCTACGGGGAACAAGGCAAGCTCTTTGGTTGAGAAGCTACCCGTTAAGAAGCCAGAGAGTGGTCTGCCTCGGATCCTGACAGACAAGTACCTTCGCGTCTTTCATCCGGATGGAAGCCCCATGAGCGATGTTTATGCGCTCGGCGACGCCGCCGATATTGAGGGTGAATCCTTGCCCACTCTGGCTGAAGTAGCTCTGCAGAAAGGCGAATATCTCACGAGCACTTTGAACTCGAACGCCGACCCTGTGCCTTTCAACTACAAGCAGAGAGCACTCTTGGCCTACCTAGGCCGCCACGATGGTATCATTGGTGGTAAGCAGGAGTGGACTGGAATGAGCGCGTGGTTGGCTTGGCGATCTGGAAGTCTAGGTTGGACGAGGAGCTGGAGGAGGAAGATCATGATTTCAATAAGCTGGCTGTTTATATGGCTGGCGGGCAGAGATATTGCGAGACCATAGGTCAATTTGGCGAAAGATTGCGTACAGGTGTGCAAAAGGTGCTGCAAAGATTCAAAACGACACAGATGTCACAGTTGCATGGGTAAAATTTGTCTACATTTGCGCCTTTGGTGTATAGCGCCGACACTGTGGAAATTTATTGTATGATTGTGTGCAGTCAAAGTTTCATAAGTCAATTCCATCGGGCTTTTCCATCATTCCATCAAGATTGAAACCAGACCCTGTCTAGAGCCGAAGAAATTGAAGGGGCAGTAAAGGTCGATAGCCGTCAATTAAGTGAGTGTATTCCTACTGCCCATTTAGCATTTACACTTGGTCACGAAAAGGGAAAGCGGCTACTTACAACCCCACTTGACGCAGCAGTAGTCAGTGCCACCGGTGTGCTGAGAGCAAGTGTATCCGGCAAGACATCCCTGGAAGGCGCAGGTGAACTTCGAGCTGTAGCAAGCACCGATGTCGAGGACCTCAGCACGGGGCTCCACCGCTTCCGTAGGGGCGGCCGTGGCGGTCGCAGACAAGAGCCCGAGGGCAAGAACAAAGACTTGAGAAGGTTGGAAGAGCATGGTGGCAATGGTGTTGAATGAGTGACTTGAAGTGAGATTCTTGTTGTACGAGAGGAAAGTGATGCTGGAATTCAAGCTCAATAGCAGGAGCATCTGTCTCTATTTAATCTTCGACAACAGCCCTGCTGTTGATGTTTGCAATCTTTGGCACTCCATCGGGGTTGCCGAATGGCACTCATTTCGTATTCGCTCCTTGAACAGAGGCCGAGCTCACCTTCACGAATGAGTCTGGTCCGCCAATATAGCGCAACGGAGTCTCTCTTTCGACATGAACTCGTCTTGTTCGAAACCTTAACTCTCTCCTACCAGGGCCATCAACTGTGCCCTTCCAACGCATCAGATCATCAGGATCTTGAAGGAAAATGCAACAAATGTTAGAATGTTAATTAGCTACTTGTGGCGGTTGATGTTCTCGTGAATGATACCATGCAGACACAGTCCCTCGATTTCACGGCAAGGAAAACCTCAACTTTGTCTACGTTGCCTTAGTACACACTTGGTTTACGTATTTCCGATCGGATGGCCATTTGAAGAAATCTTGAGCCGGATCGTGGACCTACAAGTCGGAGTGGTAAACTGGATCGGGTTTCTTGTTCTGATTTCAGTCCGGCGTAACCGGTACTGAGTCCCCCGAGCCTGATATGCCTGTCGAATCATCCCAGAGCAAAATAATATAAACACAGTCTGATCGGCAGAGATCCTTTACAAAGTGGATTTGGAAACATATTCGAGTCATTCACCCAATGTATTCGGAACAGGGAGCCAAAGCGGGAAACACTTTTGTCTAGCGACATCCATACTCGTGTTACGCGTATTTCAACCGTAGCCAATCGGCTGCTCAAAACTTGGCTCTCAGGTTTGGGCATTAAACAAGTGAGATTAGTACTAAACAGGCTCGGTTACCTAAGCCTTTCCGAAATCATGGCATTCGTTCGTCTTCTGTTCGTATCCTTCTACTGAGAGCAACAATCTTATTAGAACAACGGGGAAAACCGACACAAAGTACGAAGCGATTGGTCCCGGACGGATTGACCATAGCTATGCACCTTCACTTGGGTGACAACCGCAACTTAGAGAGCCTCTCATACATTCCAGACAGAACCACTTTTTGGCGCAAAGTGGTCAATTTAAGAAAGTTTTGTTCGAGGGTCATCCTAACTAAAGCTGACGACGGATGACAAGAAGCGGAGTTAGGCCCTGATCTCCTCGCGGCCAAAGCCAGTTACCAGTTGCCAGTACTGATATAATCGGTACAAAAAAACAACGGAAACCCCTTTTCCACAATGCCGAACCTGTTCTGGCTGTAGTTTTGTCACCGGATCCGGTCTCTTGAGAGCGCCATAGTTATAGGAGGGGGGGGTTTCCAAATCAGTAGCTAAGATAGGCCGGAAAGAGTATATTTACGGCCAATAGAGCTAATTCTACCTCGAAAACTGACATTTTAGAAAGTAGTACCCATTATCAGTTCTGTTACCAGAACCCTTCCCGCCGTAGAAAACACCCTCAACGGCGTCCGGCACTACGGCCCAATAATTACGGCAGTACAATTGCGCTGCGGGCGGGGCCGTGGCACTTCCAGTGGCGCCGTACCCTCTGGCGACTGGCAACCGGCCTTGGCCGCGAGGAGATCAGAGCCTTAAGACGGCAAAAGAGATTTGAGCGGGGACCAATGTACGACCAAAAACCATAGATGGAGTAGCTGTGTTGTAGCTTAGTAGATAAATTGATAGAAAAGTAGGCATTGTCTGGTGCAAAGTTGTCCGCAACGAGCTGAGGTAAGTAGCCAAAGGCTGTCGCTGACTGATTTTCCGTCGATTCCTTTGAAGTCTCTCGTCTTCACATGTGACCTTAAGGACATGCTCCTAGGATTCTAGAGCAGCGTCTGACAACTTATTGTGGGTATATTACCTCATTGCACATGAATCGAAGCGGCTCCATGGGTACATCGCGGACTTTCCGACTTGCACTGTACGAAGTACAACAACAACGAGGACCAGAAATCTCAACAACAAGGGAAGTGGAGCCAAATTTTCTTTCAGAGTCTATTCCACTGAGATTGAGAAAAGTGAATTATTTGTCGGAAAGGCTTCAGTGTAAAGTGAGCATAGCAAATTGTTACTTCATCGGGCAAATCGACCTAATCCACACCAGACCCTGGAGTCTGATGATTTGCTGGGTTACTCCGTACATGTAGTCCCGTAGTACCGGCCTCCGGGGTGCCCCGAGTCCTTGGACCTGGGGAGACGATCTTCATTTCCCCGCGAGAACCCTTACCCAGCTCCCTCTCCGGATGATATCAAAATTCTCGGGTAACATGTCCATCGCTTTGCCCAGCTGTCCGCACCTACTCCGTACACCGTACATGCGGCCGTACGGCGTAAGTAATTCGTACTCCATACACATACCTGTAGATGATATGGTGGCCGCCAAGACTCAGAATACGAGGTTGCCAGGGAGAAATGCCGGTCAAGGATTGCGATTCTCGAGGCTGTGGCGGGCGGGTCAAATGCCGTTGATATTAATACCCCATTGAGTAAGGTTCCCGCCTGCCAAGAGGGGTGAATCTAGACGACGAAGCTTGTCACTCTGGTCATCCTGGCGGTTCCTCATTTGAAGTACATTCAACCTCAAACCATATTTCATCTAAAATAACATCACGGCACGTTGTCAATCTGGAAAGGTGTTTTCTGATACATCCTCTTTATTGTCCTATCAACCATATATGCCCAAAATGACACCTGCAAATCTCAAAAAAACTGGGAGAGCCAAGGTCCAAAACCAAGGCAGCGAAGTCTTATAAACATCTCATTCCATCGCAAGAAACAGCGTCCCCCGCTCATCTCTGATGAGGGAATCTCAACTCCTCCATATACAAAGTGAGCGAGCAGCGGGCGCTCTTGGCCGGCGGAAAAGGGCGGAACGTCTTCTCGCCCTCCACGACCGGCTTTCGGTCGGTTGACGAATTGCCGGTTTGATGAAACCGCTTACGCGCCGTTGCCGTTGTAGGCAACCAGGTTGGGGCTGCTGTTGAGGGTACCGGTGATCTTGCCGGAGGTACCGAGGGCCTTGATGCGAGCAACGATGGAGGCGGGGGTGCTCAGGGACTCGACGGACTGGAGGTAGTTGACGAGGCCGGCGACGTGGGGGGAAGCCATGGAGGTACCGGAGATGGTGTTGGTGGCAGTGGTGGAGGTGTACCAGGTGGACAGAATGGAGCTGCCGGGGGCGAAAATGTCGAGCGAGGTGCCGTAGTTGGAGTACGAGGCAATGGCCCAGGTGCTGGTGATGGCACCGACGGTGATGGCGTTGGCGGCGTTGGCGGGGGAGACGTTGGCAGCGTTCTGGGCCTCGTTACCGGCGGCGACGACGGTGGTGACACCGGAGTTGTAGGCGGCGTTGATGGCAGTGGTCCAGGCGGTGGAAGAAGGGCCGCCGAGGGACATGTTGATGACGGACTTGCCAGCGCGGCCCTTGGTGGTGATGTCGTTGACGGCCCAGTTGTATCCGTCGAGAATGACGGAGGTGGAGGCGGAGTTGCCGACGAAGACCTTGACGGAGATCAGGGAGGTGAGCTTGGCGACACCGTAGGTGGTGGAGCCGATGGTACCGGCAACGTGGGTGCCGTGGCCGAGGGTGTCGGTGTGGGCACCACCGGCGGCGTTGTAGCCGAGCGAGGCGCGGCCGCCAAAGTTGGTGTGGGCGGTGTTGATGCCCGAGTCGACGACGTAGGCGAAGGTGCCGGTGCCGCCGGCGCTGTCGTAGATGTACGAGGTAGAGCCGGAGGTCTTGTGGGAAATGGTTCCGAGACCCCATGGAGCACCGGTCTGGGTGACAAGGGCGCTCAGGGTGTAGATCTCGTCACGCTCAACGGCAGCAACCTATTTGCGGCATTAGATTTGGTTCTTGATACGGGTGGGAGGATTGAAATTTACCTCAGGGCTGGCCTTGATAGCCTCAATGGTGGCGTCGTCAAACTTGCCAGAGTAACCCTGGAAAGTGTTGAAGGAGAAGGTGCGCTCGGCGCCAGTGAACTGACGCTTGTCGAGGCTGCGGGAGTAAACATCATTGACCCAGCTCAAGTGAGAGGTGAGGCCCTGGGAGCCAACGGAGCTCTTAAGGGTGATGATGTAGCTGTTCTCAGCCCGGGTTTGAACCATGGTCTCAGCAGCCCTCTCCTTGAGAGTGGGAGCAGCGAAGCCGCAGGTAGCAGCTGCGAGCAGCGCGAGGTGCTTGAAACCGACCATTGTGACTGTCGAAAGACCGAGATGCAGAAATTGGAGTTGGGATTGTAGGAGAGGATGAGGAGTGAAGAGTGAGATAGGACTGAGTATCGTGGGCCATTGAAAGACGTTATATAACTTTCCTCCTCGTCATTGAAATCGAGTGAGGCTCGATGTTCGTCCGTTGCATATCATGTAAGTGGCTGGGTCATCCAGGCCCTCGATGGTGCACTACTGCTTGCAGACAGAGTTCCGGGGCGCCCTTCGAGAAGCAGTACGTACATAATTCGGACCCCTGCTAAGAAAACAGCCACCGCCGCAGGGTCCAAGTCGGGATGAACCTGTCAAACTTGGATATCTCGCCAGAACTTGCACTGGTGGTTGCGCCGTAAGTGAACCCAAGTCGATAAGACGATGCGGTCCGCGGAAAGAGGAAGGAGAGGACGAATGGCGCCATGTGGCGACATAAACCAACCATCTCCGAAGCTTGTGCGACAAAATCAAGAATAGGAAGTTGATAGACAACGATGTTGGTGATGCAGCAAGCTGGGTGAGTGAGGAGACATGCTAGGCCGGCTTGGCAATGCAA